CATCTAGTCAAATTATTTCGATATAAATGTAACACCACGTTCGTGTGTTATACTAAAAAACTACAATTCCTAGCGCAACGAGTACTACGGCGCACACACACAACTTTCAATATAACTCGCGTTACGGAATTTTCTCGCAATAAATTTCTATACAGGAGGATACAGAATTAAATTCCCCATCTAGTCAAATTATTTCAAAATAAATGTAACACCGCGTTCGTGTGTTATACTAAAAAAACTACAATTCCTAGCGCAACGAGTACTACAGCGCACACACACAAATTTCAATATAACTCGCGTTACGAAATTTTCTAGCAATAAATCTCTATACAAAAACTACAATTCCTAGCGCAACGAGTACTACGGCGCACACATACATCTTTCAATATAACTCGCGTTACGGAATTTTCTAGCAATAAATCTATATACAGAGAGATACAGATTTAAATTCCACATCTAGTCAAATTATTTCGGAATAAATATAACACCACGTTTGTGTGTTATGCTAAAAAAAACAACAATTCCTAGCGCAACGAGTACTACGGCGCACACACACAACTTTCAATATAACTCGCGTTACCGAATTTTCTAGCAATAAATTTTTATACAGGAGGATACAGAATTAAATTCCTTATATAGAAAAATTATTTCGAAATAAATGTAACACCGCGTTCGTGTGTTATACTACAAAAAACTACAATTCTTAGCGCAACGAGTACTACGGCGCACACACACAAATTTCAATATAACTCGTGTTACGAAATTTTCTAGCAATAAATCTCTATACAAAGAGATACAGAATTAAATTCCCCATCTAGTGAAATTATTTCGAAATAAATGTAACACCACGTTCGTGTGTTATACTAAAAAAAACTACAATTCCTAGCGCAACGAGTATTACGGCGAACACACAAATTTCAATATAACTTGCGCTACAGAATCTTTTCGCAATAACTTTCTATACAGGTAGATACAGAATTAAATTCCCCGTCCACGAAAATTATTTGGAAGTAATTGTATCCCCGCGTTCGCATGTTATACTAAAAAAACAACAATTCCTAGCGCAACGAGTACTACGGCGTACACACACAACTTTCAATATAACTCGCGTTACGGAATTTTCTAGCAATAAATCTTTATACAGAGAGATACAGAATTAAATTTCCGATCTAGTCAAATTATGTCAAAATAAATGTAACACCGCTTTCGTGTGTTATACTAAAAAAACTACAATTCCTAGCTCAACAAGTACTACGGCGCACACACAAATTTCAATATAACTTGCGCTACAGAATCTTTTCGCAATAACTTTCTATACAAGTAGATACAGAATTAAATTCCCCGTCCACTAAAATTATTTGGAAGTAATTATAACCTCGCGTTCGCGTGTTATACTAAAAAAACTACAATTCCTAGTGCAACGAGTACTACGGCGCACACACACAACTTTCAATATAACTCGCGTTACGGAATTTTGTAGCAATAAATTTTTATACAAGAGGATACAGAATTAAATTCCTTATATAGAAAAATTATTTCGAAATAAATGTTACACCGCGTTTGTGTGTTATACTACAAAAAACTACAATTCCTAGCGCAACGAGTACGACGGCGCACACACACACAATTTTCAATATAACTCGCGTTACGGAATCTTTTCGCAATAACTTTTTATACAGGTAAAAATTGCCAGGGGGTGCTTGATTTTTTTGACGTGATAACGTCTTTAAAATCGTTTTAGTCGGGTGACATGTTCAGAAACTTGTGTCACGAGGCCTCAATAGGCCGATCGCAGGTATAAGAGAGAGAGCAGGTATAGGAGAGAGAGACGGACCGATCTCCCGTCTCATCTCGAGCGCTGCCAGTCATTCCGTGAAACTTGACACGCGGAATCCACACGAGCGGAGGCAGGCATAGCGTTCGAGTGAGTGGACCGATCTTCCGTCTCTCTCACTCTAGCGGCATACAAACGAAAGGAGATTTTCTCGTGCGGTTAAGTTTTCGTTGAATGTTTAACAGTGAAACAAAATGTGAAGTGCAAGTGAAGTGTTACAACAATTGCAACAAAAAAAACTTATATCACCAATAAGACGTTATCACGTAAACATCTCGATCGTAAACCTACTTTACAAACAACCATTTTTTTTTCTATGATTTTTAATAATTAATATCTCTTAAACTAAAAGCGATAGCAACCAACGAATTGCTGATTATGAAAGATTGGAAAATTCTCTATCAGATAAATATATAAAATAATTATAATATGTCCTGCAGTAAAAGGTAGAAAGACGCGACTAAAACTGCTAAAAAGTGATATTTTTTAAATTTTGACGATTTTATTCAATCGCGAATATCTCGTAAACTAAAGAAGATAAATAAGATCTGATCGCAGCGTTTTAATCTACGGACTTTTCTTTATAAGATAGGCTAGTTAAAGCGGAAATCTGAGAGATGCTTGATACTTTTTTTCGACGATTTTTGATAATTAATATCTCTAAAACTAAAAGCGATTGCAACCAACGAATTGCTGATTATGAAAGATTGGAAAATTCTCTATTGGATCAGAGTTTAAAATTATATAATTTAATAAACTAAAAAGTCGAGAAATTCGATTAAAAATGTAAAAAGGTAAAAGTTTTCAATTTTTGCTCATTTCTTTCAATCGCGCATATTTCGTAAACTAAAAGAGATAGAAAATTTTAATTCGAAAGAAAAAAAGGGCGAATGACTATACATTCATCCTCGTAACACGAACACGATTCACTTCTACCGTCACCTCCTACGGTGCTCTGAACACGAGTCACTTCTATCGACACCCTGCTACGGTACACCAAATGAGACTCAACTAAATCAACAAAAAAAATTAACAAAACCCCTCTTGCGCCATCAGAATCTGATAAAAAATTTGAACATTTTACAAACGTTTTCCGCAATATGATCCGTTTTCCAAATTACCCGTAAGTGAAATAAATACGGCACCTCTCATTAGCGGGCTATTGCAATACGCAGGAAAAATGTGATAAAACATTTAACCGAAAAATATAACTTAATTATAAGCTTACCAATGCAGCCCTCATCGGATTGCAAGGGTACGACAAGTACTGTAATTAAAAGAAAACATAAGTTAAAACAAAAACATTTCATACAATATGATAATAGTATATTCACACATGGGAGAAAACAAACTTTCTGTGCTGAGTATCGCAATGGTCACATAAAAGCAACTTACTCAAGCACAAATAGGTTTCCGATTGATCTAGCGACCGACCACGTCCCATAATAGAAATATTTGATTTGAAATATAGACATTAAAAGCAAGCAAAAAACATTTATGCACATTAAACGCACAATAACTTATTGAGAAAACACTGCAGTTGCATATTACGACTAAGTCTATTGATGACCGAATATAATGCAAACTTTGAAAAATGCAAACTGATAAAACGAAACGCGTTGCGCGATATAGGCACGTCTGGATACGCCAGAGACCGGCACGAAACCAGCTGCAATCCATCAATTGAGCATGCCGAAACTGCGCACGCAAGGATGCGACAGTTCCCAGTAAGACTCTGTGCCTGCTGCATAAATCCGGTAGGTAAAAGCAATAGATGCGCAAAGCCAGTGCGTCGATACCACGCGACCTTGTGCGCGAATTGCAATAGATGCGCAAAGCCGGCGGCTCGTCGATGGCACGCGACCTTGTGCATGAATTGCAATAGACACGGTACCTGTGATAAGAACTACGAGTAAACTAAAATGTGCTGCATGCGGCAGCGCGACGAGAATCTTACGCGTAGCACCTCGCACGGCGAATGCGATAAGAAAGTTGTTTATACACAAACGCTGATATGATTCAAAACGAATATAATTCTATTTTATGATTAAAATTATAATATGACTAAAATTTAAATCATGAAATTATGATTTGAGTTTTATTGAAGCATTTAGTGAATCAAAAATTTCCGCAAAAGATATCAATTTTGGTAATCAAGATTGGAAAATTCTGATGGAAATTTAGATTAATTTAATTTAATGAGGTAAAAGGTCTGCGACTGAAAGTGCTAAAATTGCAATTTTTAAAATGTGACAATTGATTTCAATTGCGAATATCTTGTAAACTAAAAGAGATAAAAGAAACAAATCGCAGAGCGTTAATCTACGGAAAATTCTTTATCAAATAAGTTAGTTAAATTGAAAATTTAAGAGATAAAATTTTAATTCTTATGAAAAATTGCCAATTTTCGATAATTAATATCTCTTAAACTAAAAGAGCTAGCAGCTAACGCATACACATACGCATACAATGCATACTACACTATGAGAAAAACACGAACAGCAATATTAAATCAATTATAAAGTTACCTGGGTATCGGTGCCGAACTGTAACTGATGTCCCACGCAGTTTGCCGCAGGGGATGTGTGCCATGGGATGGCACATCGATGCTGTATCGATTGTCGAATTCACTGGTTTGCGACACAAAACTGATAAGAACGGAGCTGACAGGAATTTGGAAACGAGTATACTTAATAAATATCCACTTAATTACTCGGAATGATAGAAGTTAAGTTTCTTGCGCACGCCCGGAAAATAAACAATAGCTCGAGAGCACAACACCACGGTAGTAGCACAAACAAATTCACAAGAAAACATGGCGGCAGCTCGCAAGAAACGCGTGTGTATCAACCGACGACTATGTTCCACTACGATCAAGTCGACTCGAACGACGCGAATAAAGCGTGCGCTGATACTGCTTGCGCCGAACGCGGATTGTGCGCACTGATCGAACGCACGAAGCGACTTTATGCAAACTGCACTTGTTGAAGGTGAAAAGGTTGTTTAGATACAGAGTATAAATATTTGAAGAGGAACAATTACATTGTTGAAAAAGAACATCTAATACTCAACCAGGGATGATGGATGATACGTGAACTACTCGTAGGTTTCTAGAACATCGGAAAGACTGGTTCAAGTTCGGAATCACATTCGCTCAACACTAATAGTTGTAATAATTCTTGTTTAATTGTTACTCATACAAAAATTTGAAAAGAAATAATGAAACAACGGACCGAAAAAGTGTCCTAACTGCTACAATATCGGTTTGTTTCGCAATTTATTACAATATTTTGCAATCGCATGCATTTGTTGTTTTGTTTATTGGGTTTTATCATTATGTTTCCTGCAATTGTATAATTATTTATGCAAAAGTAGTTCTATCACGCTGGTACATAAGAATACAGACACTAGTCGATTTCGTTTGTAACACATTCGATCAATGACTTGCAGACATCTTGGTTTTTATAGTTTTTATGAGACGATAACGAAATGCCGTAAAAACACAAAATACAAATAGGCACAGACTCATTACAATCTCATACACTTGCTGTTATCATCTGGTAAAATTTACTAGGATTAGTCGTACTGGTAGGAAAGAAACCAACTTGATACAATATTAGTTTAGTTCAGTTAATTAATAATGTAATTAACTAGCTAAGAAATAAAATTAGTAGTTTTTTTTTTCAGCCTTAATGATAGTCATTTCTTGGTTACTCGGTGATTAATTTCCAGGAATCGTTCGTAATCAACGATATCGGTTAGTGATATTATGAAGGTGCGTTACAATGAATAAACGTGACATTATTTTTTTGTGTTTATGCTGGTTTTTCGTTTTTAGCAGATGCTCAACTGAATATTGATTCCAAACGCTTAAAATGATACAAACATATCGGTACAAAAGTTCACAATCAAAAATAAAAACTCCCCTGTGTCGGCAAACGCTAAACAAAAAATGAGAGACTGGATAAACAAACATAAATGAGAATTTTACAAAATACTATCCATACTTTTTTTATACGCGATTTCGCATTGTTTTTAACGTTATTTAAGTCACTCGTTTTAGCCTTATATATTTTTTCGTTTGCGCATCAATATCTTTAGCCGCCGCGCCACCAATCAGATACAACATTTCAATTTTATTGCTATTCGCTGCAAACAACGAATGACGATATCAAATTACTTGGTGATAATTAGAGAATAAAAGTTACAATAAAATAAATAGTCTCACATAAAAGAAATAGTATATCTAACATCCCTGTTAAATTTAAAAGGTGGAAAATGATCTAACAGATTTGTTACTGCCAGAGGCGGCGCTGTGTACCCTATTTAAAATGAGAGTTCAATTTCTTTATGTTTACTAGGTCAGTAGTCGTTTCCATTTAGGTAGTAGCTAGGAATATGATGCAAATAACGTCACGTTCCGTGCGTGTTTTACTCCGCGTTAGATATTGATTACAATACTCTTCGATATTTAAATGCATTTTATCATATTCCCCGCTATACCCCTCTATCCTCAGTTTCGTTTGGTTGCACAGCCAAGAATGACAAATGTTTACAAATAACTCAAATATCGCTGCGAGTCGCAGGCATACACAAGTTAAGTAATGTTTGACAAACAAAAAATGAAGGTAAAAGGGACATCGTTTGAGCTAATTGCTAAGTTAAGAGTAAAGTTTGTTTGTATAATGTGTAGCAATACAACTTAAAATTTCATCGCTGGCTGGGTGCGGTTTTTTTTATAATATATAAAGTTGATACCCAGTCAGCTGGTAATATTTAAAGAATTAAATTATTACAATGTTTTTTAGCTTTCGTGTTTCCTCGCTCGCCGCCAACATAGCTCTCCTCAATTGAATAGCATAGTAGCGTTTTGTTCCAACACTCGCTTGTTGTTGTTTGTTTCTTTTTTTTGTTTGCGCTAATCACACAATTGGCACCAAAATAATAAAATGATACGTTGAACAGCTCTTATTCCAACAGCCTTATCGAACACTGTACACATCCCACACACTGAATTACTGATCCATCCACACCACGAGAGAACTAGAATGATAAGTGTTTGTGTCCGTGCCGTAGAGATGGGCGCGCTAGCGGCGAGTGTACGTGTTTGGCCCGCCGGCGCGGTTCGCCTGTCCGCCGCCACGATTGAAAGTGTTGGGGCGTTGACCACCACCTCCACCGCCACCCATTGGCCCGCCGGCACTGCGTGGCTGTCCACCTCCAGGAAGCGGGCCACGACGTGGGCCAGTATTATCTCTCGGCGGACGCGGGCTAAGGTTGTCGTTTGGGTTGTTGCGCATGTTGTTCGAGTAGCTCGTGCGCTCCTTCACTTTCTTCTCTTCGACATTCAAAACTGCTGAAGCGGCGCTGTTCTTATCTTGTAGTGAAATCGGCTGGAAACACAAATTAATTATAGACGAATTAAATTTAACATCTATTTAAATGAACAATCGCTTACTTTTGCCTCCAGACATGCCTGAACGCCAGCGGGTGACTCGTAGGTGATGAATCCGTAGTTCGGGGGCGCGCGGGCTCCAGGTACGCCCGGTTTGTTGCCCTTGCTGAGAATACGAAGATCGGCAATGGTACCGAATTTCTCAAAGAGTTCACGAAGGTCATCCTCGCTGGCCCAGAGAGGTATGTTGCCAAGGAAGAGCTGGTTGCTGTCCGCGAAGCCACCCTGTGAGCGTCGGCGTTCTTCTGCGAATTTATTCGGTTTAAAACCTCCAGGAGCTTCGTTAATCGGTGGGTAGTTACCTCCATCGGCGGGGATATCACGCGGTACGCTGGTGCGCATATCCGTACGCGGTCCTCGCATCGGCGGCCCGCCACTAGGCCGACCATTGTTGCGTTGATCGCGGTTGTCGTTACGATGGCTGCGTGGTAGGTTACCCGCCGTTGAATTGAATTGATTGTCGCGGTCACGGTTGTCAATTTTCATCATCGGTGGCTTGAAATGAAACATTAAGCATAATCAATCAGCACTAGGGTGTATTTCAATAACGCATACTTACAGGTGAGGTTGTTTTCGGCGGTTGGTTGCTGGACTGGTAAATATTACCACCGGAAACTGGGAAGGGCGCGCTGCTGGACTTGAAAAGGTTGGCGAAGGTCTTGGGTTCGTTGGAGACGGGTTCACTGCTCATCTGCATATGATCTGGTTCAGGGGCCTTGGTTTGTCCATCCATGTACTGGTTCTTATCGCCGATATCGCCGGCGCCTTCTTCAACAGCTGGCGCCTGAAACTCGTCCACAATTGGCACAGTAACAGGCAGCTCGTTCTTGATAAGCTCGGCGCCCATTGGTTGAAGCGTTTGCCCACCAATATGTGGTGGCATCACCTCCTCTTGGTGCACGGCGCCGTTAACAATCGGCAGCGGCGCAGGAGTCGGCTGCACCACCGGCACTTGCTGCGGCTGCTGTTGTTGCTGCGGCGGTGGCACCGGCTGCATAACATGATGCTGCTGATGATGCGGCGGCACCTGCGGATTGTAATAGTTGGCCATGTTCTGCTGGCCAAGCTGTTGCATCTCCGGACGCTCCTGGTTCATGTCCGCTTCATCGCCCGATCGTGCATCATTGTCGCATTCCTCATCTGAGATAATCTCATCCTGGTAACGGAAGATGTCGTTGTGCACGTAATACTTCTTCGGACTTTGAGCAGCGAGCACGAACGTCTGCGTGAAGCGACGCATGGGCTGGCCGGCGTTTGAGAGTTCGCCGGTGACCTGCACCACGACGCCGTTTCCCAACGTCGCCTGCGCATCAACCTACAAACACTTCATAATAAGCACACTAAACTAAAATAAGAAATATGAAATTTACCTGGGTGATCTTAGCATGGCAGTCCTGGAAGTTTAGTTGTTGGATCTTCTGGTGAATCTGCTTCTGGCCTATCATGGGCATGGTCTCCCTGTGAGGTGGGTCCAAACCGCCATGGACAAATGATGATTGATTGTTGTAAAACCTAATAAGAAATAGCCAGAGTGTCAAACACTAAATTGATCACACGAAATGGCGGCTTACCGATGCAAATGAGCAGGAGCCTTGTTCAACAGGGTGTAGTACTGTCGGACGAACTCCCGTCCTACATTAGCGGGAGATGGGGGAGCCTCCATGACCATTCCTGATTTGCTGAGCGACCGCGAGATGAGAAAACAGCCGAATTCGGCGGATGATGACCAAGCCAATCAAGAGATGCTGTAGTAGGCGCTGAGCTGAGGATCCTATACGCGTGAAAACATCCAAGAATTAGCTTCGAATGCGTCACAAATTCAACACATTGCAGTATCGATAAAATGCCTTAAAACGCAATAAGGTATGCTAGTCGCAGATAGCCCAAAATTTGCATGCGGTTGCAAAAACCCGTCATGTTGCAATTCGAGTCAGCGCTCCGCTGCTCACAAAGGAGAAACGAAAGCAAAAAAGATCGCGCCCGTCGAGAACAAACAACAACACGGCTGAAAAGCACATGGAGGGAGGCTGATGCCGAAATTAATTGCCGGCTCGCCAGCTTACCGGCATCCAAACGATTTATTCAATGCAAGAACAAAAACGTAAATGATTTTCAATCGTACTCGCGTCTAACCTATGCCCAACAAACGCATCGTAAACGTAAATGAAATCACAATTCACAATCGTACATCTACCTACATGTACCGTGCCGCCTCTCTTCACATGCAATGTGTTTCGAGAATCAAGCAACTACGGGCCTAGGCGGCACACACCCTCGTGCGATATTCACTCACGGGTCGAAAACGTCGGAAAATTGCAGTAAACACGCCGGGCGTGAATTTGGAAAAGCAGAAAATCGCAAAAGCGTGAGACTTCCAGGCAAGCGCGGGCGCGTGTGCTTGTATTCGAGCATGGGCGAGCAAGGAAAACTGAACGCGGCGGCGTGCCGGCCTCGCGATGAACTCACCTGCCGCTTCGCTGATGTTAGGAGACGGCGTCCAACGACATTCAACACTCACCAGGGCTGACGGAGACGCACTCGATGGACGAACGAAAGCGAAATTCTAGAAACGCCGCAAATGTAGAGATTGTACAGGGTGTAAACTTCATGTATGTCTGTCGTTTTTCGAGCTGACTGCCCACCTAATGCGAGCTGCGCTCAACGACGGCGCTACGATCGTAGATGAATGCAAGGAACGCCGATGCTCTGCGCGTGCGTACTTATGACTTCCGGTTGATCGACAAACCGAATACACCCGATGTTTAAAAAGTGAAACCATCGCTCGATTGGGATCTGAAAATGTTCGCGTAAAAAACAGCGATAATTGTCGAGTACACATACTTACTATAACTATAATCATATAGAATTAATGTAGACTGGGTTGCATATTGATGTAATCAATAATCTCACAGAGAATTTATTTTTCAGCGACAACAAAATAAAAACTTGTAATAAATTAAGTTGGAAAAGTTTCGTACAAAATTAGTTTGGTGTTGAAAAAATGTAAGTAGTTTGTTTGCATTCGATTTTTCAGTAATTATTGTTTGCTCAAGAATGAAGAGTACAATTATATTTCAATTACACCATTACATTCGGCGACACAACTCATAAGTATATAAATAAAAAAATGTAATACAGGAAGATACTATGTTACCTACTTTACTAAGTTTTAAAACAAATAGTAGCGCGTCTCCGCGTTCATGTCTTATTTCTTAAATATTAAAAAATTAAAACTGCTTTTCTCTGCTTTGTCTGCGGTTTGCATCTAATACACAGTTAGACTTTTTAACGTTCTTTGTTTAGATTTAGACTTATACGTTAATGGAGAGAGTTAGCATGCTGCGTGTCGGGCACACAATGCATTTCTATCATATTTTACTTTATTTATAGTTTTATTTAAATTTTAACTTCATTCTGATAAATAAAAAGACATTCTTCGATGAGTTTTTTTCTTTCTTGTTTGTTTAAGTAATCCGCAATCGCGCGCGTGATCTTTTCAATTTTAATTGTCATATACATACACTTAATCTGTCTCCAAAATTAAATAGTAAGGATTAAACTAAAACGAGTAAATTGCGATTTGTTGCTTGCGACGATGGGCGCCGGTCCTCGGAAAACGATTACAAATGGAATGACTTTAACTAGTGCGTGTTCCAAGTTGTCTGGCTGCTAAATGAAATCGTAGGCTAATGAGATAAATGAAGTTCTGCAACAAACAAGTACAAAATTATTCAACAATTCACAATTTAGTTAAATGACAAAGTTTGGATATAATTTTAATTAAATCAGGAGTGGAAGAATCGTCATTGTCATTCTGTAGCAGAACTGGATGATTGTTTCATCATATAAATTGAAATATCGTGAAATTGTATAAAATTGTAGAATTATGCTTACCGAAAAACAAAGGTACTGATCACAATTATTCGTAAAATTAATATGGTTGAGTTCTTTGGTTGCGGCCACCACGTCCGCCCTGTTGTTTGCCGCCATTGTAGCCACCACCGCCTCCGCCACCACCACCGCCGGAACCTAAAACCGAGAAAAGATTAGAGCAGCTGCACCATGTCGCCCGCACACCAAACAAACGCTCAAACTCAAAACAGGCTCAAAAGTCAAAGTCAACACCACGACAAACTGAAGAAAATGCGAGACAACAAAAACGATGAGACAAAGAACAAAACTGAGGGGTCCAACCACGAGCACAATTTTATCCACGCCACGCTCAGTCTGTGCCCCAAGCTAGCTAAAGCTAGAGGTGGCTACTATAGTCGACTGTGTTTTCAGGAATGATTAAAACGAAAAGTATCGCTGCAGCCCAGCGATAGGGTTGTACCTTTGCCGCGATTGCCCCCTCTGCCACCACCACCGCCGCCGCCGCCGTAGCCGCCATCATACCCGTGGCCGTAATCTGCGTGCCGAGCGCCGGGACAACAAAAATTTCTCATTAGCTTGCTGGGAATTTTGCAAATGCACTGGATGTGTTGCACCGAGAGAACGGCGCGCGACGGAAACTTAAATAACGGCGTGTGTGTTCGGAGAGCGTCCATCATCGCGTCGTTACTGCACTTTTTGTCACCATTCGCAGACTATCGATGCGTGCGCCGTTGTTTAAATTTTGCTGCGACATCGTTCCTCGACGAGAGAGACACAATGAGTAAATAATGGAGAACACATTATGAAATTTATTTGGTTTCAACAAACGCTTTATTCAAGCTTTCATTTGGATATTTCACAATGTATTTCCATATTATAAAGGTCAACATGCAAAAATAATAGTTCCATCTACTTATATAAATATATATATATATATAGATTATATGCATCAATTATGTTATCATCAATCAAAATATATAGAATATATATTTGTGAATGTCTGTCTTATGTGTTCGTTCCGTCTGCGCTGTTGCATTCTGCATAGGAACACATAACATTTGCTGCTGGCTCTCGCTGGTTCAATCGTTAAAAACTAAATCGCTATTCATCTCCTACGATGGTGTCTTCTTCTCGTGTGTTACTTGTTGGTTATTTTGATTAATCGTTTGATTGTTCATATTTCACATTCGTCGTACTTTTATGAGCAAATACTCTGCTGTTGGCTTTGATAAGAAATGTCTACGTTGGCATGCAGTAACGACGGATGATGGCCACAACACTGCCCGCAATGCGAATTTCGACTCGTGTTCGACATTACAAATAAATAAAACACGCCACAAGTTAAAAACGAGACGCAACTATTTAGTCGTGTTATAAGAAACATTCAATGAAATCGGCTATCGTTATATGTGAACTAAACGCTAAAAAATGTTCTCTTAGCTCTAGCGATGGTTTGTGTTTTTTGCTTTTGTAGTTTTTTATATAGAAAAATAATGAACTCCCACTACTGAACGCCAACGCCTACGTTTTTAGGTAACTTAATGCCTGTTAGAGTATTTACCATAATTGCCGCCATAGCTTGAGTAGTCGTAGCCTCCGTATCCGCCGTAACCGCCGCCGTAGTAATCATAGCCACCGCTGTAGCCATCGTAATTGCCACCGTAGCCACTCTGACCGTAGCCGCCGTACGCACCGTAACCCTGATTGCCCCAGTTCTGATTGCCGTAATTACCCCGTCCGCGGCCACGACCGCCACCGCGCATCATGCGGCCGCCCCGCATATTGCCCATTGCATCGGGCTTGGGTGTCGCCTTCTTGACGTCCACCTGCAACCGAAAACAATGACCGTCATTACTAACCCACCAAAAAAAAACTCCATCTAGATATTATTTTAATGCAAAATTAAAGAAAGATCAGTAAGTGGTAAGTTATCTTCAACGCTACTCAGTAGCAGAACTGACTAAATCAGGCATCATTTCAAAATTTGCACCGTCGAATAAAGTAAAAAATTCCAACACGTACCTCTTTATCATTGATAGTCTGTTTGGGTGTCTTGAGAAGCTCGTTAACGACTTGCTCCGATTCGAATGTGATGAAGCAGAATCCTTTGCGCTGGTTCTTCGTCTTGTCGAATGGCATTTCAACTTCGACGATCTGTGATTCAAACACCGCAATAAAATTAATCGAAGTTTCAACAAACCGGTCTCATCTGCTTACTGTGCCAAATTGCGTGAAGTAATTCCGGATGTCATCGTCTGTTAGCTCGTTGGTGAGGCCACCGACAAAGATTTTACCATGGCGCGCTTTAGCTTTCTTCGGATCCACTTTCTTGCCATTGATTACATGTTCTCCGGCTTCAACAACCTTGTCTATGGCGTCGGGGGTGTTAAACACGATGAAAGCAAAGCCTCGCGACCTGCCAGTGTTTGGATCTGTCTTGACATTTATACTTTCGATCTCGCCGTATTTGCCGAAGTGTTCTCGTAGTTCAACTGCAAAAAGGGACACATTTAGTTAGAAATTATTACAAATGAAAGTCTGAAATAAACTTACTATCTCTAGTCTCCCAGCTAAGTCCACCAACAAACAATTTCCTGTGAACAAAAACAAGCAACATTAGTTATGGATTCGGCGAGATAGCTGTGGAAGGCAATTGGCCGTTTGGCAAATCTAATTTTGTTATTTACTAGATTAATATTTGTTTGATAATGACTCATTTGTTTCTATCGATTCGAATATTGTAATAATAGTAAGAATGGCAAGTAGAATATAATTATTATTATTATTATTGTTACAGCAGTTTGTCAATGTGTAATTCTGAACTTGATTCCTAGTTCAATCTCAATCAATTGGATAGCACCGCAAATTGAATCTGTAAAATCTAAGAATGAATGAATACAAAAAGATCAAAAATTAATTGACATAGAACTCTGCAAAATGCAAAACAAGAAACTTAACAATTAGTTAATAATAAATCATCAAAGAGAGCAAGATAGAGCAAGTTACATTTACAAATTTCGTGATTCTCGTTTCTCTAGACTTCTAGAATTGATTCAATGGCATACTGATTCGCCCAAAACTTAATTATTGCTTCGCATCTTGTCCATTGTCAAAGATACCCACATCCCCCAAATAAATAATCTGAACACAAACACACTGACGACCTCCTTGTGAGCTGGAAATTTCGATGCAATGTCAATGCGAAGGTATTTTGCGAATGGACAAGAGACAAAGTGTTAACTGTATTGGTAGAGGTAGGTAACTAGACGTGTTACTAGTTAGGTAAGATTGGCAGTAGAAGGTGCCCAAGGATAAATACCATGGGTCCCAATCTCGAAGTCGAAGCGCTTAGCTCGCACACCCATCGCATCACATCGCCCCTTCCTTTTCTAGGGTAATCAGCATACACCTGGAGGAAAGGAAGCCTGGTTAATGTATAGACATCGCTATATAACCCTGCCAGCCTACGCGCAGCCCCAAACAAAGTTAACAAAACTCTGCCTCGAACACGACTTGCAAATTCGAATGAAATGTGTGCTGTTCGGGGAACTCGGCTCGAGCAAAAATTGTTGCGAAATTTATCCGTTCGGTTCGTTCGTGCTTTGTATGTCCGCTCTGATCTCGTACTCGTTCGTTCTCAGTTCGCAAAATTGAAATGACTAAATTACTAGATATCAAAAAGGCAACAATTAAAATAGATTACAACAAGACGACAATCAAATAGTTGAGATATATAATGTTAAGAATCGATATCTTAATGTGAGGCTGAAAATTTCAACAGTTACAATTTTTCATTACAACAAAGTTAATACTTAACGGTAAGAGTAAATAATTAGGAAGAAAACGCACCGGCGACGAAGCGTTTGTGGCCAGGAGAAGTCAAAACATCCAAACAACATGTGCGCTGGGTTGCGCGCACTCACGAATGCGCGCGCAGCCGGATATTTGTTTGTCATGCCCGCGCGCGCGCGCGCCGAAAGAAATGCCGGCTATTTATATCGCCATGTTTGATAATGTTTGGTTTGGATGCATGACTCGTCCCGACCCAAAACACGACGAGGCGGCCACACAATATCACAAAAGTTTTTCCAACAATATTATGTAATTCGAATCGAGTTTTCTACTAAAATGAGCATTTCTTATTTATACTTGATAGCATCAAATGTGTACGCTGCACGAGTGAGTCTACTCGGACGCCATTTTCTCTGATCGCAAGCCACTCCGTTCGGGCGAGCAAACAAATGTTATCATGTACAAAACGCAATAAATATCACAATTTAAGAACAAATGAGCGTGCAGACGCAATAACGGTCGTTATCGTGTGTTTGAAATGTGCACGATGGCGCCGATGGAACAAGATTCCGATCAGTCTTACCCGATTTGTGTATGTATGAGGCAAAAAATGGAATCGATTCGAGCCGGCATTATAAGGCGTGTGGCTGCGCACTCACCCGTGTTCATTGCTACGCGAAAGCGTAACCGCGCGCCGAAAATCGCAAGGCGCATATTATATCGCGCGCTTGCGACTTCGTTTAGCGCGCATTGATATAAGTAATAAAAAAAGCAATTACGTTTTCGGTACGTACCTGTCGTCACCGCGACCGGGCGCATCGGCGGCACCGCTGTCCACCGGCAGGTCATCATCTTCCTCGCCACCGTTGTTTTCGCCATTCTGTTCACTGTTCTGTCCGTTCATTTGATCGTCTTGCACGAAATTGGGTTCCGCTTTCACGTCCTGCGAGAAATCTTCGCCGTTTTCCATGTTGTCGTCTTGACTGTTAGCCATTCAACAACTCAAAGAAACCGGTAGCGTGATGCGCCTACTCTCTACTGTTCGAACTCGCCGGGCAAAGTGTCTCAGGAGTTCAACGAAATAAGAGAGCGTCACCACTCGTTTGGATTAAACTCGATATCACTCAACGTACGCGAACGTCCACTCTTGGCAAATGCTCAACGGCGAAGAGGGAGCGTAGAGGGAGCCGACGCCGGAAAGAGACTCTGACGCATGCCGGGAGTTTGCGCGTACCGCAATCGCACCAATCACAGCGCGCCGATGCGGCGTTCACCGGATACACAACCGAAAGTACACGAACACAGCGACCTCTACTCCACGCTACTTCACAATCCCCAACTAACAAATGAACAGCGCTACATTCAAATGTGAATTTATTCTGATCACAAAAACTTCAAATTTTACAAACAGTAATTGCAATTTAAAACGGATTATACTTGTCAGTAGCATGCAGGATATCCAATGCTTTAATAAAAGCGCGATAATCAATTTCGTCGCGTAATCCACGTTCGAAACTGAAGCATTTGCAGATCATGTCGAATTCCGACCGGGAAATCAAGTTATACATGCCTCGTAGCGATAACGCCTTCAAGAAATGCTCTTGGGAAATCGTGCCACACTTCGTCTTGTCGTAGTCCTGCACGGGCAAAGCAAACAAAGTAATTTACGCGCTGTCTTTCACCGCGCCGCAATCATTAGGAATTGTGTCGCGCAAATGTTTGCCGAAGGTTTTATTTCGCGCCGCAAGGCGGTCGTAACTTTTAATAAGGGTTGATACGCGCATAGTAAACACGGGCCTTCTTGGAATTTCACCGCCAATAGAAAATAACTAGCAATCGACGCCGCCGCAACAAGTGTGAACATCAATTCACTACAGCACAACAAATCGAAATCGCAAATCATGAAATAGTATTACGAATACAAATCGGAATGGCAACGATTCCGTTGTTAAAAATGATGTCAACCTAAGTAAGGCAATAGATTGCGTGGGATACACGCGGGGGCGGCTTGTTACCTCAAAGATCGACATTAGATTCATCTGCAATTCCGGCTTCTTGCTCAGCTTCTGAATGCCGATTGAAAGTGTGCGGCGCTCGTCGAAGTTGAGGAAGTTGCGTTCACAATCACGCGTTGGCACATGCTGTACTGGAATAATCAGTGGAGCACGCTCCAGACATGCTTGCGTGAACGCTTCTTCGATTACCTCAGCAAAACGCTTGTAATCAACACAACCAGGTCGAACCGGCGACGCAAACCTAAAATTTACTTCATAAGTAAAATGATATCAACGATAAATAATATTTACACTTTAAACAGCGTTTCATATTCGGTATCTGTCAAATGAAATCGGCAATTTGACAAAGCACGCTTGAAATTCTCTTTGAGAATGACTTGCTGGTTGCATACATCGAAATCTTCCAAGAATTGTAAAACTCTTATGCGTTCACGCACTGCTTTTCCTTTTATCTTCGCCAAGATTAAAATAATATCGTGTTCTTTACGATCGACAGGTTTGCATTTCTTCGGAGCGTTTACTTTTTGCATTGCTTCGAAAAACCCGGTAAACTACAAACAATAATCATTAAAATTTGATTTTAAAATGTATAATCTATTAACTAATGGTTCCTCATGTGGTTTAGGTTCAACTTCTCGCAAGAACCAAAAGTAATTGAAGCCAATATCATCATTAAAACGTTCTTCAAGCGCATATAATTCTTCATCAGACAAGAGAATTCCATTCGAAAGCATACTCTGACGCATTTGCGAACGTGAAACATGACCATTATTGTGTCTACAATAGAAAATTATCATTAATATACATTTATTGCAGATTATAGAAAGAGTATTACTTGTCATAGTCGCGGAAGACTGGTTTAAGAAGGATTCGGCGCCGCATGATGCGGTTCTTAACTTTGCTAACGGTCTCTTCGCAGAGTTCACGACGGGAGACTTCGACCTTCGCCCAGTCTCTTGAGCCGATATTGGGGAGTTCTTCGACTTCACGGGGTGGCGAGACAACTTGTAACATTGGCGCTTTTTCTAATTCCTAGAAATATGTAAATTTTAGAAATTATAGTCATAAACGTGCAGGTAAGGAGAGGTTATGTATAAACATTAAGGTTATAAAATATTTCTACTTACTTTGACTGTAAAAACTTGATTTACATCGTCTTCGAATGTCTTCCAGCACACCCTCGATGGATCTATCGGATCTGCATATTGTATACAAATTGTCTTCACTTCAGGTAGCGATAAATACAACCGACGTAAACCGCTCATTCCCATTGCGTCTAACCCTCGATGAAACTGTGAAACCGTTACTTTTCCTTGTCCCAACGGATCAAAGTTCTATTATGCAGTAAAAACTACGTTAGTAAATATAAAAAGGTAATTATAAAGTTATATATACTGTAAACCACTCGTTGACACGTATTCTATTCTGATAAACATATCTCTGGATGGATCTGATCAATTCAATCAATGTTTTAGTCTGTGGTGGAAGTTCCAACGCTGGATGAAAGATGCTTTGCTTTCCGAAGACACTCGCCGCCATTACTTTCCCTATTTCAGGCCGTGGAAGTTTTGGAAGTTCTGCATTTATCACTCTTCCAGGGAATTGACTCATCAAGTCACCTCCGAGGTCCAAGACGCCATGTTTTTCTAGGTATTGAACTGTTTCTTCAATAGCAGCGACAAATGCTACATAATTAACTGTGTAGGAGTCTTTTAAGTATTTTTTCACTAATAAATTGAAGTCATCAGCGGATAGTGTGATGTTTAAAAAGTTTAACACTCGCGCAAAGTGAGCGAGTGTAACGGTGCCATTGTTTTTCGCAACTAATTCATAATCCTGAAAAAACGGACGCAAAACAAGTTTGCGTAGATTGACGACGCATGCTACTTTGGTGATGAGAAGACTCAAACGGCGTTCTTCGGATTGACTTAAGCGGTTTACTTGAAGTGGGTCTTCCCATTCAAGACCAGTGACAAGGTTTGCGTTTTGGGTAAATTCCGGAACTGCAGGAATAATATTTATGCATAAAATTAGTGGAAATAGTAAAAAATATACCGCTGTTGTTGATAACTTCACAAAACTGTGTGTAGAATATTCTCCCGTCGGAAACACGGAAGTAATCAGTCAATTCTCCGATTTCATAATCAGATAAACCAATGGTTGATCGAAGGGGACCATTTAGAACCGACACAAACGCAGATTCTATTTAAAAATGTTTAAAAAGTTAAAAAAATAACAAGAAAAGTAAAAATGTTTAAGAACCTGAGATTAATCCGTTTTTATATGGATCCAAAGGTGCATAATAATCCCACAAATTGAACCCAACACGGAAAATGGCGGCGCGGATCTTGTTACATATCCGCCACACGTCGGTGAGTTTCATTTGCTTGTAATGCATCTTGGAAATTTGTCAAAATAGTAAAAAATAAAGAAATATTGCACAAAAAATAAAGCCAAATGTTTAATAGTTGGAAAAAAATTATTGACATTAAATTAAACTGTCAAAACATGATTTTTAATAAAAAAAAACACAAAAAAACAAAATGATGGATAAATACATAGAAATACACAAATATCATTATATTAAACTTTATTTATTTATATTTCAATGATATATAACCAACAAAAGTTAAAATTCCAGCCACAAACGTAAATTGTTTAAATATTTATAAACTTAATACATTTCCCATAATATATTGATGTTAATTGATTTCTTATTTCATTATTGATGTGTCTTTAATAGTCGTAAACGTACTGGTATCGTTTGTGTGGTACTTTTCGATTGTTTTGCGTACAATACTCGGCGTATTCCTCCCAGGTGCATCCTTTGGGACTGCAACATTCTTGAGTGATAACACCGGACCTTTTGGAGAGTCCACGCCTGGTGCGTATGAGTCCCATCGCTAGTTTTTGGTTTAACCATGGATATTTATCATATTCCTCTGTTTCGAGTATTTCTGGTTGACTTTCTGTGTCTTTAAAGGCGTTGACATTATTGATTGTGAATTTTTCTTCTTCATCTTCGGTTTCTTCATTGGGTTGAATGTTTTCGGAGCGTTTGAGGGCGAAAATATCTCTGGCTTCAGATCGTTTTAGTTTGTAGATGTCTTTTTCGCAGGCCCAGCGAAGATGGCGCGTGATACTGTCGCGACAACGCGAGTACCTCTCCTGGTGCCATTCTTTTTCCCATTCGCCTGGTGTTCTATGTTTTAAAAACAAAATTTTAAGGTTTTTTTGATGTTTTTTATGAATATAATGCTTTGTACCTCAATTGAAATTTTAATTCCAACTCGCGATTCGTCAAAGTGTCGACGAGAAATACGCAAACGGCGAAGAATGCCGTCAGCGACAACCACATCCTTCGACCACTACTGCAACCACCTTTTTGCGCAATCCTCTTGATACTTGTTCAATAGTTGTGTGTTTGCTGGCACTCGATAAAATTGTAGGATGTTATCTCTTCGATAGTTGGCAAAGAACTGCGTAACTTGGTCGGTGGTGGAGTAACTGCCTCTTGGGGTAGATAGAGGTGTTTTTAAGCGCAGCCGCCACCGACGCACTGATTGCGTTGGTTTCGCGTATGAATGCAAGAGCGTGGGGCGGTTTGTGACGGTATAATCGCCTGCCAACTTTGATCAAACACACATTTTACGATGTTTGATGACACGAGATGGTCGCAGGGCCATTTCAGCGTGATTATTGCTACATTAGCGAAAGCGTTGAGTGGGTTTTGTGTAAACAATCCGTACGAAATTAATTAGTAAGAGAATTATCACTTAAATGTGATTAAAATCAATTTAAAAGCAAAAGTATAGTGGAAATGTTTTGTAATGGAATAATACAAGGAATCGCAGATTATTTGAGTTGTTTAACATGTTCAGGACTTGATTAATACTTGATTAATGAAGAATAAATTTCAATAAATAAAGAAATTAATTTTTTTGTAGAAAATTTTTGATTTTTGTTAGATTTTAGACAGTGAAATGTATTTTTATATTTTGTATCAAATTGAATTCAGTAAAGAGTCATGGCGAACGGATTATTATCTGCTTATCACGCAATAGTGGGTTGAATCGAGTTTTTTTTTAGAAACAAAGAGTATTACAGCATTACAGTAGATGTAATACAAAAATACTAATACTAAACTAACGCACAACTCACTCACACCAACAAACATTTGCTGAGAAATCAGCTCCACGACTTTAATCCAGAAAAGTGCATTTTAGCATCATCTAAATATAATAAAGACTATATTTTCCTCTTTGCTTATTTTTATTCAATTTATTTATATTTTAAAATTCAATTTTATTTAGATTTTCTATAAAATAGTGAAACTCATATTTGAGTTATACTGAACCAGTGTGTTTATCTGGTTATCGCGCGATAAAACAAGATATATCGAATGTATAGTTTTTTGTCAAAACAAACAAACACGTAGAACTGCAAACCGAGAACTAAAAATCTCCGTAACGAATTTATTTCAGAATAGTGCATCCTAGCGCCATCCCGCGGTCCCATTAATAATCAAACTATAAAAACAATGGCAGCTGATGTTTGCAATATTTCTTTAATTTACTTCTGATGAAATGATATGCAATGGATAAATAATGTTAAAATGACTTAGATATCAACCTAAACTTATTGCGTCCATTCAAAACTAATGAACAATTTAAATGTAACCATCTACAACTTTTATTAACACTATTTACACTTCATAAGAAAATAGACATAATATTTAACGTATGAATAAGTCACTCCTAGTGCACAGTATACAGAAGTAATCATCAACGGCAGAAACTGATAGCCGTTGATAACTGGAATAAAACCGTGCAGAATTTCGCAGTACAAGAAAACTGGCAGCAAGCCCAATGTGTACATACTCTCTACACTGTTGAGCATCGGTAGCGTAAACTGACAAAATTGAAATGGATGCAAATTGTGCAAACTATAAAACGCGTACGCGGAATGTAAAATCACCAAAGTCAATTTGATGAATAACAAATTCGGAGGGAATAAGAGCGGAAACAAAGAAAAGTGTCCTACAGTAGATAGTAGAAGATAAACTTTGGTATCGCCTGGTTCAACTACTGCCAAAATGCTGTAAAAAATAAATTTATATTTTAATTTATTGATGTATATTAATATATGTTATATAAATTACCATAAAGGAATGATTGCCATTAAAATAGCCTTCTCATGGACATGCCATCCAAACATAAACGAAGATAATGCGCATAACACAATACATCTGATGAAATTATTCGGTTTGTGCGTAGATTTCGCTAGTTTTACTATAGCAGGCATCATTGTGATGGCTACAAGAAGAATTGTCATCTTTGGTGAAATGTTAGGTAACACATTGTGGGAATATTCCTTGACTAGTCCACCTGTCATCGAGGCTTTTTCCATGTTTAAATTTAAACCCATTTTTGATACTAAAATATTGATTTTTATATTTAAAATTTGTTTTTTTTAGAATTTATTAGTTTTTTGATGTTTTTGAACTTACCTACAATCATTGCAGCTTTGTCACCTAAATTATACAAAGCCCAGAAGTTAGGAGCCCAATAAGCATGGCACAATCCTCGTTTGAACGGAAACAAACGACTTAGCACTTGATCAATGTGACCAACAAATGGCAGGAATGTAATCACAGCTATCCCAACAACAATAGCACCTAATTTTAAACAATTGATAAAATTCAACTTAATAACCATGGATTCCTCTGTTTCATTGCCATTTTTTCCATTATCTTTAACTTTAGCTTTCTCTTTTGAAGGTTTATTGTTGATAGCACTAGGTTTTGATTTAATTGTCAGGCAATAAGTTGTCAATAAGTAGATGAAGTAAGCAGGTGCAATGTATACATAAATATGTTTCATGCACAGCAGAATTGTGAACCAAAACGCACCCTGCAGTACTTTTCTCTGCATAATTTTACAAATTGAAATCAATAATATTCCATACATTATACCATTGTACTGGAAATGTACATGATCCACCATCAGTAGGCCAGGATTTGCCAACATCAAAATTGGCAAAATTATCTCTGATCTTTTGCCTTTACCCAAGATGGTTATACACAAATATACACCATAAAAATACACAATATCAGTGATAATTACTGACATTCTTTGAAATAGCACTGTATTTTCTGATGCATAGTTTAAATTCTCTACTTTCAACATATCAGCATCAAAAAACTGTGCAAATTGAGAGAGGATAAACTCAAACCAAGCAAATAAAGGTGGATAGTCCAGTGTCCATTCAGATGTTTCTTCAAAATACCATTGAGAAATGCTTATGTTGTGTGTTATAGCCAGCCAATTTCGATGGACTTCAAAATCAGTTGATCGACTAGAGTGAAACATATTAAAGTTAGTTATATTTGTATTTTTGTTTATATGTGTCTTTTTACTTACTATGCAGGAATAAGAAGTGCTTTGATGCAAGAGATTAAAACAGTGTATGCCCAGAACATGTTTATTGTTTGATTTTGTCACTTTGTGGTTAAATATTGTTAATTTTAGTGATTACATTGCTGTTTTTTAGTTGGGGATAACCTAGTCATGATTGCTAGTTAGCACATCTTCACTTACTTCACTAATCTTTACTTGAAACACGTAAAAAGCTTGAAATCAAAAGGTGGCCAACATGACGATCATATACGCGGACTGTAAAGATTTGTTTTGATTCAGTTCGGAGTTCTCGGCGCATTGCAGATTTTGGTTAGGAATCAAATGTTGTGTATGATTTCTATGCAGACAGAGTTGTATTTAATTTAAGATAATTTTATTTTTAGCAATAAATTGACTATAAACGTGTTATTAACTTTTAAAACTAAACAAACTTGATAGTTTATTTGTACTTTTGCTTTGTTTAAAATTTTTACAGAGTTATGTTAATGTAAAACACAAAAAACAAGCAAATAACGTTAATAATCAAAACTGACAACTATTTTTATTTAATTTTAAACTAAATAAACTTAAAAACTAACAAATTCTTGTTTTAACCAAGTTGTAAGTTAAGATTGAGTTTAACTAAAGCTTAAACTTAAAATAATTGGATGCATTGTATAAATGAATTGTATTCTCTTTGATTTGCGTGGAATGTTGAACACAAAAAAGCTTTCAACGTGTTTGAAGCGCTTCTCTTTCTTAAAATATCTTCAGAGTCTTCTTTACTCGATTTCGCAAGTCAACCTCCACCAAGGCGGCGCTTTAATTGAACACATAAGTCTTTCAAGTTTACAAAAAGCTGATTTATACCGCAATCAATGCAAATTTAACACAAATCACTAAAAAAAAACTAATAAAATATATTATAATTAAAGATTAATTATGTAAATTGTGTTTTTAGTTAATATCTAACTGTTTTTGTGAGTTTTATTATTTACACTCCAAAATTCACAAGAACAAAGTGTCGATGAACTTTTTCGGCTGATTTCATCTGTGTTGGCGTCTCGTGACGCAATATTTGCTCTCGCGACCGATGATGTCAAGTGCATTTGTATATTTCTGCATTCTGCAGGGTTCCACAGGCAGAAAAAGGTGTGCGATGGTCCTGCAACGGGATATCCAAACGATCAACATTCATTTTATTCGCGGGATGTGGCCGTGTCCAATGCATCGCATGCAACGGGACTTTTTCTTAAGTAATCTACATTTAAAGGTGTAAAAATTGCCTGGTCATTACTCATTGTAAGAAGGGCTGTATTTTTTAACTTGAGAGCTTTTTCATTGCGTTATCATGTCTGAAACCGCAACATTAATTGATAATTATGCATCGGACATGCACATAATGAAATTTAAAACCAAAAAAGGCGTAAAAATAAAATAAAACGTGATTTATATTGAATCTAGCTTTTGCCCACGACTTCGTCTCGGTAATTTTTAATAAAAATGTAATTCGTTTTTACTCTCTTGTTCTAGACATAGTATGTGTCAATTCTATCAATAAGATTCGCAATTTTATTTTGAAGAAATTAATTATATAAAGAATCCCTACTAATATTATAAATGCGAAAGTCCTGATGTTTGTTACACTTTCACGCAAAAACTACTTAACCGATCATCATGAAAATTTGTACACATATTCTTAGTGGTCCCCGAATGGTTATAGGCTACTTTTTATTTAATAAAAAAATTCTTTTTTAAATAAAATAAAGAAATTGTTTAGCCAATAATACCTCTGCATCTGGCTATTTGACTACTTTAACGCCATCTAGCATTCCAGCAATGAAGCTCAAACCTAAGTACTATAGTACCATCACACTGTATTATCACACTGTATTACCGACAGCTGCGTCAACATCAAATCCAAGTGACTACAATATGGAGACGGTACACTATACTTCCATAGACTATACTTTCAGCCATTTTAAATTTCCCGCCCTTCTACTTCATTGTTACTTCTTCTGTGACTACCTACGCGTACGGAAGCAAATTCATTATTTTAGATATTCGCGAGCGAAGCCGTGGGTTAAAGCTAGTAGCTAATAATTCACTTCAGCGCGCCATCTCGGATTCAACTATTTAACTATAACTATGATTGAAGCTCAATGCCAACTTTTATCCTGTAGAAAAGGGCTGCCTTTAAGGTTTTCCCGGCAATTATTCGAATTTTTTTTGCCGTATAAACCATCCTTGGACTTTAACGAACACTTTAAAAAAAGAATTGGCCCAATTGGTCTAGGCGTTGTTGAGTTATGCGCTTACCAACAGATTTTGCGATTCATTTTTATATTAGAGATAAAAAAAATTAAATGGAAAATATTTGAGATTGAAAAGAAAAAAATTATATACAGTCAGATTGTGAGTGACATGTTAATAAATCAACTTAGTTTATCATTCATCTTCGTTTGACGTTCTGAAAGTCTAAAGAAGTCCAAATCGTCTGAAACTAAAGCAGATTCTTCACAAACAAAAATCGAAAACAACAAACAATGAAAAATGACTCCAACTTCAAACTGTTTCGACTGTTTCACAATGTTCTCTTGTATCAACCTTGAAATATTTAATAGATTTGGTCAAATGAAGACTAATTTGTGCAAAACTGTAATTATATTCATTATAACATGTAGAAAACCTCAAAAAACACTTTAAACTTTATTTTATTTTTAATTCCAAGTAAATCTAATGCCTCCAATTTTCTCTGCGTCTTTAAGGTCAACATATTTATTCAACTGATTGTTTTACACACATTTTAACGCATTAATTTCTTTATATTTGCTTTTAAATGTTTTATTAAGTTGGGATTTTACGCTTGATTGACTTTTCGCTCATCGCGTGCTTTTTATTTGCTTTAATGAAGTAACGATACGTGCCCTGAACCCTCAAAAGACAGGTCTTTAAGATGGTTAGCCAAAGATGCAGACGAAGACGAAGAAGACGAGTTTGCGTAAGAGGATGAAGAAGAATAGCGATCCGCAATCAGCCCGGCGAGAAATAATGACGTCCACGGGCAAAAGCCGAGCCGAAAAGGCGCGACCACCAAAAATACTCACAATAAAAATAAACCGAAAAGAAAAAAAACTGTTTTTGGCCAATGACGTACGCAGAAAAAAGCGTTGCGGTTCCTCAGCGAAGATATAAAGCGATGCACTTGACATTGCATCGCCAAAATTCGAATTATTATCGCTGGTGAAACATTAATTCATTTAGAAAGACAAAAAATATAAAAAAATGATTATAGTATCAAAAAATAAATTAATTTATATTTTATTGATTGCTATCAATAGTTTTTGTGTTTTAAATGGAAAATTATTAAGAGTTTATGAAGAAAATCCGTTCCTCAATGGTAAGTCACTTAAATATCATTTATATTTCGATTTAACTTCCTGTCTTTCACAATTAAAACATTGAAAATACAAGAAATGACTTCCTTTTGCTCTTTACAGTCATTAACTTCTTGATAAATGAAGATTTATAACATTATAACATCAGTAATCGTACGCAATGAAAATTTACACTCGGTTTGTTACGCGTTTTGTTTCGTTTAATTCGATTCAAGTTCAACGCGACATAATCATCGCTCTGTCTGCTGAAGTGGACTCGAATCACCGTGAGACAAATTTGGCGAGTTTCCGAGTATATAACAACATTTCAATGTCGTATGCTTCACAATCCGACAAAAGTCTTCAACAAGTTCAAATGTTTCAAGTCGTTTTTTGAATTTATTTTATACGAAAATAATCATAATAAAATTGGAGATAATGATAAAGAATGTAGAGCTAGTATTGTTTAGTGTTATATTAATTAAAGTGAATTGTCAAACAAGTGGAGTATTACAAAGTGTAGGATTTAATAACTCCGCGAACACAAAAGAAGATCAAAGTCGAGAAAAACCGGAGTCGACAACGTCGGCGGAGTATTATGAGCTTACTTTTTCTGTTAACGGTATGAGAGTCTCAATTTACTTGGCGTAATTCATATTAATTCAACGTATACATGATATTACGATATTACGAAGAAGAAATTGTGATGTTTATTAAAGCGAATCAAGGAAATATTGAAACGTGGATGATATGAATTTTAATATTAGGGAAATAAGCTCCAAACATTTTTTTGATGTAAAATTATGCGAATAATTTTTTTTTACTTAGTAATATACTAAAATTTGAGATGGCGCTACAGTGCATTATAAGCATTTCTTATTTATTTAAATAAAATTGCAAATTTTGTTGTTGGAATTGACAAATACAAGTGAAAGGTAAAAATTTATGACATTTTTATTGAAAACTATGGAGACAAAGTCGCGATATAAAGCAAGATTTACCATAAAATATTTTTGAGTGTCTATAGGCAACCAAACAAACACTCCACATATAATAATACTTGCAACCCTGCATTTTACAGTATTTTTTTCTATTAAAAACTTTGTGCAAGTCATGAACTTCATTATGCGGTGCAAAAATTCACCAACCGTGATTCCTGACAACTCCTTTTAAGTGTAAGACATCGATCGTTATCGCATGCGCAAGTTATAATAGGATACCCAAACCTTACATATAATTATTTTTCATTTTGCTATAAAATTTTTTAAAAGTGTTGTTAATCTTTTGTAATTTTATAGTTACATAACTATACCTACTTTATATAAACTTTTTGCAGGCGAATTTCAACCGGGCATTAACGTGCCGCAGGGCCCGGTTAATGATCCAGGCGAGTACGAAAACGGCAATTCGCCGCCGATCATCGAGCCAATTCATGTGAATCACCGTCCAACAATCAGGCCCGTCCAGCCCATCGGTCCAATACTGCCTCCTGTGAAACCTCCTGTACAACCACCTGTAGTTCAACCTCCTTCACTACCACCATCATCATCAAACGGTAAGTTAAAATTTGTGATACAATAAAAAAAAGTTTTAAAGGTTTTAAAAGTTGTTAATTGAGGTTATGTTTATAGATTTATATAAATATTGTCTTCACCCACGTGGAACATTCCAAAGTCGTTATTGTAATGCTTTCGTAAACTGTTGGGACGGTAATGTTGTTGAACAATTTTGCGGAGCAACTTTAGTGTTTAATCCCAAAGGATTCTGTGATTATATTTGGAATGTTAACTGCAATGGTAAACCAATTAAAGGTAATTTAGTCAAATAAATTAATTTATTACCTTCTTTATAAAATTTGTTTGTTTTATAGAAATCCCAGTAGTTTTGGGCGGTTCAAACGGTTGGCCAACAGATGGCAGCTATGTACCTCCAACATCACCACCTTCATTACCACCTGGTCCCAAACCAACAGTCAAACCTCCACCAATACAAGCAGTGCCTCCAGTAATTATCGACCCGATAAGACCTCCGTATAGACCTAATCCAGGTGGACCTATTTATACTATTGAACCACCTGGATTCGGAAATCCTCCACAAGTTTCCACTCCAAGACCTGTTATATTACCACATCCTACTACTACCACTACAACAACATGGCGGCCGATTGTAACGCATCCAACACTGCCACCTGTTGTTACATTCCCAACACGTAAGTATAAATCATTATTTTAATAAAAACATTATTTATGTTATAAAAAATAATAATTTTCAGCTGGAAATCCTGATTTGAAGAAATATTGTCTTCATCCACGTGGCCAATTTGCTGGACCTCATTGTAATAAGTTTATTAATTGCTGGGATGACGTTGTAATCGAACAAGACTGTCCATATGGACTTAACTTTAATCCCAATAAACATTATTGTGATTTTCCTTATAATTATCCTTGCAGGATATTTAAAGGTAATTATAACATATTATTATTTTAAAAATACATTGGAAAACATATGTTCGGAACTTATACCGCAACTCCAACATTGTCTTATTACAAATTTTTGAAATATTTTCTATTTTTAGATGCTGATCAATTCCAAAATGAATTTCAAGGAAACCAATTGGGATTTTAAACCATAAAACATCATAAAATATCATAAAACACTAAAACAACTTGAAATCAACAATTTTTTTTGACAATTAAAAAATTAATTGTTGATTTTGACTATTCACTTCCATACGTAAGTAAATTTAAGTAACTTTAAAATAATTATTCCTATTTTTGTATTTAATTTGTTTATTTGTTTATTATTGACTTAATCAATATATATACGAAAACTTAATTGTAATATATTACATGATTTGTGATTTATTACACGTACATCGAATAAAAATACTAGCTAATCGCATAAATCCATAAAACAATAACAATTTATGTATTTTTTCATGTTTCTCGGTTTGTATCTTGTCTTGATGTCTAAATTGTGATCCTGGCAAGTAATTAACACATAAAATAATAAACAAAATATAAAAAAAAACTAATTAGTGACTCGGCGATTTGTCGTAAATCGTTTCTCGATTTGGAAGAGTTTAGTGTTGACACCCGGTGAGGAAGTCGCGGTCGCAGGACGACAAGGACGATCGGACAGCTTCTCGTTAATCACACAGTTCGTCCTGTTAATATCCTAATTTCTTTAACGCCTTCAAGTCGACGTCTTTGTAATAATCCTCGCTATAAAATCAAACAATTTATTTTTAAACAAATTAAAAAATTTAAAAAAAATTTGAGTTATTTTTTAGTTGTGACTCATTAATATTATTAAAATATAAATAATAGAGTGCAAGAGAAAGTAATTTAAGAACATTAATTAATAAGAATTAATTTTTAGAGAGTGTGATTCATGGAATGCTGGTGTATCGATCAAAAACTAAACGTCTTCCTTAATAATAATAGTTTATTCTTATTTTTTTACAAAAAAAGATGAAGCGTCATCGCAATCGCTTTCCATTAATAATAAAAAAAGAAAAAACAAACAAAAACAATTTCACTAAATTAAAAAAAAAACCATTTGTTTCTTTGTTTCTTGTTTTCGACACACGCATAATTTGTTTTCGGTGGGTACGAATGATCTCGACTTGAATTTTGTTTTGATGGTGTTGTGGAGGGGGTTAAATTTCAACACAAAGGGGCTTGGGATTTAATTTAAGCCTGGTCCTGGTTGGGGCGCGCATTGGCCGTGGGACGTGGCTGTTGTTTAGTTTTGGGAGCCGCCGCCGTGTTCGTCTTGCTCTTGTGGCTGGAGCTGGAGCTCAGACCGGCGAGGAGTTCGCTCTTGCGGATGCTCTTCAGGTCCAGGTCACCGTAGTAATCCTCGCTGTGGACACACACGCAAACACAATGCAAAATATCGCCAAAGAGAAAAAAACCCATCAAATTTTTACATTTACAACACCAGCAAATTTAAATTTAAAAAAATAAACATTCAGGGACATTTTGTTCAAAGTGTAAAGTGTCATGTGACATGCAATTAGTATATATTACATTATTTTGTTATAGAATGTAGAAAATTAAAGAAAAAGTTGAAAATTTAGAATTTTTTAGAGTTTTTTGAGGTTAACTTACCATCCGGGAACATCTTCGGGGTCTTCACAGTTGCCAGTGCCATCTGAGTCACCAATTTTGAAAACGGTGCCAATAGGGCATCCATATTCTCTTGGTACACCTTCCAAACAGATGTAATACTTGCGGCAGTCTTCTGGATGGGCATGACGCGAGAATGTACCAGAGTTGGATACTTCACCAGCGGCTGGGCAAGCGAAACCACCAGCAACTTCTATAAATCAAAAAAAAAAAAAAAATTTAACTTTTTTATTAAAAAAAAAATAAAAATTAATTCTAACCTTCATTTTTGCATTCTGGTACTTGATCAGCCCACATACAAACACGAGCTTCACGATCATAAGCCAAACCAGGTGAGCATTGATAACGAGAAGCTTCACCGTTCCAGCAGTTCCAGAAAACGTCACATTTGGCAGCATCAGCAAAGATACCATACAAACGTTCACAATGCGTTGTACCAATTGGTGGTTCTATAAAAAAACATAAAAATATATCCAAGAGCCACGCCTACTGGCAAAATGTTGGTTTTGCACTACTGCGCATGCGCACTCACCCAATTGTGACCTCTCCCCACATTCGACATTATGAATGTAGTCGCAGTTCTCAGTGAGGAACTTGGAGTCACTGGCATCGAACGCCAAGCCATTACCGCACGTCTTCAATTCGGCGACATTGTTATCACACTTCCAGTATTTATCGCAGGATGTGTGATGTGGATAGAAGCCGAAATCATCGGGGCATTTGAAGCTCTCCTGTGCGTATGCTAAAAACCACAAAAATTTCAAATTTTAATGACATAAGTTGAACTAATGCTTCTTATCAATATAATCACTTAATCCTTGCATGCATGTAATTTATGTAGAAGCCATGTGAAAGTTACATCACTGACATTTCCAAGCACACCGCGTCAACATTTGAAGGCGTGTTTAATTTAAAAATGACATTTGCACTGCGCAGGATGGCAGAAATTAACATTTTAACGAGTCTCTTGGAATTTGAGTGTTAAAATACTTTACTTATGCAATATGTGCTTTCAAAACCCATCTGAGTGTGTGCATTTGGTTGCCTAGCATTAGAATAAAGTGAAATGTAAATGAAAACGCTCCGCACCTTCAGTTTCAATCATGACACAGATGTAAATTATTCAAATGCGACAATCGAAAGTCACAAATCTTCGCTTTGCTTTGCAATGCCATAAATGTGTCCTTCAAACACGACTGTGGTAATTATCGTTTTGATATTCACCTTTCTATATAATACAGTTAATTTTTCAAGCCGTGTGCTCGTTGTATGCCCGCATTTGCTGTTTTTCCAATGGAATGCAACGCGTAAACGGCGTTTAATGTCCCGTGACGAACGAAATTCAATTAATATTTGTTCCAAGTGCCAACTTTTCTCCTTTCCTTCGCGTGGCGGCTTTCTAGGCCTTAAAACGCTAATTACCGCCACGGCATTGATTAGATAGCGCCGCTGCACGAACACGCACTCTCTTCTTTCGCACATTTCAAAGAAAATCCATCATCCACAAAGCGCAAGGTCGATTCAGTCAATATCGATCCGTACAATTAGTCGCACACTGCGCCGACGCGAGTGAAAGATTGCAATTAGCCGATTAATTATTAGGTCGATGCTCAACAACTCAACTTCAACGCGCGTAATTGAATTCAATTTCTATTTCATCGTGTCCATGATCATTATCAATTTTCTTTCACATCCAACACGTTGTAATTGGCATTTACAGCATGTGATATTGGTTGCCTATTGTTTCATCGGGTGTGTTGCCTAGATTAGCGCTATTTTACATATGGGCGTTGTTTGGAGCAAGATGTCGGCCGATTTTGATCGCGACGCAATGGAATGGAACATTTTTAAGAAAGCGAAGCGTTATTGATCGCTTTTGGTGCTTTCTCTTATTAAAATACGGCGTCGGTGATCACAGAATGCGCTTGTTTCCGCTTAAGCATTGTGCGCATACAAATTGCACTCAATTTTTGGCAAAATACGCGCGGTGAATTTAAAAACCGACCGAAGTTCAACGACCAAAATCTAAAGTATTTATTTATATCAAAAGGAAATAGTTTTATTTTATTTGCAGCTCTTCCGCTGTACTGTTACAATTCCTTATTTAAAAGAAGAATAATAATAAAAAAAGTTGATTAGCTTGTTTGTTTCAATTGTTTTCACGGTGTTTTAATCATGCGCTTCTTCCTTCCTCATCAATGTTTGTATACAGTGTAAAGATATAAAAATATGTCCTGATGAAACCAGTCAGAGTGACATTTCTCTCACGCGGCGCGAGTTTCCGATTTCTTTCGTCCGCGTTACATTTCTTTTGCGACCGACCGCCGACTTCTGGTCACCAGTGCGCATGAAAGTGGCCACACAATCGACTTTCCAACGAAAACACCAGAAATCACGCTGTGACACCAACAAAACTATTAAAAAAATCACAAAGCAACAAAATCCACATATTTTGTCATATTTTAATTTTTTGCAATTATTTTAATAAAAAACATCAGACGAGTATCAAAATCAATAAAATTCGATACAAAATTAAACAAACTAAAGTTTACAATCAATATTTACTTAATTTCGAGCGTGATTTGCAAGTATTTTAATAAAATCTAAAAGAAAAATTCATATTTTGTTATTTTTAGTCTTCTGTTTGCATTTTCTGCTTTGTTTGTTATTATTTTATTGAAATCTAAACCATTTTCACTTTCTTCCTGTATTGGGCGATATTCATCACTCAATATCACATAATACGCATTAAATATGCGCGTAATATTTGTATTTAGCGGCCGCAACCAGTTTCTTCGCAATACGAAACAAAATTTACAGCAACAAAAACACAAACTTCTCGTATTGGAACGCGTCGCGGCTGCGTTACGCAATACTTTCTAACTTTAACATCGCACGCACGCACTCGAGCACCGAGTTATTTAATATATACGGATTTTACGTGATTAAATAATGCCCAACTTTTGCTGCATGTTCGAAGGCGGATAATTTAATTAAATCGCAATTAACATTAACATTAGCCACGCTGCCTCGCAGAAATCAGGCTGATAACAAAACAACCAATAGGAATGCATAGAAACTTGTTTTAGGAAATAAATGTTGAGTTGGTAAGCAATATTATGCAAGAAGCAGGAATTGACGCAAAAGATTTAACAATTTAACTAAATGCGCTATTAATTTCCTAGCCAGGAATTGAAAAATCGCTTTACTGCATTGATTTACATGTAGTTATAACCTAAAAGTGGTTTTGTGCTATTGTATGCGTTCGATGTGTGCTTAACCGGTTGCGGTCCGTGGGCGTCATGTTTTTACTTTCACCATTTTCCACCGCGCTCGACAAAACACTTCTTAACAGATGGAATTTGTCGTTTTTAGTGCACAAAATCACATTTCTATTAAAAACACTTAATATATACACTTAAAACACTAACCTCAATTTTCAGCTAGTAAAAGTATGCAACCAAATGAATGACCTTCATCTAGCAATGCGATGAAACCGCATTAGAAAACGATTCGCGAGAGTTAAATTAGCAATGAAAAAGTTCAATGTCATTTCGAATGCAATGTGTGTCTCGCGAGTTGTAAGTAATTAACTAGGAATAATTTTTTAATTGAGTTCCGCATTCCGTAAAAATAAAATTTTTTTCTTTGGATTGTTTGTGGCAAAACAAAAAGAAAAACGTCCATAACCTATTTTTGCGTTCGTCTACATCCATTGTTTCACGCGAAGAAAAAAAAAAACAAAAAACAAAACAAAACTTCATTCATTGCAAGTAGAATGCAGATTTATCTGCAGAGTTTGGCGAGTTCGGAGTGTTCGGTCACTGTGTTGTTAATTAAACGCACTTTTAATTACCAGCAGCCGGGGCGCGCGCATGCATTGTTTAAACTTTCGATTGTTTAGACTCACTGCTGTATTGTGCGAAAATGTCAGACGTCAAGCATTTAACTGCGATTAGGATCACATTTAAAGTTTTAAAGTTTCGTAAATGTTTGCGAAAACTACGTTTTGAATTATCTAGGCAACCAAATATACATACAATGCTTATTAAATTTAACTTTACGTTTAAACTTAAATGTGGGACAAAAGTGAAGACATTTTCTTTGAATTTCTCGACGTTGACATTTAAATGTGTCCTAAATGTGTAACGATATTTAAATATCATTTGTTTTATAAGAAATATTTGTGTTTTTGTGTGTTTTTCGGTTGTTTTGTGTACTTACCAGAATATGTGAGCGCACTGACGATGAGAACACACGCAAGACTCCTCATTTTGGCAAACGAATTAAACAACAACAAAAAAAATAATGTTTAAAGTTAGCGTCACTACAATACGAACTAAAGGTAGACTGCGGGCGACCGGCCACTTTCTCACCTATATATCACGACCTCCCTGCCACGCTCCACCTTCTTCTACTTCTTCTCGGCCAGCAAAACGACGTCGTCGTGGCAAAGACGTATCCAAGCCCACCCGAACTCGTGTCGTACAACTAGAAAACTCGTAAACACTTAAAAACACCCAAAAAAACAAAAATTTTCTTTAAAAAATTTCAGGTTATGTTATGTTACACATTCCAACCTATAAATATTTTTAAAAAAATGTTATTTGGGTTGCATAACATAAATTTTTCTAGAAATTCAAAAAATCACCTGAACTCAAATTAAACTCAATTAAACGATTAAATAGACGTACATAATTTGATGTGTTGCATAAAATGCGTAACATGTGTGATTAAAGTAGAGTTCGTTCGCCAATGCAAAGAATGAGATCAAGATCGAGCCAAACCCTGCTTGATGAATTTATTACGGCTACCTGTGTTGCTTTTATTTTTTCATATCGCGTCTTTTTCTTGTAATCCACATCATGATTCAGAGTAGATCATATTTAGCACTCAATATATTAAGACTTTTTTTTATAGTGCACTACAAAATCAGAATTTAATGTGACATTGTCACAAAGTTATAAATTATTTACATAACTACTTTTTATACCGACTGAAGGTGAGAGCATTGTATCTCATTAAAAATTTTATCATGATCTCGTTTTCATCCTGATTTTTTGCGTGGAATGTCAAGTCATCAATGTTATTAAATTATTAAAAGAACAGGTGAGTCAAGTGTTTACTACGATTGCGAATTTGGTTTTTAGTGAGGTGTGGACGGAAATATTGCAAGAATGGACAACGTGTTATTAAATTCCGTGAAATATTAATGAAATCACCTTCAAACAAACTACACGGAGATAAAATAATAAAATTACTTCTTTGGTTGGTAATGTAGAAGTGTAATAATTGCTTTTTTGCGAGTATTATGCAAATTATAGGTTTAATACTCACATTTTAAGGATATTTGAAGAATGAAGATTCGTTGCAACCAGTTATACAAGTATTTACTTTAATAGGACCACCAAGTGTCTAATTTAATCAAAACTTTACAAATAACTTAATTTTTAAATAAAATGTGTTCTTAAAATTGGTAATTTATAGTTTGATCAATGTTTTTTACTATTATTATGCTAATTATTTGTATAATACTTTCATTTTTAGGTTATTTCAATAGTAAGAACTGTTTGTAACTAGTATTAACTCTAAAAATGACCACCAGATGTCTGATTCACTCTAAGCAATGCAAAATACTCTAGAAAATTGTTTGCAACCAGTTATACATGTTTTTAGTTCCAAAATGCCCACCAGATGGCATATTAAACCACCCAACTACTTTTTTCCAATAAAAAGTGTCAAGTTGTCGCAATCATCTGAATAAAACTCGAACATTTGCTCGATTTATGAAATCTTTGCCGGCTGAAAACATCGGTGTAACTTTTCTCATCGTCTAAAACGAGCAAACTCGCTCAGTTCTTACGCCAACGCTTGTGTAATGCGTTGGAAAACGCGATTCGGATGACTTGAATGCATCGACGCGACGCCGTCGCAGCGTAATGTCATCATGTCATCGACTTCTTGCGCGGTCTACAGCCGCTGCGCGCTTATTGAATTATCAAACGAGGAGCAATCCTGTCAATGCACACGTTTGGCGATTGCCTATTTATAAATGCTATTCATGATTAGTCTGGCCTGTGTGCTTGAAATCACTGCAATAGACAAGTCGCTGCAGTAATAACATGCACGCAGACATGCAGAGAATGAAGTATTGAAGGCAGGATTCGAGGAAAGATGCGACAAAAGGAAATTGAATTGATATGAGCGGCGAGACGTGCGGCCGACGCAACGGTCGTTCATTAAACGGTTCTTAGATGTAATCCGCCGTTAAGTTTATTAGCATTGGCGATGCGTCGAGATGGCAATAACCGGCGTCATGATAAACACATTACTAACATAGAAATATTTAATTTTTTAGTAAATCTAAACAAAAATTAAAAAAAAAATTTTTTTCAAAAAATTTAACCAAATTTGTTAATTTTTGGCCGCTAGATGTCACCACTAGCAATTTAAACATGATTTTAACATTTTCGCAATTTTAATGTGCAAATATTTGCCTATAATACGTAATAGTGCATTAACATTTGTACTTTGCGTATTCCGACCGCTCTGTAATTGATTCGGTAATAGATTTTATTGATTGTGGAGCGCAACGCGCATTATTATCGGCGGGCGATGTGCGCGCAAAATTCAAATTCGCGTCGACGTAACCGTGCGACGACCTAAGCGGCGCGCTGCGAAATGGTGAATTATGAATTTTAATTAGCCACGAACACACACCTAAAATATTCGCAAAGCGCTATTGTGTCAACCGGTGTCGTTGATGAACGATCTGCGCTTCACTTTCACTACCAGTTGCTCTTAGCCCACGTGCTGAATGCAAAACAAGCGAAAAAGACAAAAACAACAAAAACGCTGTTGTTAATTGTGAGATTACCGTATAGAAGTTCAAGTTTTTTATGGGTTAACATCAAATAGAACATAAGAGACATTAAAAGCATGCGTTACGAGTAATAAACTACAGGTAAACTCCTTTCACTGTTTGGAGAATGTTTTGTAAAAGGTTAGAGCTCAAAATTTGTGTTTAAAAGTGTTTTTGTTGTTAAAACTTCAAATTAAAACAAAAATTGGAAAAATTGTTTTATGCAACCCAAATTACATATTGTGTTGTATAATTGGTTGCATATGTAGCTATTTTTATTATTTTTTAAATTATTTGCTTAAAATGTAATAAAATTACACTTAAACTTAATTTTAATCGAATATTTTAACATTTTAAGGACTTGCATCATTCTATCACGATGAGAAAATATTTATTAATTGATAATTTAATGTGATGCATATATTAACCCATTTTGCACTGCGTTTATGACTCTAACCAAATAAAATTCAATAAAAATCAAAGTCATATTAATATTTCATTAATTTATGCACAATATCATCGCGTGATATTATTTTGATTAATGAATGTTTAGTCCGTGTCGGTCACCAAATCACCAATCACCAAATGTGTTTTAAGTCCAGCTGCGCTCAATGCAACTAAGTAAATATGCAAATTGTAGGCTTTTGTGATGTATCTCTTGATTGGCTCTTGGTTTTTGATTGTGTCGCGCGGTCGCCTCGCCTATTCGTCTGGGATTCGCGTGAAACGCGCAAAGTGGAGCAAGTTCAACACGTTTTTATGGATTTTTAACGCGGCTGCGACCTTCACGTCCGATGAATGCGATTTAAACTGATCGAATTTTGATGCAAACTGACCGAAAACGAAAATTGATCTGGAAGTGATTGAAAGTTGTCAAAATTGTAAATTATTGATCGAAGACTATACAATTATTACTTGAAACATTGAAAATTTGACACTGAACTAGAAATTTTGCATTTTTTTAAATAATTTGAGTTTATAAATAAATAATAAAGTGTTTTTTTATCGTTTTATTATAATAACTAGCTTTTGTCCGCGACTTGGTCCCGGTAGTGTTTAATAAAAATGTAATTCCTTTTTACTCTCTTGTTCTTGACAATAGTATGTGTCAATTCTATCAATAAGATTCGCAATTTTATTTTAAAGGAATTAAATATATAAAGAATTGCTAATAATGCACTTCAGCGCGCCATCTCGGATTCAACTATTTAACTATAACTATGATTGAATCTCAATGCCAAATTTTATCCTATAGAAAAAGGCGGTTTTTAGGGTTTTCCCGGCAATTATTCAAATTTATCTAGCCGTAAAAACCATCCTTGGACTTGGACAAACATTTAAAAAAAAGAATTGACCAAATTGATCTATGCGTTGTTGAGTTATGCGCATACCAACAGATTTTACAATTCATTTTAATATAATGGATAAAGTAAAAATTTTAAAAATGTGAAATATTTTTATGCAAACGAGTTAAACACGAGCATTTAAATATAATAATATTATAATAACGTGTTTGCATGCGTTTAAAATGCGCCGTACTCATTAATCACACTAATTATTGACAACCACCTCGTTACAACTTGAAGGAATGCAAAAAAATCAATTAAACCCAAATAATCACCTAAACATCGCGCGTAATCACTTGTTGTCGTAATTAATTCCAACGAAAAGTGCCAAAAATCATTATAAAAATATTATTTACGTTAATTAACGCTGTGCGTGCCCAAACAAACATAATTACCGGCGTAACATTACGAGCATATATTTACATGCATCATAAATTAAAAAGTATTTGCGTAGCGCACGCAAAATAACTATTTGAACTTAAATATAGAAATTGTTTGTTTATTTATTTATTTAATATATATTTGGTGTTATTGTTAGAATTTAAAGAAACATAACCTCGCTTCTATGCTTTACTCATGCGGAATGCGCTGCGAGATGAATGCGTTATGCAAAAATTCACATAACACTGCGTTTGTACCTTGCGGAGCATAAAAATCGATGAACGCTTGACATTTAGCTGATGAAAAATGCGGAGAGGAGTCAGCAGGCTAAAACATACACAAACATAAACACGAACGGAGACGTGTGGCGTGGATTTCTTAAGTTTGAGATGTTTTTAAATAGCTAATAATGATGAGTGTTTTTTTGCATGTACATCTTGTCTTCCTGGTTAAATAACAAATATCAAGGTTTAAAGCTGAGATTTTTAATTTTAACACTTGCAAAATAAGAGTATTCTATTCTCTTTTATTTTTTATAAATAACTAGCTGTTGCCCGCGACTTCGTCCTGGTAGTGTTTAATATAAATGTAATTCGTTTTTACTCTCTTGTTCAAGACATAGTATGTGTCAATTCTATCAATAAGATTTGCAATTTTATTTTAAAGCAATTAATTATATAATAAATTGATAATAATGCACTTCAGCGCGCCATCTCGGATTCAACTATTTAACTATAACTATGTTTAAATCTCAATGCCTATTTTTATCTTATAGAAAAGGGCTGTCTTTAGGATTTTCCCGGCAATTATTCGATTTTTTCTTGCTGTAAAAACCATCCTTGGACTTTAACGAACATTAAAAAAAAAGAATTGGCCAAATTGATCCAGGCGTTGTTGAGTTATGCGCTTACCAACAGATTTTGCGCTTTATTTTTATATTATAGATATATATTTCTTGAAGCAATTTTTAAGTCAACAAAAAATAAAAATTAGGTTTTTATTGAAATTATTTTCAGAGTTATTGGCAATTAAACAAGTAAATCTATGAAAATATTAAAATTTCCCTGTTTGACTAAAAATCTATAAATACATTTTTATTCGGTTACCATAGTGACAGATTCCATTAGATATAAAAGCATGAAATTTTCATGTGCTGAAAAATATCGGCGTCTAGTTTCTAACAAATCATTTATTTTTAAATTATAGTTTAAAAAAATGAAAACGTGTACAATATCCCCATTTAATCAAAATATAATAAATATTCCAAGTGAAACTAGCAGAACTCAATTAGAATTAATTCATGACATAATATTAGACACTTACAAATTGAATTTCTATGCTCCGCGTGCAACGCGCCGGGAAAACTGAAGGGAAATGGCTGAAAACACCTCGACATGAAAATTCCTCGCTTGCACCTCATTGAAATGTCAATAACACATCCTTGAAGGCTGTACACATTTAAACTTGGATGCAATTTCCGGTTCGTAGAACTCTAACAAGTGCAAAAATGCGTTTCAACTTTTCACATCAATATAAACTAAAATTTTCATTAAATATTTCAGGAAAAATAAAACAAAAATATTTTTCACTCGCTGAATACATGGAATAAATAGAATAATTGAATTGAATTTTACGTTGGACACCAGATGGGAGCGGCACATTTGATTGTCCACATCGAGCGCAATAAAAAAAGTGTGCGCACTCAAGTGGTTAGTCATAGTCGCGCAATAGGTATATTATTTACTGCAAGTACCTAGACCTACGTAATGCGCGCAGGAGTGAGTGCATAAGTGCAAATCAGCTAAATTACGAAACGGGCGAAACTATTCAATGTCGCAATTTGAATTTCTCGCATTCAGAAGTTGTAAATCAACCTGCCAATTACTACAAATCCAAAAAAACTAAATTTATATCAACATAACCTAAAAAACTACGTTTAAACATACATAACCTCAATAATATTAAAATTTACTTACATTTCTCTTTAAAGTAATAAATTATTTCATTTTTATGTGTATACTGCTTCCTTTTTAGACAAAACAATAGTTTATTAAGACGTCATGCTAATAAAACTTACCAAACATGGCTGAAGAAGATGTTAAACATTCCTAACCTTAAAAACCAAACAATTTCAACGCCTACTTTATCTAAAAATCATAATAAAACATAAATAAACGCAATAAATTAAATTCATTGCCACTTACGTAAAAAATCTAAAAGCAATTACTCTCGCCGATTGAAGAAATGAAGAGTGTGCTTTCACGTTCAATCGTTACGTTTCATTGCATAAACTTGATCAAACCGATTAAGTGCTTTCGTTATTAGACTATACATACATTTAAAATATGCCCGCGCGTTGATTCAATGGAATGTAGTTCCGACGACGCCGACACTTTTATAACCTAACTTATTCAGCTCCATGTGACACGCTCCATCTAACCTCAAGAATGCGTAATACGCATGGTCAGTTAATAAGCTTATACCTTATACCTGATGATGTCAATATTGATGGCTGGATTGAATTTTCGGCGGTTATGTTAATTTCGGTGGCGTTTACTATTGAATTCTTTATTATGCGAACGCATTACATTACGCGTTACGCGCGCCGGCGATGTTATGAGAGCACGCCGAGAAAAGAGCTTTTTTCGAGTCGGACGTGCGAGAACGCCGAGACCACACCGGCCAACACCGCCTTTTTTTAAACTTTCACTCGCGCCCGCGAGACACAAGCAACTTGAGCATTGATTAAACATTCAAGTATGTAAGTACAATGTACTCTGCAGTGTGTTACATTTATAACAAGTTTGAAAGAAGTTATTTTTAGAACAAAACAAAAACTAGGGGAAGATTGGTTGACCAATCAGAGGGCCGGATGATACTTACACAGACGTAAAATATGCGGACCCCTTGTTTGTTGTCATGGCAACACCAAACAAACGTCACTCGTTGCACTCCAGCGACACATTCAAACATCACTAGAATATAATAATTATACAGAGGTTAAAAAGAGAACGTTGATTTGAAATACACAAAATCAAAACAAATTTTAATTAAAAAGAGATGAACTGAGTTGTTTGTGACATATGAACTCCCATGTGATGTGAGTTTGCGCAAAACACGCGGCAGTCAAAAAAGTTAAATTGCATTCGAAGTTTGGCAAACGAATTGCACAACCATCTCTTTCACACAGCACGATGCATTGCATGAATGTGCGCGAATTTAAGATGCTCCCAATTTAATCTGCAGCGCGATATGGTAAGTGATCAACATTCAAACATTCAAACATTCAAACTCAAACTCGAAATCTTCGAATACACATTTCAAAAGTTACTTTTGCTTGTATTTCTCAACCGCCATGCGAATTAAGTAAGCGATTCGATGGTTTTGGTGCGATGCGTTGTGAAAACTCGAACGAGAACTTAAAAAAAAACGAAAAGTTAAGTAATATCAAATCAATATCAACATATGACTAATAAATCATTCATTTTTATTATTTTTTTAGTTGGTATGCGTTATATTTTATTTTGTGGCTTTTTTTGGTGGATATTTATTACATTTGGATGGTTTTAAAAGGTTTATCAAATATTTACGAATGAAATATTTCGTGGTTTATGAATTTTGAAGAATTTCACGTCAATCATTTGGCTTCATTGATCCCAAGCGGCATGTGCATCGATCATGATCGAGTTGCGTTAGTCGCTCGCTCGCCGGAGATTTAATTAGAAAAGGTGAAATGAAAAGTGGACGTCCTTGAAGGACGCTGTCGCCGACGTTGCTCCGAATCCTCCGAAAACTCACAAACATCGAATGAAAAAACAACAAGAACCAGACGAAGTGGATTCGAGATGATGATGAGTGCGAGAAGAAGTCGGACTGGTACGACTGGCACACTGAACGAACTTTTATATTAATGCTGCTACCTAGGTACCAAAATAACTGTGTTATAACTCTTGAAATGTTCATCGGGAGATCACGAAAAGACGATTACCGAACGCGCGTTGTTCAAACGACCAAAAACCAGATACGGGAGATTAATAATCGGACACCATTAATCATTCCAAAGCGCTGAACAGATATTTTTGTGTTCTACAACTTCACAAGCGCAACTGCAGTTACAAACCCCGCCAAAACCAGCAAATAAACAACATGATGGAAGCTGTTGCGATGCGAAAACAACTTTATGACAACTATTACTACGCGTATCAACATTGGCAGAATGTAGAAATGCAAGTGATAATTAATTACGACCATATCTTGCACTTTTCACTACATATTTGGTTATATGTCATTAATTTTACTAATATTTTAGGTTATTTAGGTTATGCATGGCCATAAAACTTTTCTCTTAATAAGTTTACATTTCACTTTAAATAGTGCTTTAAATGATTTGAATCTGTTTGAAATTGTAATACTCTGTATAAATCTAGACTTATCTTGTATTGTTAATGTTAATATCGCTGGCTTGGCTGGGCTAGCGCTGGACGTTCTCGAAATGATCAATATGCATGAGTAAAATTCACTTTCACTGTAAGTACGCACGCTGCGCGGCCCGTGCGTCCACGCCTTCAGCCATCGCATGTCTGGGCACTTCAAAAATTCAACGATTTCAATCTGTAATCACTTTAATACTTTTTTTTTATAAAAATCTGATATCTGTATGCAAGAGACTAGATTTTTTAAGGTTAGTTTTTTGTATTATTGGTTGCCTATATATTGTAAGTGGGATCAAGTTGAATAGAGTTGAAATTCGAGTGAAAAAATGAACGCAATCGGAATATTTATTAAGATTTATTGTTGAATTCGTAGTAATGAACGATAAATATTTATTTAAAAGACAATCGTGTTGTGATATACATACTAAATAAAACTATTGTATATATTTAGTTTTTGCAGAAAGAAAATGTAACATTTAATTTATATTGATTTATTATTTTAACTCTTCAATGTGAAATTAAATGCGTTAACGATAATTTGCTATTCCACGACTTCGCAAACATTGTATTATAGGCAAATTAACTTGTCGAAACCACTTCAATGTGTTTGAACTATCGAACGCAAATGAAGCGTAAGTACATCCACTTTGTTAAGGTTTATGGTTTAACTAGTTAATTAACTAATACAAACTAATATGTCAGTTATTGTTGTTGTTGATGTATTCTCAATCATACGTTGTATTCTACCGCAATCTCTGACTTTATGTTTAGCCTTGTTGCTAAACAAAAACAAACCGATAAAAATTTAATACATTTTAATCATGCTAGTGCCATCTACCGACTATTTTTCTAACCACAATTTAAAACGATTTACCGCGCTACCCGCGTTTAGTAACTTCTTATAACCTTAGATTAATTTTCAAGACTTAAAACGCTTTAAAATATAATAAAGAAAATGTTTGCAGCTTATTTACTCCGAGAACATAAAAGCAGGCTGTGTGAAATTTTATCTTCAAGCGATACTACAATACATCATTCTATTAACATCCTGTAAGTTAACTTTTTTAAGTTTGACTTTGTTTATCTTTAAGGTTATCATACATGATTATAATAAATCTGTTTTATCTTTCTTATGCTATGTTCTTAATAAATAAACAATATAGTAAATTATGCATTCCATGTAGCTTTAGTAAATTAGTAAATGTATTCCTATGAATATTTATACAGGTTTGTACATCTTTGGGAAGAAGAGCCCTCATTAGCTGCTTTGCTTTTGCACTCCCCTGATGAAGCAATAAAAAAACTCAATGAACATTTACAGGCCGTGCAGGATGAAATACAAGTGCAACTTTCAGAGTTGGAAACAAATCCTGGGAGACTGCAGCTGTTAATAGACAATTGCAACAGTTTTAAGGGCAAAATTCATTTGAGAGTGTATGATTTGCACTTTTGTACTGAATTAAACCGACATGAATTTCCCAAGTGTGAGGAATCATCATATCTGCAAATATCAGGTGGGTAAATATATTTTTATTGAATAAAAATGCCTAACACTAAAACATAATTTAAAATTTTGTTCAGTTATAATTTGTTTCGTGTTATGCAACCAAGTATACACGAAACAAACAAAAGTATTATTTTGTTTAAATTAAGTTTTATAATTTTTAATTAGGAACTGTTACGAGAATCTCAGCTGTAAAGCTGCTACGATACAAAAGGGACTACATATGCCTGAAATGTAAAGCTTCTGCAACGATAACGGCCGCGTATGAGACGAAATATCGAATAATTGCGCCGCGTCGCTGCTCAAACGAGAATTGCAATAGTACACAAATGAAAGAAGTCGATGAAAACCAACCATTATACTGCCGAGACTACCAGGAGATTAAAATTCAAGTTTGTATCAAAGTTATTAGTTCCGGATAGTTCCATATATAATTTGTTCCTAGGAGGATTTAACACGTTTAGGGTCCGGCGTTGTGCCACACTCGATGTGGGTAACTTTAGAGGATGATTTAGCAGATATCTGCAAACCGGGCGACTCTGTCACAGTTTGGTAAATATTTGTACATTGTCCAAGACTTGCATATTACTAATAACTGCATCCAAAAGCGGAATAGTTAAACGTCGCTGGGGTCCTCCAGTGAAGGGAAAACGCGTCGAAGTCACACTCGCATTACAAGCACACCACGTCACAATTAACAACATCCCCGACTTTGGTATTGGACCGCGAGCACGCCGCACCAACTTCGAAAGTTTCTGGCGAACGCGTCGCGAAGACGAACTACGCGGACGGGACGTAATCCTGCGGTCATTCTCGCCGGAGGTGAGAAAATGTCGAATCAGAAAGTTAAATCTACGAGTATTGAATGATGGTGATTGCAGATTCACGGACTCTACTTGGTAAAACTAGCTGTGGCGGTTGTCCTGGCCGGTGGCATTGGGGGTGGGGGCGTAAGCGGGTCACAGACGCGCGTCCAGCCTCATCTGTTGCTGGTGGGCGATCCCGGCACCGGCAAATCACAATTACTACGACAAGCAGCTAAGGTTATTCCACGATCTGTATGCACCACAGGAATCGGATCCACGTCGGCCGGACTCACGGTCACCGCAATAATGGTAATTACAGCGTGCCACAATAGGAACATATTACAACCAAGCTTTTGTTCTTTAAAATTAAAAACCCCAGCAATAATAGTTAAAATGTAATGTGGGTAATCTATGTTGTGATCTGTTTTGGTTGAAAATTTCATTAGGAAGATGGCGAATGGCAACTGGAAGCGGGTGCACTCGTGTTATCCGACGGCGGCATCTGCTGCATCGATGAGTTCCACACGATGCGCGAACACGACAGAACCAGCATCCACGAAGCAATGGAACAGCAATCAATCAGCGTCGCCAAAGTAAGCACTCCATCATTTTTTTACCATTACAAGTCACAATTCATCCACAACAACATAAATTTCCTTAAAAACACTGCACATTCAAGTGTAAATACTTTATTGTGCAATTTCTATTCACTTGGCATTCACAACGCAGTGAATTTAAAAGTTTTTCAGAGTAACTGTAAACATTTGTTGCTTGTTATATTCGCAACGCTGCCGCGAGGCGTTTTTATCTCCCGTGACCGTATTTTTTCTGTTTGCGCAGGCAAGTATTGTGTGTAAATTAAACACGCGCTGCTCTATCCTGGCGGCGGCGAATCCACAGGGCCCGCTCGACGGCAGCCAAACGCTTTCGTGTAATATTGCGCTCGCCAGTCCGCTATTGAGTCGTTTCGACCTTATCCTTACACTCAAGGACACCGTTGACGAAGTACGCGACGCGCGCGTTGCTGATTTTATCCTTCGCAGGTACGGTCCTAAGCCTGACACAGCCGTTGCCAAAGAGATTTGGAGCTTGGACACGTTGAAAGTAAGTAGAGCGTCATAAAACAAAACTTAATACAGTTTACACCACACTTAGTTTATTTTCCACTAGGATTACTATTTGGAAATACGCAAGCGCAGACCTTGCCTAACGCCAAAAGTGACTCCCATCCTGAATGCATATTATCAGTATCGTAGAAAAAGGAAGTTCAGGAACGAAGCACGTACAACTGTTCGGTTATTGGATAGTTTGGTACGTTTATCGAAAGCACACGCTAAGTTAATGTATCGCGACGAGGTTAATATTGTTGATGCTGTAATGGCGATAGCGTTACTTGAAGCATCCGTAGTGCTAGATTCACCGGACGTTGGAACGATGTTCGATCCGCAGATTGAGTTTCCCGAAGATCCAACCGAGTGGTATAAACGTGTTGAAGGCATCATTTTTGACAAGCTGCACTTGGATATTACCCAGTTTGCTGACTCAGTTGACATCCACGAGTGTACAACTCGATTGGATACGGTGGACTTTGAATGTTCGGAAAATATTGCGGAGAATTCTGCGCGAATTGAAAATAAGCCGAGGTTGCGAAATGAACAACATGTTCAAGATGAATCAGAGTGTCAGTCTACTCAAGGTATAGTGGATCACTTCGCGGGAAGAAATGATAACACATTTGCTGGTCCGCCTGGCGTTTTTGTTCAAGCGGATGCAAACGAAGTCGAGTGCAATACAACCCGCAATGCCAACATGAACATATTTGCGCCGCTTGATGATTTCGACGACCAAGACTTGGAGTTTTAAATCCAGCCGCGAATGGCACGAAAAGCGGGGGAGATGCAGCATACGTTACCATTTCATGCATTTTTATGAGCTGCTCATGAATATCCAGGGGAATGTCTGTGAAAATGTTATCATATTGTTTGACACGTGGCTAATTAATGCGTCACATTAATTTCACTCTTGTTGTGCAACGCCAACGAAGCCATTTTGATATATGACATTCATTTGCTAAGATTTCCTGTTCATTTTCTTGTTTGTGATTTGTTTTCAACCCACAGTCGCGTGAGATAAATTTGCGTTTAATTTATATTTCCAGGGCCGCATTCCATGCTTTGATTTAGATAGTTGTAAAGGTCTTAAATTGTTTCCGAGTGTAAAGTGCAGCATCAAGAGATATTTTCGTACTCTGTGCGCATGTGAACGCGACATGCGGCCGATGTCAACTGCGAACTTCGCTGAAGTTACAACTGCATTAACGCCATTACCCGCGGCACACTGGAAAGTTAACGTTTTGTGCAAACTTTTGTTTTGTCTACGTTTAAGTACCGCGTGAAAACTCCGCGTTGATTTATTGTAGACGTTGCGGGTGATGCGTTTCAAGCAGCTTTCATAAATTGGCTTTGATTGAAACGAATTTTTGCACTTTCCTATGTAAATACTAAGTATAATACAAAATGGTTGCCAGAGTAACCTTTTATTACCGCACCTGGCAATAAAATAACTATTTTGTGTGATTATACTTATTCACTTATTTTGTGTCATGCCAAAAATGAAAATATCAACGCAAACGATGACTGATACTTAGATTGTGTGTCGCATTGCTGTCGTGCGTTTAAGCGATTCCATATGTTAAACAGTTTATGCATCTGCAGTATCAGCGTGCCTAAAATTCACCGGCTGCAATTTATTGCACAATGATCGCATAAAACTGGTTGAAATATACGGATTATGTAAATGCACCAGTTGCAAGTCGCGCAGATTTCATAATCTGCATATTATCTTCAGAATTCAACTTATTTAGTTAATATTATGTCGCCATGTTGAGTTTTCTTGATTGTCAAAAGTTTTCATCATTAAAATTCACTCTTGAGTCTAAACCAGACGAATATTTAATGATATTGTAATGTATTATTTAGTTTCTGTATAATTACTAACGCCAACAAATGTAAATTCAATCGAATGACATTTTTATATGAAAATTATGCATTTGTGAACAATTGGACCGACAAAAAGGTGTTTGCATCCTGTAACCTTGGTTCTAAGTGTGATCAATGACCTAAAATTCCCACCGACGCCATTTTTGACTAAATATAACCAAAGTTTTGCTATGTAATGTAATTTTTATGCATTTTTTCGGGGAAAAACTAAGATAATTCAAGAAATATCAAATTTTCCTTCATGCACCGCATGCTATAATGTCTTGAAACACAATTGCAACTCGTTTGGCTTGTTTGTCATGCTTGAAACTTGGGCGCAACTTTTGTCTACTTGATTTACCGAGATTTATATAGCCTGCAAGAATGGCTGAGGCGGAAATTTGTGTGTGCACCGAGTGTGAACGAAATATGAGATTGTGCGGGTGTTCAAGCATAGAGAGCGCGTGAGTGTATCACGTTTTGCACTGGGAAACGTGCGCAATCGATGCACGCCCGTCGATGATGTGCGGATGAGCGTCGCGTTTTCGTTTTCCGCGTGCCGCAGTCTGCGAACGTTCGCCGCCGCGTTGACCACGCGAGATTTCCATCAAAATATAAAATCAAAAACAAAAATTACGTAAACTCCCCAAAGAATATTATATAACCCACAAAGTAATTTGATTAAAGTGCGCACTTTAAATTACACAACCTTAAAAATGACTAATATAAGATTTCCCCGCGGAAGATAAAATAAGTTAATCAGAATTTTGATTGCGTGCGCGCGTGTATCTTCCACATTTCATCCCCTGCCGACTACCTGTAGCCACCCCCAAACCATGCCCGTGATATATAAACCCGTGCGGTGCATTGCTTCACGTCATTCATGTCAACCACAGCGTCATGCGGTGGAGTTTTCAAAAACTTCAAAATAAAATCAAGCCACTTGCGGAAAATGTGACTCAACAGTTCGCGGGTGTAAATGTTGTGTGTTGGTAGAGGATGTCGAGGATAATAGTAATGTTAGTGATGGTTATGGGGTTGTGGTGTGTGGTGAAAGCGGTGGAATCGAATGACACGTGGACTTTATTGGAGCGTGGTGCGGGTAACGTCAGTGAAGAGGTGCAAGAGTATAATTTACCCGAATTGATCAAACGCTTTGAGATGCTGTATCCGATTGAGGAGTGGATGGCAGCCGGATATTTCACCAGAGATTATCTGACGATCGTCAATCCGCATTGGTTGCGTTTTGCGCCGAGACCGAAATGGCAGCATTATGCGTTGGCGATCAGTTATATGGTTATTATGTTTGTGGGAGTTACTGGGAACTTTCTTGTTATTTATTTATTTGCAAGGTGAATATTAAACAAAAAATATTTTATATTTATGTAGATTTTGTGATAGTTAAGTGATTTTAAATTTGTCAATTTATTTTGGGCAATTTTTGTTTACTTTCGGAAAAAATATTTTTTATTAAAAAGTCTTCGTAACATTCTTGAAAATATCTCTATTAAATTGCATGTTGATTGATTAAGTAGTTTCCGCGTGAAAGCGTAACAAACAAACTGATTTTCATATTTAACCTCAAATATAAAGATAATTTATTGAAAATTTGAATTTTTTTGACAGAATATTAGTTTTTTGAGGTTAAAAACAATAATTTTCCGACTTTTACTCACTTTTCATCAAATAAACTAAAATTTCTACTCAATAATTTAATAATAACACTAAAATATTAATAATTACATCATATTTTCTCATTTTTTCTTCTTAAAAAATAAAATTACCAAAATCTTAAACTTTTGAACCATTTAATATGATAAGCACACTTTTAGACACACTCTATGCACAGTTATATAAAACCCTTTTATGTGCACGTCCTTAGCATGCACTTTTTACCCTTTGTCGACGTTTAGCAAGCAAGAAAATTGATGCAATTCACTTGAGCCAACTCCAGCTTCCAACCCGCTGCATGTTACTCACTGTCAAGCACACGTGACGACAAGTTATACACACTTCAGCTTGCATCCAACCACATTATATTCTTCCTTTGAAGTTTGCAGCGAAATTGCTGCAAATGTCGTAAATTAATGTAATTACGCACAATACACGCACAAATTAACTGCGGCAGCGCAACCCAATTGACAAATTCACGCGTTTAACGTTTAATTTCGTGTGAATGCAGTTGCATACCATAAAAAATGAAAAAAACAAATAGTGCATCATTAAACTGACGCAATCAATCGGAATTACCGGCCCACTTACGCTGCAATTAATTACTAGTTAGTGCACATTGTAAAAACATACCTACATATTTGCTCTGCACTGTTATAAATTAATAGAAATTAATTATTACTATTAATGGAGATGATTGAATTCACTCGAATAATAAAAGATAATAAAATTAACTTGTTTACGAATTGGTGCATTAGTCATGCATAATAATGCGACAATAAAAGAAAAGTTGGTGAAATCAATCAAGAAAAATGTTTTTCTCCAATATGCTTTCTTCATAATTCAAAACTTTTATAAATTCACATTGTTATTTAAATTATCCTGTCTAAAATGAATATTTCCACGTGCATTTGACATTTTTTCGATTTTATTTTCTCTCGTGCTGATTCTTCACTTCACCCAACTCAATTTTTCATGTTCATTCGTCTATAATACGAGTACGTAACTTCCATTTCTAAGATTTGTCCTTTCCAGAGATTAAAAACCTTTTTTCATTTTTTTATTTTTTAATTTTTTATTCAACTTTATAAACCTCATCCTACATAATGGTATTGTTCGTCCCTCTAAATGCACTCAATTTAACTTTTGCTATTACAAGATAGTAAATACAGATTAATGCAGTAACAGCTGCGTTTACTCTAAATTCCAAAATGAAGCCGTCAACTTTAACGATGCGTGTGTTGTGTGTGTTGCAGATGTAAAGCACTGCGCACACCTGCCAACATTCTCGTCATCAGTCTCGCCTGCAGCGACCTGCTGATGATGCTCAAGATGCCCATCTTCATCTACAACAGCCTCCACCTAGGTCCAGCCCTAGGCGACAAAGGTAAACCTAGCCACGTGCACATAACCTCAAATAAGTCTGAAATTAGTGTGTTTGTTAAAGCGTGTCGTTTGTATGGTTTTGTCGGTGGTCTCAGCGGCACGTGTTCAATCTGTACAATCACCGCCATCTCTCTGGACCGTTTCTACGTAGTCAAATATCCGCTTAAGAATCGTTTCTCTTCACAACGAGCGAAACTCTGCGTATCTTTCTCCTGGTTATACGCTGGGTCATTTTCTATCATCCCACTGCTTGATATTGGATACGGACGTTATGTACCTGAAGGATTCCTCACTTCCTGCAGTTTTGATTATCTTACTGATAATAATTCCGCGAAGTCTTTTATTTGGGTTTTTAGCTTTGGAGCTTTCGTCCTGCCGATTACACTGATAACATTTTTTTATTCTTCTATTCTACGTGTAGTGGTTCAGAAGAAACCTGTTCCCGGCAAGCAGCGTTTGACAGGACGTGAATCACAACGACATATGAAAGTCGAAGATAAGAGGAAACAAGAACTGCGTGTTACAGCGGTGGTTTTCAGTGTGATTGTTGTGTGGTTTCTAGCGTGGACACCTTATGCAATAATAGCACTTTTGGGTATCTGTGGACAAAATGATATCATCTATCCGTTGAGTTCAATGATACCTGCGTTGTTTTGTAAATCCGCTGCGTGTTGTGATCCGTTTATTTACGCCCTGACTCATCCGAAGTTCAAAAGTGAACTTGAGAAACTTTGTTGTCGGAAAGCAAGAGTTCGCAGGACATTCACCGCACGTAGTACTTATACAAGTACACATGGTGATGTTTCACATGTGGAGTCTAGTATAATGGCGGATGATGGTCCCAATAATGTCACAGGTACCAAAACGAAGTATTGGTGGAATAAACCGGGGTTTAATGTGCATTCAAGCAGTTTAAAGACACTTTCCAGGGGATTCAGTCAGCGGAGGAGGTCGAGTTCTTCTACAATTCAAAAAGCGCAACTGTGTGAAGATGGCGTTGAAGTGTTTGTGTTGAATAACCTAAAAGAACGCGAGGAGTATATGTAGGCGATGTTGACTATACCAGCTTGTTGGTAAATCATTTGAGTGGATAACACGAGGACTTTAATGTGATTTGATGTGATGTTTAAACATATACAGGGAGATGGGCTGAGAAATGATATTTATGGCAACGAATATGTGTTGTAGATCATTGTTGTCCTTAAATGTATTTTTGTACGCTGTGTGAAGTAGTGTATACAAAATAAATGTTTTTATCCCTTATTATAAAATTATATCAATTATTTTGACAGGGAAATCTATTAATCTATAAAAATAAATCGCAAAATTTGTTGGTAAGCGCATAACTCAACAACGGTTTGACCAATTTGGCCAATTCTTTTTTTAAAATGTTTGTTAATGTCCAAGGATGGTTTTTACGGCGAGAAAAATTCGAATAATTGCCGGGAAAACCCTAAAGAAAGAAAAAACAAAAAACAATTATTTTGGGATGCTCGTATACAGTTTATTAACAATTAATTATTACAATAATGCACATGGCATTAAAACAAGAAACAAGATAACAATTTAAAGTGAAGACGCATTGGTCGATGTCGATAATAACATACTTGTTTTGAATTATTAACCAGTGAGAGGAAGGCTACCAAAAATGGATGAAAGGTTTAAAAGGCCTGTTAGCAATCCGAAAACTACAGCCAAAATGGATCCAAGTGGTCCAAGGCCTTGAAAAACTGATAGAATTGCTCCAAGTCCTCCAAGGGCCGATCCTGGGGTGGTTGAGACGGATGGATCAGTACTGGCTGCATCATTAGATGGTACTACACTTGACAGCACGTCACCAACAATAGGAACATTGCCCGCAAGGTTTGTCAAAATTCCCAGCGGATCGCCTCCTAGGTTCCCTAGTTCATTAGCCTATTCAAAAGAAATGTTATTTTAATTTAAAACAAATACTATGATTTGCAAATTAAACATATTATTGTTAACAATATATTTTGAACTTACTTGAGCTCCGTAGATAACGGCGAAGAGGGCCAGAGCAATGGTAAGTTTGAATGCCATTTTGTTGATTGGTGTCTTGACTGGTTGGTCGGTGGATGTCAGTAAACTGATGATTGTAGTCAGTATCATGCCAGTTTTTATACAACTTTTTTTTTAAATTTTTACCATGAGCAGAGATTAAAGGATGTGTCTGAAATACGTCAAAACTTAACATTTACGTTAATATTTTAATGTTTTAACAAGATTTAGATATGATTATATTTTTAACTTATTCTTAAATTGTGCGTCAAACTGGGGCTTTTGTAAAATAAAATATTATTGGGTTTATACTAACGTAAATCTTCAAAATGTACTCGTATACGTGAATGTATTTAATAAGCTCGGAATTGACGTATGTAGATATTGAAAAAGATTAAAATTTTGCCTTCAAAAGGTGGATGTAATTTTGTATTTAATTGTTTGTTTCTTAAAGGATATTACATCTGGACTTTAGATTAGTGTTCTTCATATCATGAATCAGTTTTTTTTTATGCAAAACTATTATAAATGTGTATTTTATATTTTAAAGTTTCATAAAATATTAAATTCATTAACATTTGCAACCGAAACAAATCTAATGAGAGAATTTTAATTTATTTTTTTATTTTTTTAGTTTTTTTTATGACATTGATTGCTTTTATAATTGGTGCGAATATTTTGAAAATATAATACAATATCTATAATATAAAAATGAATCGCAAAATCTGTTGGTAAGCGCATAACTCAACAACGCCTAGGCCAATTTGGCTAATTCTTTTTTTTAAAATGTTCGTTAATGTTCAAGCATGGTTTTTACGGCGAGAAAAATTTGAATAATTGCCGGGAAAACCCTAAAGGCAGCCCTTTTCTATAGGATAAAAGTTGCCATTGAGATTCAATCATAGTTATAGTTAAATATGTAGTTGAATCCAAGGTGGCGCGCTGAAGTGCATTATTAGCAATTCTATATATAATTAATTTCTTTACAATAAAATTGCGACTCTTATTTATAGAATTGACACATACTATGTCTAGAACAAGAGAGTAAAAACGAATTACATTTTTATTAAACACTACCAGGACGAAGTCGTGGGCGAAAGTCAGTTGATTCTAAATTTTATTAACGATTAGTGTAATCCCTACTAATATTATAAATGCAATAGTCCTGATGTTTGTTACACTTTCACGAAAAAACTACTTAACAGATCATCATGAAAATTTGTACACATATTCTTAGTGGTCCCCGAATGGTTATAGGCTACTTTTTATTTAATAAAAAAATTATTTTTTAAATAAAATTAAGCAATTGTTTAGCCAATAATACCTCTGCATCTAGCCAAGCAATGAAATATACATTCTTTCTATCAATCCGTTTCAACTATGTATAATGATTTCAAATATTTCTTTGATGGATTCAACGCGAGTGAAGCCGCGGGTTAAAGCTAGTGTGTAATAAACTGAAATGATAAGTACATAAGATAATCTCAATAAAAAATGTCGAATTATTTAGATGCTCGTATATAGTTTATTAAGAATTAATCATTACAATTGTGCAAATGGCAGAAAAACAAGGAAAAACGATGACTTAAACATTTGATAGATCTACTCAGATACCACCCACACCCGAGGTTGCACCCTTCAAAGCAGCCAACAGGCTTTCCAATATGGCGAGTACTGGGGCTATTAAATTTAAGAGGTCATCAAGACCACCAAGTGGAGAAGTACTGGCTGCGGTGGTTGAGACGGATGAATCGGTACTGGCTGGTGTAGATGATGACGCCTGGCCACCACCAAGAGGAAGATCACCCAGAAGATTAGTCAAAGGAGTAGCCTATTCAAAAGAAATATTATTTTAATTTACACAAATTCAATGATTTGCAAATTGCTAAACATATTATTGCTACCAATATATTTTGAACTTACTTGGGCTGCGTAGATAACGGCGAAGAGGGCCAGAGCAATGGTAAGTTTGAATGCCATTTTGTTGATTGGTTTTTTGACTGGTTGGTCGGTGAATGTCAGTAAACTGATGATTGTAGTCAGTATCATCCCAGTTTTTATACAACTTTTTTTCTTATTTTTGCCATGAGCAGAGATTAAAGGATGTGTCTGAAATACGTCAAGACTTAACATTTACATTAATATTTTAATGATTACATCAACATTGAGATAACATAAACTTTTTGTTTTTTTGCTTAAATCATGCGTCAAATAAGTATATTTAAAAGGTAAAAGTATTATTTATATCAGACAAGTAGAAAATATTTTATTTTGAAGTAATTCTATGATATCTATTCTTAAAACATGTCAAAATGTAATTCTTGTTATTTTATATTTGTAATAAAGTCATTAGCATTCATTTTCTGTTAGTTTTTAAGACTTTTATAAAATAATTTGTTGCAATTTACGTTAATTTTGAAAATTATTACAGAATCCAATATTATTAAATATCTAATGTTTATTTTATATGTAAGAGTGAAGAAAATGAACAAGAAAACTTCATATCATTTAAATTTTTATTTTCTTTTCTTTTAATTGTGAATTAATGAGAATTATATAACCACACATTGATAAACATTTGAAAATATAGCATAAAAATCTCTGTCACTGAATTTATCTTATAAAATATAATAAATAAAACACAAATATTAACTAGCAACAAATATTTTCAAAAAAAAGTTTCAAAATTAGGTTTTTAATTAAATTAAAACATGGTTTTACACTAAGTGATAATGCAGATTACTTAATTCTTTAAGACTATACTTAAAATCGTTTTCATTTTTATCACTATGTAACTAGAGCTTATTTATTAACTTTATTTATTTAATCAATCAAATGTTATGCAAATAGTATCATAATCAAATTAATTATAACCTAAAAAAAAAGTAAAAATTGCAATTTGAACGCAAATCAAACACTTCCAGAGGAAAATAGCGTTAAGTCATTGTAATACCCAAAAATTAAAACCCTAATCCTCAAGATTAGCAAGATTTACAAAACGTCCTTTATTAAAAATTATTTTTTTATTTACACTTAATCTTTAAATCCTAAAATAACAAGGCATTACAAAAAGATATAAATATTTCTTAAAACATGTTGGGTATCACATGCAACTTCCACCATGAATGGAAAGCTCATCGTGTTGGTGGCGCTCATAGCCATCGCCTCGTCACAAAGCGTAAGTCCACATATATCATAACATTCCTCTCTACTTAAATTAAAAAATTTAAAAAAAAATTTAATAGATACCAGGTTTATCAGATGCCGCAAATTTACTCGAACTGCCCAACAATGGCCTGTCTCAACTCCTCAACACATTATCCGATGTTATCAGCCAACTCCTAGACACCATCATTCTCCTCCTGGTAACCCTATTGCGACCACTCTTCATAGCAGAACCCATTGTGGTGGATGTCCCTGGATTGGGTCAAGTTAAAGGATTAGAAAAGAAATACGAATCAGACCCATCCAATGTCTTCTACTCCTTCAAAGGTATACCATATGCTGAATCAACACCAAGATTTAATGTCTCCCAAAAAAAGCAACCGTGGAATGGTGTTCATGATGGCACCATTGAAGGCAAAGTCTGCCCACAATTCACTGGCCAGATATTCTACACTGGTCAAATCAGTGAGGATTGTCTACTCTTAACAGTAACCACCCCAGTAAATCCTAAGAATTTCACAACTCCTGCCCCAGTACTTGTTTTTGTCCATGGAGGTTTCTATGCAATTGGATCCTCACGTACCGCATGGTATGATCCGGAATTACTTGTTCAGGAAGGTCTTGTTGTGGTTAACCTACAATATCGTCTGAGTATCTTCGGGTACGTCACTGATGGTAACATAATCCCCAAGAATCTTGGTCTGAAGGATATCCGATTGGCTCTTAAATGGGTAAAGGATAACATTGCTGCATTTGGAGGTGATCCCAATAAGGTTACCATTCATGGTGAGTCCGCTGGTGCAATGGCAGTATCTGCTATTTACCAATCGACCAGGACCAGGCATTTATGTGATGGTATCTTCATGCAATCTGGTAATATCATCACTCCGTTCGCAATGAACAAGAACCCTCCACTGGCTTTCAGTAGGATTGTCAACTCGACCAGATGTGCAATCACAGCTTTATCAACTCCTCAACAACAAGTTGATTGTCTTAGACAACTGTCAATGGCCGAGTTGAGTTTGAATGCTGGGGTTTTGCTTATTACTGAAGATATTATGAATGCTGGAGTTATTAATGGTGGTGTTGCTGCTTTGGTCATGGAAGACGCTAGTGATTCTGAAGCTATTATCATTGAAAAACCTGTAGAGCAGTTGTTTGCTGGTGATATCCCTAAAGATAAACCTATTCTGATGACCATCACTAGTGAAGAGATGTTTACATTCGAAGGAGCTTTGAATGTCCTCCGTGGAAGGAGTAACGCTGGTTTGGTACCTATGGGTATGGCAGCTAGTGATCCCAATGAAGTTGGTAAGCTGATTAAGATTGAATATGCCGGAAGTGAAGCTGAATGGGATTTCGTGTATCAAGATGTTTACACAAGTGTAAGTTGGTTAAATATTACAATAATCTACAGAGAATGATTTTTATTTATTTATTTATTTATTTATTTGTTTAGTATGGTAGTGATGTTATCTTCAACTTCCCATCGCGTCTCTATGCTCATACAGCCGCACCTAACCTCAATCCCAACGTAGGAATTTACTTTATGCAATTCTCTGATGCTAGTGTTATTAGTTTGCTCAATGATGGTCAATCTAAGGTTGGTCATGCTGGTGATCTCATGCATACATGGAAGATCCAGGCTGTTACCTTTGATGCTACTAGGAAGCTGTTGTACTCAGAGAATGACGTTAAAAGACGCAACCAGTTGAACAGACTCATTGCCAACTTCGTCAAATACGGGTATGCAACTCTCCTTACTTTTTATTGCAAATTATATTATTAATTGTGTTGAATTATAGAAACCCAACACCAGCACCTGAACTATTGTTGGATAACCTCGACTGGCCCCAGGTCAGCGATCCAAATCTCATGAATTACCTGGACTTTACTTCTGATGGTTTGAATGTTTTGCAAGAGCCCAAGAATGAACACTACCAGTTCTGGATCAATACTTATGCCAACTATGGTAATCCTACCATTGGGTTGTAATCATTTTTAGATACAAAGTTTGTTGTTGGTTAAAACTAATAATAATAAAACTGTCAATTGTTTACAATATTTTTATTTACCCACAACTTTTTTATTGCCAAATATGTAATAAAAGCAATCAACCTTGTTTAAATAATATAAAAGTACACTTTAACATGTTTCAAAAGTCATTTTTACTATTTTTACCATGGTTGGAAAGTTGTTTTTTGTTATTTTTGCATTTTTTGTTGTTAAATCTCACCAAAATGTAAGTAAATCAATTTTAATCTCTGTGCATTAATAAAACATATTTTTTAATAAACATATTCTATTAGTTATTAGATTTATCACTTGTGGATGTACCTGAAGTAGGTTTAATCAAAGGTTTAGTAAAATACTTTGAAACCAACAAATCACAAGTCTATTATCAGTACAAAGGCATACCATATGCTGAACCCCCAGAAAGGTTTACTATCTCCCAAGTTAAAGAACCATGGTTGGGTATACATGATGGTACAGTTGAAGGTAACGTCTGCCCACAATCAACAGGTGATTTATCCTACACTGGTCAATTTAGTGAAGATTGCCTTGTGTTAACTGTAACCACACCACTAAACCCCAATAATTTTACGTGTACTAATACCACTACTAGTAATATTCCTGTACTTGTTTTTGTCCATGGTGGGTTTTATGCCTTTGGATCAGCGGAAACCAAATGGTATGACCCGGAATTGTTAGTTCAGGAAAATATCCTTGTGGTACAGATACAATACCGTCTCAGTGCCTTTGGTTACATCACAGATGGAAAAATAATTCCTAAAAACATTGGTTTGAAAGATATTCGCTTAGCTCTACAATGGGTAAAGAAGAACATTGGTTCCTTTGGAGGTGATTCTAATATGATTACAATTCATGGTGAATCTGCTGGTGCTATGGCACTTTCAGCCATATATCAATCTCCACGTACTTCTCATCTTTGTAATAATATCATCATGCAGTCGGGGAATATCATAAGTCCCTTGGCGATGAATAAAAACCCTAAACAGGCGTTTCACACATTATTAATGAATACCAGATGTGCAATAACAGCTGTTTTGCCTGTTCAATATCAAGTTGAATGTCTTAAACAGCTTACAATATCAGAATTAAATCTGGATGATGGTGAATTGTTATTGTTTCAAGACATTGATAACACAGGTGTTATAAATGGTATTGTTGCGGCTTTGGTTATGGAAGATGAAAATGATCCGGATGCGATAATCATCAAATCGCCTTTGAATCAATTGCAAAATAAAAATTTACCAGAAAATAAATCTGTGTTAATTAGTATAACAAGTGAAGAAGCATTTACTTTTGAGGCGTCGTTACATTTTCTCAGAGGAAAGCCTAATGCTGGTTTAGTACCATTGGGTATGGTAGCTAATGATCCTGATGATGTAGGTAGGAGAATTAAGGAGGAATATGCAGGGAGTGAAGCAGGTTGGAATACTGCAAATATTTCAGCGTATAGTAATGTAAAATTATTAATAATTAAATTTTTATGGTTTATTTTAATGTTTTGATTGTTTTCAGTATATTAGTGATGTAATATTTAATGTCCCATCGCGTTATTACGCCAAAATGGCGGCGGGTGTTGTTGATGATCAACATGGAGTGTATTTTATGCAATTTTCATACACCAGTATTATAGGATTGCTTAATGATGGAGAGAAAAGAGTGGGACATGCTGATGATCTTGCTTACACATGGAAACAAGAGGCTGTTTCACATGAAACCATTAAAAAGAACTTTTATTTGGCTAAAGACATCAAAAAACGCAATCAATTGAATAGAATTATCTCAAATTTTGTTAAATATGGGTAAACTCTTTTAAATATGTTTTAATTGTATTTATTGTTATTATATTGTTGCAGTAATCCAACTCCAGTGCCTGAACCACTTTTAGACAACATTTCTTGGCCCAAAATAAGCGATTCTGACAATATGAGTTATTTATACTTTGGAAATGAATTACTTGTGAAACAAAATCCAAAAAATCAACATTTTCAATTTTGGATGGACAGATATGAACAAGATGGCAATCCTACTATAGGATTATGATTGAAATAACATTTATTATTAGTCAACAATATTTTATTGCTGTACAGGTATGTTAAGACATATTGCTTAAAAGGGAAGCAAGTAGATTTCCCAGAGTTTGCAACAACCCAAACAACACATTTAATAGTGATAATATTGGGTTAGTTGCTGCGTTGCTGCTGTTATTGTTGCCTAACATATCATCGATTCCACTGAAGTCGCCCTCTGACAACCAGGACAAAAGATTCGCCAATGGTTCAGGGATAGATAATGCGTCTGCAGTAAAACCTAAAAGTGTTAAAATTCGAAGGATGCTTAACAATTCAGACAGATCAATAGAAGTTTCAGTGGATGATTCAGTTGTTATTGTTGTTTCTTCAGTTGAATTAGGTGTAGAAGATATTAGTTCATCAGATTCTCCAGAATCTGAAGAATCTGATTCATCACTACCGCTATCGTCAGTAATTAATTCAATAATATCATCGGATATAGATGGAGCGGACTAAAAAATAAATCAAATGAACAATAAACCAAAGTAAAAAATGTGAAAATTAATTACCTGACTTTCGATAATGAATCCACAAGTCAAAACCAAAAACAATGCTAATTTTACTGCTTTCATGTTGTTAAACAATTCGTTAAATTGTTAAAATAAATCTGTTAACGTGTTCCCTTTTACCTTCAACTTATAAATACCTGAATCCTAATACTTATCATCACATATAAAAGTCTATATTTGTTTATATTTAATACATGACGTGCGTATTTTTAACATTAAAATTCCTTTAACAATAAACAATATAATATAATATAATCCAAATCTTACAAAATAAATAAAAAATAAAAGAATATGATTTACAACTCAAAATTTAACGATTTTTATTTGAGATTTACAATTTTTAACAAATTAATAAAATTTGGCACTGAACCAATCAAACAACACAGTAAAAACAGGCTCAACAACAAATAAATTAGCAAGGGTTTTCAATAGAACATAAATGAGGGTTACGAGGCCTTGCATTGGATTACTACTGGAAACAAGAAGATTGCTCAACAATGTATTGATAATACCTAAGTTGCCTGAAATGATAGGAATCAAAATAGGTCCGATTATAACTTGGCCAAGGAGTGTGTTAAGACTGATAGATTGCCATGACGGAGGAACACCCGGAACAAAACCAAACAGTGCAAACGATGCTAATTGATTCAGACCAGCGATGTCAATGGGTGGTAGTGCCGCAGGTGTGAGCGATGGGGCATTAATCGGGATGATATTAGCAGATCCAGACTAAGAAACAAAAAATTTTAATAATATTAGCTTTAAACTTTAAATCATTTTTTCTATTTTCACCTTTAAAGCCAATGCCGTGATTAAAGTACTTTAGTCACGGGTTTTAGTCACGAGGTGGAGCATGCGCATGCGCATTTCCCTTCAGTGCACATTTCTCAGTTAAATTGCGAGTAAATTTCAAAGATTTAAAGTAAAAAGTTTAAATACAAAAACTTAACGTGGAAATTAAGTGAAAGTAGAAAAATAGCGTAAGCATCACGTGGCAAAACGTTGTTAAACAAAAACTCAAAACAGACAAAAACTCCCATTTAACCACTTGATACTTAATATACTATACTAAATAAAAATTACCTGACTTTGGAAAGCAAGTCCAAAGAGTACAAGCAAAAATGTGTTTCTTGCAGCTGCCATCTTGATATGAAATTAAATTCAAGATTGAGAAAATGGTAAAAAACTGCAAGGATTTATAACGCTTTCCAGAGCGTGCAAATGATTAGTATTATTATGGATTAAAACAAAAAACAAATGACGCAGATTGACTTAAGTCATAAGAACTGCTATATCTAGCTTAAGTAATATAATATAAATAACATAAATAAAGTAAGCATATATTTTTTTAAATTAATGTTTATCATATAATCTATTTAGAAGAGGTTTAGTTTTGAGGTTTTGTTAATAAAAATCCATTATTTGCTTTATATTTTTGATTAAACTTAAGTTTTTATACAAAAGTATATAAATTATTTCATAAATTTACAATATTTTATTTTAAAAAATGAATAAAAAAATATTGTTGTGTTTTATTTTTGTGTTAGCACTTTCATCATCTGTGAAAGCGGTAAAAATATAAACTGAATAAATTTTATGTCTTAGAAAATTCTATATTTATTAAATAACGTAAACAACTAAACAAAATTTTATTATTTTCTAAGTTGAATACGTAATCCATGGTAGTAATTTATAAAATATTTTTATTAAAATCACAAATTATTTTAATAAATATATTTTATAAAATAACTAAACAAAATAATAGCTAATTTCATCAAAGAATCAAATCACACACCTGATGTTTGCGGGGATCCTGACTTAGACAATTTCATATGGCCTAAAGTGAGTGACATTGACTCAGTTGAATATCTTAACTTTAATGAAGCATTAACACTTGAAACCAATCCAGTTGATGAAAATTACAGTTTTTGGATGTATTTATACATTAATTACGGACACGCAGTTGTCAGTTTGTAATAATTACAGTAATAATAAACAAAACGATAACATAAAAATTTATTGCTCGTAAAATTATATAACAGGAAGACGTTTGCGCAAGTTCGAATTATTCAAATATAGATTCAAATGTATTTCGTGTAGGTATCTACGTCGTACTTTTTTTACTGTTGAAGCCTATCTGCTAATTAAATATTCATAAACTTGTTCGTGTAGTTTTGCAGACTTGTGAGATAATTAAATATTTATAGTTCCTGACGCTCTTAGCAAGTTTCGGAACTAAAAAATACGCCGTTATCGAAATTGATAAATATCTGTGGCTTGGGCAGTATATGTTTAGTTGGTGTTGTTTAGGTGGTCGGCAACATGATTCTTCTTACTGTGATCTTTGTGGTTTTAGTTGTTTTGTTTTATAATCGACGGACGGTTTATTTAACATGGAAGTATCCAAAAGTGAGGACAATGACTTATTTTCCTATTGTGGGACATCTTGGAATGATTAAATATATTAATCCTAGTGTAAAAAGTAAGAATTTAAGTATTTTAATTAATTTCTTTTGTTTACTTCGGTTTTTATTGAGTTTTTGAAATCACTAAAATTATTTTTGTACTTCCACCTTTAAAACGCTAGTTTTTCACGATTTTTAAACACAAAAAGTGGTAATTTAAACACAGGCCGTGAGTAAAGTACTTTAGTCACGGGTTTTAGTTACGGGGTGGAGCTTGCGCCTGTGCAATTGCCTACGGTGCCGCACAAAACCGTATTAAATCATATTGCCAAGCATCACGTGGCTAAACGGTGTTAAACACTCGATTGATTAAACACTCGTGACTTAAACTGACATTTAGCCACTTGACACTTTTATTATATATATTCTATTATTTTCATTTTAGATATTATGTAGTATTACAATTTATTTTTAACTTTTGACATGTTATGCCTTAGTAGGATTGAAAACTCTTATTTTAATTCGTGTTTAAGGTTTTATGGAGTTTTGGTCTTTGTTGACATCCGATTCCGGCCGACTTTTACAAGTTCTCAATATAAAAATGATGATGGTTTATAAAGTGGAAGATGTAGAAGTACTTTTAACACATGAAAACACCCAAAATAAGCATTATGTTTACGATTTCTTAAAACTAGCAATTGGTGATAGTATTATGCGTGCAAAAGGACAAGTCTGGAAGGATAAAACTAAAGCTATGCGACCAACAATGCACACGAAAACAGTCAGTACTTATACGGAAGATATGTGTAAATGCGTTGAGATTTTAGCTGACAAATGGACAAATATTGATAAAACATTCGATGCAATGCAAGATGTTGCTAAATGTTTATTGGACATGTTATTCAGTGAGTAAATATTTAATTAATAACAAAATATACACAAAATATTTACTTAAAAACTTTTTAGCGACTTCTTTCGGTGTAAATTTAAACTGTCAAGCTAATCAAACAAAATTTGATGAATATTCAGAAAGGTGAGATAATTTTTTTGTTATTCAAATTAGTTTTAGATAAGTTTTAAATATTTAAAAATTTTAATTTTTCATTGAAGTTTTGCTGAGTTATTTATGGATCGTTCAATGTCCGCGTGGAAACATCCTGACTTTGTGTATAATTTGACTTTTAGTAGCAAAAAGTTAAAAAATGTTATACATCATATTTCAGAAACAACTGATCAAGTAATATTAATTGTTTATTGTAATATTTCATCAATTATCAATCAATCATTTTTTTCAGATATTTACTGAAAGAAAAGAGATTTACAGTTTAGAACAAGAATTGGCAAAAGACGAAATATGTTTGGATGATAAACCGATAAGAAACATGAAATTTATTGATTACATGTTGGATTTACACACATTTAACGATCAAGAAATAAAGGATGAAGTTAACACTTTTACTTTTGCGGTAAATTGGTTAAAAAATCATTTTATTTTAAGTATTTAGTAAAAAATGAATACTTTTAGGGTTTTGATACGTGTAAAGCTGGAGTTTCTTTCACATTAATCGCATTGGCGCTACATCAAGATATGCAGGTATTTATTTATTTATTTATTTACTGTCTTGTTTTGTGGACATTTTATGTGCTCATAGTGATTCGTAGCGCCATCTCGGTGTTAATTATGTAACTAAAAGCATTATTAAATCCACCAACATTTTTTATTTCTAAATATTTCTCTCTAAAAGTTATATTTTTGCAACAAAAAATAATCTGCTTACATTTCCAGGATTAAAAATATTTCTCTACCAAAATTTATTAATATTTGTTCAGTGGTTTAAACGCAAAAGTGTCAAAAAGTTTTTTTTTTACAAAAAAAAAACTCACATCCGCATTTATTATATTACAGATTATTATTATTATTTTAAATATTATAGGAAAAGGTATATCAAGAAATTCTTGATGTAATCGGTGCGGACAGAACGTTATCATATGAAGACCTTTCCAAACTGGTTTACCTAGACAAATTCCTGAAGGAAACTATGCGTTTGTTCCCGCCAGTGACGATAATCGCCCGCATTGCCGATGACGAGTTCCCATTGGGCGCCCACATCGTGCCCAAAGGCACGCAAGTGATGTGCAATATTCTGGCCACTCATCGATCCAGTCTGTATTGGGAAAATCCTTTGAAGTTTGATCCAGAGCGATTCAGCGCCGAAGGGCTCGCAAAGCAAAGAAAATTCAGTTACATTCCTTTTTTGGCTGGCACACGAGCTTGTTTTGGTATGACATTCAACATTTATACAAAGCATTAATGAAAACTATCTTAAAATTATATTTTTTAGGTACAAAAGTTGCAATGTTGTCATTAAAATCAGCAATTGTAACATTAATCAGGAAATATAAGTTTTACACGCCGTATAAGTCCATCGAAGATGTTAAATTGGAAGTTAAGGTCACATTATCAGCAGAAAAGGGCATTTTGTTAAGATTAGAGAAACGATAATAATTAATTTTATATAAAAAGTGTTTAGTGTTTAATAAATATGTAATTCCTTTTTACTCTCTTGTTCTAGACATAGTATGTGTCAATTCTATCAATTTTATTTTAAAGAAATTAATTATATAAAGAATTGCTAATAATGCAATTCAGCGCGCCATCTCGGATTCAACTATTTAACTATATCTATGATTGAATCTCAATGCCTACTTTTATCCTATTTAAAAGGGCTGTCTTTAGGGTTTTCCCGGCAATTATTTGAATTTTTCTCGCCGTAAAAACCATCCTTGGGCTTTAACAAACATTTAAAAAAAGAATTGGCCAAATTGGTCTACGCGTTGTTGAGTTATTCGCTTACCAACAGATTTTACGATTAATTTTTATATTTTAGATTAAGAAAAAAGTCTATTTTAAATTTTTACATTAAAAACCTGATTTTAAACATTGTTTTAATCAGAATCTTCATCTTCACTGCTTGAGCGTACGTCCTTCTCCATGGAACCAGTCTTCAACGTATTCTGAAGAATCCTCAGCATTAAATACGTCCAAAACACGTGCAATGCCAGCAACCCAATGAGCAGCGAGTTAAAAATGTAATAAGCCGGAAACATTGGCACTATTTTCGCAGCATCAAACATTGTGCTAAAATAAAACAAATATAATTATTTAATCATCAAACAAATAAAAGTATACAAGTTACTTTCTTAGAATCCAAAGTGGATAAACTCCAATTCTTGTCCCTGTCCACAACGGAACAAAAATAACAAACATACAATCGCAGATACGTTGACACTTTGCATATTTCGTCATTTTGGCAGCTTCCAGGATAATATCAGCGGCGTCATGCAAGAAAATAACCAACGAACCAATTCTAGTCATGTTACACACCCATGAGAAGCTCATCAAAGCGATTGTAGCGAGGTGATGTGCAAACATTTGCCAAAAATCACTGCGTTTCACATCGATAAACTGTGTGAAGCAGAGGCACCAGTAAAATGATAAACTGACCATGTAATACCACCAAATTGATACTTCTACTGATTGATGCGGATAATTACTCCTTAAATAATTTAAAAACAAACAAAAATTATTTTTAAATTAGCGACTTCGTTCCGGGAGTATTTAATAAAAATGTAGTTCGTTTTTACTATCTTGTTTTAGACATAGTATGCGTCAATTCTATCAATAAGATTTGCAATTTTATTTTAAAGAAATTAATTACATAAAGAATAGCTAATAATGCACTTCAGCATTACTATAACTATGATTGAATCTCAATGCCAACTTTTATCCTATAGAAAAGGGCTGTCTTCAGGGTTTTCCGGCAATTATTCAAATTTTTCTCGCTGTAAGAACCATCCTTGGACTTTAACAAACATTTTAAAAAGAATTGCCCAAATTGGTCTTAGGGTTGTTGAGTTATGCGCTTACCAACAGATTTTTTCATTTTTATATTATAGATTAAATTTTTTTTAAATATCTACTCACCAACACTTTTGAATATCCCACAACCACTCCTTATCCCATAAAACAATCCACCCGTAGATAAACGAAAGTGTATAGTACAAACCACGCCAACCACACTCCACAAATTTGACTAATGTTGACGGTTTGTCTTGTAAACGCCTTGCTCTGAACCATCGTTCAACTTGAATCTCTTCCCAATCAAGTTGTTTCACTAATCCTTTTATAACCGAAACTTTTGGATATCTGGACCTTGAAAACGCTGCTTCCAAGTGTTTATTGGCAGGAGCTTTCTTTGGTGCAGTGTTTTTTATGCCTAGATATAATCCAAAAGGTGACAAACAATATCTGTAATAAAATTTTAACGTAAAAAGTGTTAAAATGAGAAAAAATAATTACTTTTCAAATAAACGCCTAAAAATAAATAAACACATTGCCATTGGTATTGGATACAGTAAGTGAGTTGAGTCTGCATGATGAATATGTGGATTTGAATTGGGTGCGATGTCCTTCCATGTTGTGTTCGGCGGCAGCCAAATGTCTGAATCCCAAAAAACGTCCGAAACTCCACGAATTATATTCATGCTTCCGTAGTTAACAAATTTTTACACTAAATTAGAAACAATTAAGCACGAAACTTTTTGAAATGTTATAAGTACATTGTGGGCTGTTTTACGAGTGTGAGTTGTTAAGTTTTATAGCAGTTTGCTTTGATTACAGTTAGACTTTAACGCATCGAAAGTAATGACGATGTGAAACGAATTAGTCGGGCGCATAACAAGCGAGGAGTGCTGATAAAAGTGAAGCGTGAGATATAACTCCCAGCGAGTCTTATTTTTTGTATTAAATACATGCGCAACTGCAGATAACGTCGAACTTATCTTTCAAACATGCGTTTTTTATCGTTTGTATACAGACGCCGCCTACATCGTCACCGTCAGGCGTCGCAAGTGTGACATCGCACATAAATGTCTATGATTTTTGCGTGGTTTTGGAATTATTATTGGATTACTCATGCAATTACATTTGATCAGGTGTTGTAATTATCTAGATCAGGCGTGTTTTTCCCATATGACCGGAAATGAAGAAAAATTATTTAAAAACAAAGATAATGCAGGAAACAGGAAACACAATTTTTGAATAAAAATTAAAAATTCCGTTTTAAACAATTGGGTAGGAAAATTATTCATCATTTCTCTTTACTACATTACATTTTATGTTATTTTATGCAATAAAAACATTTTAATTGTTATTAATTTGCAGTTTCTTTTTTTATAAGTAAAAGATTTTGATGTTTTAATTTCAGATGATGGTTGAGTACACGATTGTAAATAATATACAGATATAGAAATGTCTATTCAACCTTGTGGGTCATGTGATATTCTTTGTTATTGAGTTTATTTCTTGACTTCAGAATATATTTCAAGATTGTCTGCATTTATTTTAGTTAAAAAGTGCATCCTAGCGACATCTAGGTATTTTTGAATAGTTAACAGTGTAAATAAAACTATGTTTACTCCACTATCAAACGATAAGCACATTATCAGTTTCAATCGATCTGAATCGAACACAAAATTTTATGTGGAATGAATTATATTTCAGAATATTATAGCAAATACCTTTTACTATTTTTTAATTCTTTTCTAAATGAAATATAATTGTCCTAATAATACTAGACTAATAATTTAACATAAATTATAAATTCGTTGAACTTATTTTACTCCTGATCCCTTATCACTAATATAATGTATGCTTTAAATTAGAATAGATATTGACACCCTGCCAAATGTGACAACGTAGCTTATCGCACGTGAACCTCAAATAATTCCCAAGTAAATAAAAAGTCCCGGTTGTATGCATCATTGCATCTAGCAAGTGAAATGTTTGTAGTAATATAATGAAAGGTGTGTTTAAATGAACCACATAATCTTCATTAGTCCATTCATAAACTATTTTCTTTCAGAATGTGCAACATGTTCACACCAGTTCACTTCCAAGACAATTTCCAGACAGTATTCAAACCTGCTGCATTCAGCTTCGTATCAACAACAACCTTGCTAGTAGTGCTACACTTCATCAATGCAATTAAAACAATAGGCTACCTGCAATCACTGTACATTCCAGTGATAATAACCTGTCTAGACATTGTGAAAAATGTGATATTTACTGGATTGCCCACAATTAATGGCAGCAAACAAACAAAATGGACTGTGCTCAAAGCTTTAGTCTTAATATTTATAAGCATTGTATCATTTTTCATCCTGGCTATTTTATATGGAGCCAAAGCTTTCTCTGAGCATGAACAAACTTTAATGTTTTCTATATTTATGACTGTTTGCACCACAATACACTGCATAATCAACATGGGATATAAAGACTTCAACACAATGTTGACAAAACAAAGTAATACACCAGAATTGGTATTGAATTCATCGCAAGTGGTAGCAATATGTAGTATTATTGGTTGTTGGTCATCAGCAATAGTGATACCTTTGGACTGGGACAGATGGTGGCAACAATGGCCTATTCCAAGTATTTTGGGATGTTTATTGGGATACAATCTGGGATTTGTGGTTATAATTTTACTTAGTTACATGAATATTCAGACTAATTTAAACAAGAGAAAAAGGCAGGTGTAATAAATGAATAAATCACAATAAACACTCAAAATTGCAAAAAATATCTATACTAATTTATTTGTTGGCACATCAGCTGTTCCATCATTTACAAGTGCTGCTAAATCTTGTTGTCTTTGTTTTAACCTATCCCTAATCAATTCAGCAATAGCTCGCTGAGTTCTCCTTTCTAGTTTCTCTAATTTCTTGGCCACATCGCGTTTTAGATCCCAGTCGGGTTTGCGTGGCGCAAGATTAGTTATATCCAATTCATCAATTACAACTTTTGTCTTTGCTGCATCAAGCTGGTCTTTGATTTCTTCATTGATGTTAGGAATTTCTGCTTCTGGCAATGTGTGTGCTTTAAGAGTCTCTGCACCTGGTTGATAACTTCGAAATTTAGGTCTGGAACATATAATATTCATTATTAAACATGTAGCAGTAGAAAAAATAAGAAATATTTACTTTGGAAGTTCAATTTGTACAGAATTGTCAGATGTTGGGTCACTTGTGTCTTCTTTTTTTCTTTTCAATGCTCTCAGTCGTTCTTTGCGTTTTAAGGCTTGTTCTTCTAATGTTCCAGTCTCCGACATATTTAATACCATTTAATTTCTAACTATATTACTTTATTTTAGTTTTTATTTGGATTAATGTTGGTTTTAATGCGTTCCAAACAAGCGTTGTTTGTTCACAGTGGTTAATATAATGAAGTGGGAAACATAACCCTATTAATTGATGTTAAATGTTTGTAGGTTGTTTGGAAGTTTAAAAAATCAAAAATCAACCAAGCTAAAGTTATGTCTTGCAAGTAAAAACAATTTAGAACAAAAAGTTAGACTCAGTCTTTCGAATGAACATATTTTTCATTATAACTCCATGAATCTCTCATAGATGTCGCTGCAATGCACTTATTTGCTTTAATTAGGTTTATCGCCATTGACTTTGTTGGCGTTAGTGAATTGTCGATATGATGCGTGTAATCTCACGCGATTTCGTACAACAGTTGTACCTGCTTGCGTGTTTTAAAATAAACCACGATTGACACACAATTTGTTTGGTAACCAGACAACTTTATCTACTGTCTTCAATGATAAAATAATACATATTCACGCATATTAATAATAACTAATTAATACTAAATTTATCTGGAAGTATCTCAGACAATTTATTATAAAATATAATTAATTTGACTTTAGACTAAATAAATACCAAATTTAGTTATGGAACTGTGACTGGACATTATTTAGAATTGTTACGCTAGAATCAAAATAAAAACCTATTTAAAATAAGTTAAAACAAAAGAAACGAATATAATTATTTAACGCATATTGCACTTTCAATCGATTTTATATTACTGCATGCATACATCAACCTTGAAACACAATACCACGCAATTACAATGCGTGCAATGTCGAGAGCGTGCAATAATTCAGGCAAAAAGTTAAGTTATTTCTTCAATTCCTTGCGGCCGTAAATTTTATTACCGCTTATTTAAATACATCTAAACACATACAAATAAACACATATTGCGTTATTGACAATCTCAACTGTTGAATGATTAGCATGACTTTCATCTTTTAAGTTGATACTTTAACGATTAATGAATGACACGCATTTTACGCAAATCACATCGAAAAATCTAGAAAACTGAAACGAATGATTCATATGCCTCATTACTTAACGTAATGTATAGTTTACCAGTCTTACATTCACAGGAAATTGTAATTGATTTGTTGATTGTAACCTTAAGACAAATATTAACAATTTTGACACTTACTCAGCAATATTCTCAATGGAAAATAACAAACAATAAAGTTGAATTTTAAACCACAATTAAATTTTTAATAATTCAAGTTTTTATTTGATTATCGCACACCACAATAAGTGAAATACAAAGCGATAATTAAATTCAGTCAATTACCTAACCTAACTTAATCTAAACATAACCTAATCTCACCTATCCTAACCTTAAGACAAATATTAACAATTTTGACACTTACTGAGCAATATTCTCAATGGAAAATAACAAAAAATAAAGTTGAATTTTAAACCACAATTAAATTTTTAATAATTCAAGTTTTTATTTGATTATCTCACACTGCTACAAGTGAAATACTAAATGATAAAAATTCAGTCCTAACCTAACTTAAACTAATCTAACCTATCCTAACCTTGAAACAAAGATTAACAATTTTGACACTTATTCAGCAATATTCTTAATAGAAAATAACAAAAAACAAAGTTGAATATTGAACCACCATCAAATGGAATTAAATTTTTAATAATTCAAGTTTTGATTCAACTATCTCACATCACAACAAGTAAAATACAAAGCGATAATTAAATTCAGTCAATTATACTTTGATTTGTTGAAATGCAAAGTGCAATCAACGAAATGACACCAAAGTAATCAGATTTTTTTCAGTGCGAGTTATTTTTGGACGTTGTGGAGGCAATTTCAATCTTCATTTCACAGTGCATTTTTTCGTAAACATTTAAGGTATTATCAAATTTATTTTGAATGGAATGCATTAAATAGCTTCTGTTTGCAAATTTATCAAAATGAAGTATTTCGAGAATGTGCTGAGTAACAATTGCTGTAAATGCTCGGATTACTTGTTATGTGGCAATCATCACTTTATACAAAAACTTTAATCAATTCGTCATGAAAAGAAAACATTTTAATTGAAATGGCAACCAAAACAACAACAGGTTACAGTATGTGTTGAAACAGTTGCATACAGTTGATACAGTTGACTTATTAGGCAATATTTCAACATTTTAGGAACTAATTTATATTAATTTAGTATTAAAACATAACCATTTATTTGTTTTAACCTAAAAGTGAATTATACTAAAAATCTCTCTATAAAACTTTCCGTAAAACAATAGAATTAATTTTACTACAATATTTATTTATAGCTAAAACCTTATAACTAATAATAATAATTGCAATCTTTCAATATCATTCATTTTGATGAGCTTACCGGCCGGCTTATGCTCCACCGCGTGATTTCAAACGTTGCATCTACTTTGTTCGTTTGTCTCGTGGCCGAGAAGCGAGAAAACAAACCCACGTAGATATCTTTTAAAGCGTTACGACCGGATTTCGAAAGGGGGGACATGTGGAAGCCTCATTATAAAACTAAATTGAATTGCCGGCCGGCTTTCAGTCGACTTGTGACGTTCATTTAAGCGTGTCTCCAGTTTGATTGCAGTGTAAAACTTTCCATACAAAGTAAGCAAAATATATTATCATTTACCATAATTATACAAACATTTATTAAAATACTAATTATAATCTAAATAAGTAATGAATAAAATTATATTATAATAAAACAAGTCGTATATGATATAATTTACGATATGATTCTCAACGTGGAATGCTGGTGGAACTCGTTCATTGGTTGCATCGCGAACAAATATAACTCTAGAGTCATTATATTTAAACTTACACTCGGCAACTCTTATCAAATTGTGCACACAACACCGGCAACTCAAAACACGGTTAATAACAAATATTTACTTGATTTTAATTATGTTACTATGTTTAAACAAAATGGCTTCGTGTTGCTATGTTTGTACAATTGTATTACATAGGAATTCATTGCATTGCGTTGTGTTACATGCTTATTAATGACTCACGGTCATCGAGAGTAATTAATGTACATGGTTAGCATGTCCGCAATAATTGACGGCTTGAATGCTTATAACACGCCATATTTTTTTGCAGATGACGATTGACTTCTACTATGTGCCTGGCAGTGCTCCATGCCGCGCCGTTCTCTTGGCCGCCAAAGCCGTTGGCATCGAGTTGAATCTCCATCATGTGGATCTGATGAAGGGCGAGCAATTGGCTCCTGAATTTGTTAAGGTATAACTATAATCACAATACAAAACAGTGAAAGTTTAAAAATTCATGTTAAATTTGTTAGAAAACAATTTACTCTAGATTTTTAGTATGAGAATATCATAATTATTGTGTGGGAGTTTCATTTCCATGTTTGAATAACGAAATTCTAATTTACACCCAAGTATCAACACGCTTGTACATGCAAATTGCATTTTGCAAGAAAGGAAGTGGCAATTTAATGCTACACACAAGCACAAGTACTATTTGTGTACACATTCCGTGAAAAAGCAAGAGCAGAGCTGCAGCAGTAAAAGAGAAAGTTGATTCGATTCACTTCACATACCACGCACACGGATTATTTCATTAAACTGAAATTAAACCACATACATACACATATATAAACAATTTAGACGTACAGATGGGTGACATGCTCTGCATTCTTCATTTTATTGCAGTTTTACTAAAAATAAACATGCTCTAATAAAATCAACTTGGCAACTGCAAGTAAAACACAAATTTCATATTTATAATTGATTCAGAATCGATAATAATTATTGTTACTTTGATTGTAGATATTGGTTTTATGTTTCAAAACGCTAAAAAAGTGTTTGTTACGCGTGGATGAACTTGTGGAACAGCTAGTTAGATAGTTAGATAGAGAAACTTTAAATTTAACATGAAACAATGATGATTATTCTTTATTCTGTTCCGAAATAGACGAGTTATTCACTCTCGGTTGAAGTGAAACCTTGATAGTGACCTGAGAGCTCAAGGTCTCTCGGTTTTTGCCTCCTCACGGTTCATCCTCAACACATGCGTCAAGCAAGAGAACAAAATTAGATTTTGATGAACACTACTAGTAGTATTCCAGTGGAACTTAATTATTTTGTGATGATTGCAGTGTTGTACGTTGTTTCTATTATAGTAGTTTGTTTGCCCTTGAAATTTCTAAATTGATACATCCTGTCTCTCTCTCAGTATTTTGTAGTATGTAGAATTATCATATAAACGCATAAATGCATATAAATAATGAATTCATCAATATAAACGATATAATAATGAATTATTAATAAATATGTTATGTTTTTGTTGTTTTTTAGATGAATCCTCAACACACAGTGCCCACTGTGAATGACAATGGCTTCTGTCTATGGGAAAGCCGTGCTATCATGAGTTACTTCGCCAGTCAATATGGCAAGGACGAATGCTTGTATCCCAAGGACGCCAAGAAGCGTGCTCTTGTTGATCAACGCATGTATTTCGACATGGGAACACTCTACGCACGTTTTGCTGATTATTACGTATGAAATTAACTTTAATGTCTTTAAAAACAAATATTTAACATGTATTTTATTCTTTAGTACCCTGTAATGTTTGCTGGTGGTGCCTACGACCCTGCCAAGTTGACCAAAATCCAGGAAGCCTTCCAACTCTTCGAAACTTTCTTGGGCTGCTCTCCCTACGCCGCCGGTGATTGTTTAACTCTTGCGGATTTGACTCTGGTTGCTACTGTGACCACCTTCGAAGCCGTCGGTTTTGACCTCACCCCCTACCCGAAGGTCTGCGCTTGGCTCGCCAAGATCAAATCCGAAGCTGTTGGCTACGAAGAGGCCAACGGCAAGAACGCACTGCTCTTCAAGCAATTGTTTGAGCAATGCACCAAGGGCAAATAAATACTTTGTTTTAAGATAATATCATGCACGTTATACACGCAAATTGTTCACGAAAGTTAATTACCTGTAATTGAATATTATATTTTTTTATAAATCTGTTTGTTTTCGGATAGTGTTTGAGATGTTAGAGGTTGTAATATGGAAAGATAACTGTTTTAATGACAATTGTACTAAGTATCACTTTGTAATCACTGTGTTCAACACACTTATGTGTAATACATTCTAAATTATAAACAAAATTGTATTTTTCCTTTTATGCGATCTGAAAGTTAAGGAATTTTGATAGTTACGAATGAACGGTTGCCTACCTTTCAAATCCTGTGGATTAGTCGCACGCCAGGCTTCAAATCATGAATTATTCGATGAATTCTGTACCTAGAAATATTGATGGCTAACAGAATGACTTTGTAACACCAAATGGATGCCTCTTCGCGTTCTAGTCATTGCTTATAAAGAAAAAACGATATTTCAATGTTAAACTACATATTTTTATCTATTCTGCGCATCAAGCAATGAATATTAGTTCACATTTCAGTCGATAGATGTCTCTAGCTGTCCATATATGAAAATTTATTAATTTTTTACATTCAACAATTCTACACAGCACAACAATCAACATACTTCATGATAACAGCATACAAAACACAACACTTAACTGAATACAATATGAATTCTTAATATTCAATGCCAAACAAAAAATAACGTTGCTAGTTTAAAGATAAAATGTCCGCATTTTTATTTATTCACAAACACATTACCCAACCGACCTATAATCTAATCTAAATAGTAACGATGTGAATAATGATGTGCAAAAATTTGAATTGGTACTTCGCAAATAATACAAAGCACGTCGATAATGATACAATACAGATAATAATAAAACAACATCATATGACCTGAATTCGTAAATACTTAAATAATCGTCAATTGTCGGTTATTTCAAACGTTGAAACGTTGTACTTGTGACTTGATCATACCGCCATAAAATTATCTATAATCGTTTTCTGCTTACATAATGTCTTTAATATAACATTTGATGATCCATAACTGCGTATAAAACTTTCATTCGACGTCAATCGCAACGAAAAGTTATAAAATGATATTAATTCTAGTGTTTGTTTTAATAGTGCTACTTGTAATCTATACAATTGTTTTAAATCGGAATAGACCAGCCAATTTTCCGCCAGGTTAGATAAAGTCTACTTTAATTAAGTAACAAATTAAAATTAATGTTTTTGGTGTGATAGGTCCTCCGAGACTTCCAATTGTTGGTAGTTATCTGCATATTTTATTCGCGGACTACAAATATTCTCATCTTGCGTTGCTTAAGCTTGCAAAACACTACAATACAAAGGTTTTGGGGTTTTATTTGGGTGATACTCCAGCCATTTCAACTTTTGACTGGGATTTAACTAAAGAATGTTTTGTTAAGAATGAATTTAATGGTAAAGGATTCGGTATTTTGAGTTCAGCTCGTGGACAAGGAAAAGCGCAAGGTAAAACTATTAATTTAACAATAAAATAAATTATTTGCTTATTATTATTGTATTTCTAGGGATATTTTTTGTCGAGGGACAATTTTGGATCGATCAACGTCGTTTTTCACTGAGTACTTTACGAGATTTTGGTTTTGGAAGACGTTTGCAATGTTTTGAAGAAGTTGTCGGTCAACAAGTGAAAGAATTAGTTGATTTACTACAAAACAAACCGATTGAAAGTGATAGTGTATGTATAAATATATCCTAACCTAATTTTCCTAATTTTTACAACATAACCAAACTTAATATCTTTTATTATTAGGATGTGCATCGAAATATTGGAGAAGTTCTTGTCCCTGATATATTTTTCGGGTATTTTATGAATTGTATGTGGTATATATTGTCTGGTAGTTTCCATGATCAACACGATTTGCGCGATTTGTGTCGTTCAGCGATGGGATTTCAAAGATGCACTGATGCACTTGGTGGGCTGATAACCTTAGCTCCATGGGTGAGACATATTGCACCGAAATTATCTGGGTATCAAGCTGCAGTTGATGATAACTACGACATGTATTTGTATTGCAAAGTAATAATAATTATTTATTTACTAAAAATACATTTTTATGATTTGTTAATTTTATATTTTTTAGAAATTTGTAGATGAGCACTTGGAAACCTATGCAGAAGAACACATGCGTGATTTTATCGATGTTTATATATCAAAAATCAAAGAACATGAAGAAGGTTTTCATGGTAAATATTAATAAAATATTGTGTAAAACGTATTAAAACTTATATTTTTAGTGGAACAATTAATATTTATGGTGTTAGACTACATGTTTCCTGCTGGTGTGGCAATGGGACATTCAGTAAACTTTGTTTTTGGTTATTTGGTAAATTATCCTGAAATTCAACAGAAAATGCAACAACAAATTGATGAAGTTGTTGGACAATCACGGATGCCTAATCTAAATGATAGAATGAAGTAAGAAATCCATTAATTAAACTTAAAATTAACGAAATTCTTATGTTTTTCTAATATTTTTAGTTTACCATATGTTGACGCAGTTATCAAAGAAACTTTGCGAATAGAACCTGCAAATCCTATAAGTTTAGGACGTGTGTGTACTGATGATACAACACTTGGAGGTTATGACATTCCAAAAGTATGTAAATCATAATTTATTATTTATTATTTCAAATTTTATTAAAAATAATATTTCCAGGGGACATTTGTGGTTCCAAATGTGTGGCACGCTCATAACGATCCAAAAGTTTGGGGTGATCCTGAAAATTTCCGCCCGGAACGTTGGTTGACCGAAGAAGGACGTTTAATTAAACAAGATAAAACCATGGGTTTCGGTGGTGGTAAGTTAATAACCCAACAAAAACAATAAAATAATTAATTAAAAATTAAACAAGGTTATGACACTATATGCAACTTTTTATACGTATTTTGTATTTTGTGTTGCCTAATCACGTCTGACTTAATTTTTCTTCATTTTGATTTATCTTGTTGTTTATTTATTACACTCAATAATTATGTTATTGTTTACAGGAAGAAGAATATGCGCTGGTGAAACGTTCGCCAGACAAACAATGTTTCTCTTTATCTCGTCTCTATTGCAACATTATTCATTCGGTCCATGTGACAACGAACCGCGCGTTGATTTAACCGACATTATCCCAGGAATCAATATGAGTTTACAAAATTACTGGATTAAAGCTACACCAAGAAATTAAACACAAAAATATTAATTAAACGTAATAATAATCAACCACAACAATGTTACAATGTTTATATTTGTAATGATTACTTAAAAATCCTATAAACCTTTGAGACATGTCCAAAAATTATAACAAGAGTAAACCATATCTGCATTTATTAAACTAGTCGAATAATATTTACAACGTTAATCAGTATTTGTTTAATTTTGTTAATATAGGTCGGCGCGCATATAACTCACTCATCAATTTTATAAACTTTTCATTGTGATATCGACTTGCATTTGTGTTCAGCGATAAATCCCATTGCATTGCAATATATATATAAATATAAATCCTTTGCGGGGCGAAAGTGGTTTGTGTTTTCGATTATCACTTCTCTTGAGGTTCGTCTTTACACTTGCATTCATACTTGCAATTTCAACAGATCAACATGTTGGCTGTGCCTGTACTCTTCGTGGTTGTTGTAGTGTTGGTTGCAGTTTTATTTCTTAGAGAATTCGGCAAGAAACCAGCGAATTTTCCGCCAGGTATTAATCAAAAATTATTCTTTTATTGTTTATTTATTGTTTGATATTGAAGGACCTCCTAAACTTCCATTATGGTTTGGTTATTGGACAATATTAAAAGAAAACTTTTTCTATCCGCACATTGGGTTGGTTAAACTGACAAAAAAATACAAAACTAAATTATTAGGTTTTTATCTTGGTGATACTGCAGTTGTGACAACGCATGATTATGATTTAATCAAAGAAATTTTGTGGAGAGATGAATTTGCAGCCAGAGCTGAAAATGTTATTGTTGAAAATCGTGGAAATGGAAAATACGTTGGTAAATTAATAAAATTATATTTAAAATATCAAAATAAAAAGAATAAAATGTATTTAGGTATATTTTTCACTGGTGGAGCATCTTGGAAAGACCAGCGTTGGTTTTCTCTGCGTTTTATGCGAGATTACGGCTTTGGGAGACGTGATCAAAGCATGGAACAAACAGCAGCTGATGAAGTGCGTGGTTTAATACAATTTTTCACCAGTAAACCAAAACCTGAAGATTCTGTAAGCTTTAAAACTTTTTAATTAATTTTTTGACTTTTTACTTTATTTTTTATTATTTTATATTAGGATATTTGTACGACAACCGGTATAGTCAAAATGCCCGATACAATTTACGCCCCTGCTGTAAATTGCATTCAACACACACTTTCCAGCCGCCATTATGATAATTACCGTGAATTACGAGAAATTGGCCGAGCTGCGACAAATTTCTTGAAATGCATTGATTCGACCGGTAACGCCATCTGTATCACACCATGGTTACGATTTTTTGCTCCAAAATACTTCGGTTGGACTTCCAGTTTTAAAGATAGTGCTGTAATCACTAAATTCGCCAAGAAAATCATCGAAGAACGCAAATTAATTCATCAGGAAGACGTTGTTGATAATTTCATTGATGTTTATCTAAATGAGATGAAATATTTGAAAAATAATAACAAGAGTGAAACATCTTTCAATGGTAATTATTAAATTTTAACTAAAATGTATTTATTTTTGATTATTTTTTATTCTGTAGAGGACCAGATGATTTATACAATCGCTGATTACACTTTCCCTGCACCGGTTGGAATTGGCCATACGCTCAACATCATCTTCGCATACCTGCTGCATCAACCTGATATTCAGGTGAAAGCGCAAGAAGAAATCGATCGTGTCGTGGGTAGAGGACGTCTGCCAACATTGGATGATCGCAAAGAGTAAAAATTTCAATTTTTTTAAAATTTTTTAAAATTAAACTTACATAACCTATATTTACACATCGGCCATTTTGTTTTGTTTAGCATGCCATATACAGAAGCATTACTTCGTGAAGGCTTGCGAAAAGACCCGATTGTTCCTTTGTGCATCACAAGAAGATGTACAGTTGACACCTATTTAGGAGGATATTTCATCCCGAAGGGAACAGTAATCTTCCCGAATCTCTGGGGGACACATAACGATCCCAATCTGTGGGATAAACCGGAAGTGTTTAATCCAATGAGATTCTTGGATGAAGATGGGAATTTATTGAAGAAAGATATGACGTTGGGATTTGGTGCTGGTGAGTACACAATACCACAACATAACCTCAATTGTAAAAATAGTGAAATATTGAAGTATTGACATTTATGCATTGATTAAATCAAATTTATGACATGTTAGTGAACCTGAGGGTCATCCGGGTTGAACAACATATTATCAATCACATACGTGTCCTCATTACTGCTTGATTAATGACTGTTGATTAATTAAATAACTATTTTTTGCATTTTACAGGCAAACGCTTGTGTGCTGGTGAGACCTTTGCACGCAACACAATGTTCATCTTCGTTTCTGGAATCCTACAGAATTTCACGCTTGCTGTGCCTGCAGGACACAAAAAACCTGACTTTTCAAAGTTTATCAATGGAATCACCATCAGTCTGCCTGATTATTACCTGCAGATGATTCCTAGGCCTTAAATATTCATTTTATTACCTAAAACTAACATAAAAATGAATAAAAGTAGTATTTTTATATTTTTTATACAAATATAATCATTTCGTATGTAATTTTACATGTTTTTATTAAAGTAAATACAAAATAAAGGTGTAAAACTCGAAAAATAATTTCTAGCGATGTTCAGTCCTTAAATTACATCAAAACTATCATATTTTTAAGGTTAAGTATAAAAATAACTAACACTATGATTGTACTTGCATTACATAAGTAATTTTCGTAAGATACAGGCAGAAACAATGAATAAATAGGCGCAAGAGTTCAGGAAGTACATTTGTGGCACTGAAATTGATTCCATTCGGTTTGAAATGTAAAAACTATGATTTCACATGATTTTATTCATGATTTTAGATTTAGACTAACACTACGTTTAAATATTTATGACTATGACTCATTTTCATATGGTTTTTTTCTTTCTTTCCTCTTTAATATAATTAATGTTTAACTCGTTGTTCGTGAACTCTTGATCCTGCGTAGACATTATCTCTGCCCAAATTAAAAGACAAAATCTTCGAAACAATGTGTAAATCATCATTCTGCCTCACATTTCTTGTGATACCAGAATGATACAGTAGGGTATTCAATTGTTGGTTGACATTTTGTGGTTGGTAAACGTTTTTGTTGACTAAACCAGGCGCAGTTTGGAATTGTTCACTGTTTGAGCGGAAGAAACGCGATGGTGGTTCAAGTGACTGCTGAATACTGAAACTTTGCGCTTGATTGTTGAAGTTTTGATTTGTGTTTTGGTTGAAATTGTTATTAAAACCAAAATTGGCAGTGTTGGATTCTTGACGGAAGACTCGTGTGCCTTGTCGTACATTATTAAAGTTATTATTATTATTATTAGGGAAAGATTGGAATGAATTAGGGAAAAACTGTTGTTGTTGGTTGAGTAGAGTTGGTTGCCTAAAGTTAAAGTTATTATTCAGGTTGAGATTAGGGTTAGGAGACTGATGGAAATCAATCGCATTCCTCACAGGTAATATTTGAGCGTTTAACGGGAGTTTACCAGATTGTAAATCCCCTGGAGACAATGATAACGACGATTGTAAAGACACAACTGTATTCTGGAACTTATTAAATTTAGAGTTTTGATTTGTATTACCATTTAAGTTATTAAAATTGTTATTGAAAGTGTTTTTGAAGTTTCCATTGAAATTATTACCATTTTGATTGAGGTTAGAGTTAACATTATTAAGGTTATTAAAATTATTATTAAAACGAAGTTGGTTTTGATTCTGATTCAAATTCTGGTTAAAAAGAGGACTTGGTGTAGTCAAAGGTAACTCTTGGAAGAATTTTGGAGGAGATGGTGGTAAACTATTACTAACACCATTCAAACTCAAAGGATTAGGTGTAGATTGAATATTTCCCCCTCCATTAAAATTAGTTATAGTCGGATTAATCTCCCTAGCCTTCTGGAAGGTATTAAAACTATTACTGCTCGTCGTAGTAAAAAAGACAGGCCTCTCAGTAGTGCTATGAACACTATTCAAAATCGGTAAAAATGGCCGATCGTTCTGATTTAACCTCGCTTGTTCCTCCAATAACCTCTGATGTTGTAACTGTTGATCTTGAATAATCCTTTGTTGTCTTACAAGATATTCCTGTTGTTGTTTTTGTTGTTCTTGCAAAGTCTTCAATTGAAACTCCAATGATTTTTGTTTTGCTTCTGCTTCAAGTTGTCTTCGATATTCTTCACGTTTGATCTCTTCCTGCCTCAATACTTCTTGTCTCTGCTTGTCAGCAACTTCAGAAACACTCACAGCACTCTGTCCGGCTTGTTTGAAAATCGGTTCGACTTTATTTGGCAATCCACGCTCGTCCTGATGCACTGTGAAAGCTGCGACAAGCGGTGCTGAAAAAAATTGCACATCTTCAACTTTAGCTTCACTTTCTTCTGTTGTTGGAGTCGGTCTAGGCGTTGTGGTCGAACCTGTTTCGTATTTCGGTGTAATGGACACAGATTTAACTCCGGGTGTGAATGATTTATCATTTACGGTAACTGCGTTCAGATTGAGGTTATTGACGGGTTTCGGTGAGCTTCGTATGAAATTATTCTTGTTTGTCTCATCATGGAATGAACTCGAAGCACTTAGACTTAATGCTTCATTAGTTTCTTCGTTATTCTCGTTAAGAACGGAGATAATTGGTCTGTGTTGAACTCCGTCGGATTTTTGAATGATTACGATTGGTTTTTCAGTTTTTTCTTCTTCTTGTTGATCAGAATCTTCATTTTTGGATGTTTCTGTTGTAGATTTAACTGGTTCTTCACTGTTGTCATTCGCAAGGAAAGAAATTGCTGATGCAGAAGCTTTTTCTATGATACGTTCTGGAGTTTTGGCTGTGGTGGAAAAAAATATCGTTTTTGACGAGATATCATCATCGTCCTTCTGAACTTCTTCGTTTTCTAACTCTGTTAAGGCTCGTAATAATGCTTTTCGAAGATTTATCGAGTCCAGACTGTTTGCGGTTGTACTGGCGAATGATTCTGATATGTCATTATCAATATCATTCTTCGCAGTTGCAGGAGTAGTGATTAAAAGTGCTCCGAGGACAAAAAACACCTGAAACAATATTTAAAATTATATAAAAATGAATTGTAAAATGTGTTAGTAAGCGCATAACTCAACAACGCCTACACCAATTTAGCCAATTCTTTTTTTAAATGTTTGTTAAAGTCCAAGGATGTTTTTTACGGCGAGAAAAATTAGAATAATTGCCTGGAAAACCCAAAAGACCGCCCTTTTCTATAGGATAAAACTTGGTATTGAGAATTAATCATAGTTATAGTTAAATAGTTGAATCCGAGATGGCGCGCTGAAGTGCATTATTAGCTATTTTTTATATAATTAATTTCTTTAAAATAAAATTGCGAATCTTATTGATAGAATTAACACTATGTCTAGAACAAAAGAGTAAAAACGAATTACATTTTTATTAAACACTACCGGGACGAAGTCGCGGGCAAAAAGTTTTTAATGATATTAAAAACATATTGTATATTACATGTGAAAACAGAAGCTAAAGGTGTTTATAAACAATTATAAACAATTACAATGCATTTTCTTCAATTTCACGCGAGTGGTGAAACAATTCTCACTTGTTGATTAAATTACGACGATATTAAGTTGCCTACGTATTGATATCTTAATCTTGGGAATTTTTTGCTCGCGCTGAAAATGTCATTGTTTCTTGCTTTTCTATGAATGGCTGATTGAGATGTCTAATCGATGAATACACAATGAATCAACAAAAACAATGAACTTAACTTTTAACGCAATATTTCCAGGAAGGAGACAATGTTAAGGTTGAATTTATATACAGTTTGGTTAGTAAATTGTTTCAATTTTCAAAAATCAAAAAAAAATTTTAAAAATTGTAATTTAGTTTTAAGGTTATGACTTTTGACACTGTGCGCATGCTCAATATAATTTTTGACACCCAATTCACTATTTTTAAACCAAAATTTTATTAATTTCATATAAAAAACGCAGAAAAAATGAAATTTACACACTGTATACATTTGAATAAAAAAATTAGCGTTATTGAGATGAAGAGATATTAGACATAAACGGATATGATAATAACGCGCGCACACAATGCGAAGAAATGTGGAAAAGAACTCTCGTGACCCGAAGAGTGAAAGCTACTCATTCTGTGGTCCTCCGGAGGCTTATTCCATGTACTCGTCTGCGTATGCAAGACGCACAACGTATTTGTCTATTCCGAAGACAAGTTTAGTTGTTTCATGTTAATACGAGGACCTAGACCCGATTGCAATGAAGAATTTAATCATCAAACGCATCAATAACTCAAAAATAAGGTTATGATTGCTTTCTGAAATCAAACTCATCTGCTTGTTAGCATGGAGCATGGAAATGAGAAAATCTCGAGTTTAACTTTGGGTTGGGCTTTGAAATCTAATTAGAAACATGATTTATATTCATGTTAATTGTTGAACCTTTGAGAACACCACCAACACATAAATTTTACATAAATCAATATTAATTAATCATTCGGGGATTCTCATTGTGTGTTGTGGAAAATAAAAAACATAACCTGTTCGTAAGCACTTAAATTTCGTTGATTTGTTTGACTTGCAGCAGATTTTCTTCAGTCGCTGGAGTGATTAAGATGAACGTGCATCCTGAAGCGGCGAGCGTGCAGGCCGTGAACGTGAAATCGGACGGAAATGAAAAACCTCGCGAAGAATGCCAAGATTGATGATAACCGCGCGGCGCAGCCATTAAACATATTAAACTATTATCGCTATTACGTGGTCGATTCGCTTGGAAAATCTATAATAATAGCAAGACACGAAGAAAGACCACTTTATACGCTTAACGCTCATCAGCTCAACAACTTAGAAGAGATGAAATTATCGTTTTTCAAAGCTTTACGAAATTAATTTTTTTGCATCATTTGGATGGTTTAATTGACATTTCGACAGTTTTCCATTTCGAAATGCAAGTGTTATGTGTTTGGGAAGGTAGTAAATGTAATTAGTCATGAAATTTTATTGTTTTCTCATAATTACAGCTCACGCATTTTTGACAGACGAAAATTAAGTTTCTCTTTACGTTTAGCTAAAATGGAGGCTGGTGTTTTGATTTGCATTGAAAAATTACTGGAATTATGTAATATGTCATCATAATTCATCATTAATCATCACCAAATACTTAAATTTGTTTTTATATAACTTTTTTAGTTAATGTGATTTTATTTTTGTTGTATAGATGGCGCTGGCAGTCAAAATCAGTCAAAATCAAGCGAAATAAATGATGTCAAACGTGATTTTTGACAGAAATAGTTCAAAAATAGTTTTGACAGTGTTTTAAGTTGATTTATGCAGATTTTTTAATATTTTCAGTCATAAAACTAATAAACAATAATTTTTATTTTGTAAACATTCATAAATCAAGCAAATGTTTCGTCTTCCATCTAAATATTTATTACAATTAGAAAAAAAGTAATAAAATAGCAATAAAACTAAAAGTTGTAGGTATGCTTGTAAATAACGCATTAATCCGTAATAAGACTTTAAATCGCATTTCAGCCGGAAAGAAAGAAATTTATCAACATCTGTGCAGCGCAATGTCTCGCAATGTCTTGGGAAAAGCGCAAACCGGACGGAAAGTGAAATCTTTTCCATTTTTTTCCATGATGGCGTTTTGAATTCTGCAAATCTTATTAATTTCTTTATCGTACAACATCTGTCTACCACGCACAGCTAAAAATCTTAAATTCTTAAATTATTCACAGGTATGCATAATCATTGACAATATTTTTGTATCGGAGATTTGTATTTTGAAATGCGATTGCAATTTGTAAATTGTACTTGAACATTTGTTAACCTTTAACTTCTTCATTTCGACTCTCAAGTGCACAAGCGAAGATTTCACACGAGATGGCAAATCGTTGTGACTGAATACCTACAAGTGCGACCGTTAATATTACACTTGAATAAATACGCAGATAGCATTGATGTATACATATTGATGTCGTGTACATGTGCAGAATGCAAAACAAGAAACTCCAGCGGAGAGTTATTCATCATTATGCAGTCGGCAACTTTATTATCTTGATAGAAATCACTTAATTTATTTTGTCATAGGGAAATTTACTAGTAATTTGTAATTAAAACTAAATATTTCGAGTTTGTTAAATTTGTGCAGCTTTTAAAATTTATGTATTGTAGAAAGTGATTTTTTGTAATTATTTTACTTAGTTTTACTTAGTTTGCACGTTAAAAATTATATTTTTGCAATGAAAAGTAGCTTATTTTATTTTCCTTGGTCTAAAATATTTGTATACAAAATTTATCGAAATTGGTTGAGTGGTTTTGCGTGAATGCGACACAAACATACTTTATTAACTCACTTATGCATTTATCATGTTAGGTAGAAGCCCGCATGCGAGTGACAGTTGCTACTGCGCGCTACTCAAAACCTTCGTTGATTGGTGATTGCATTCGGGTGAGAACGCAGTTGATATGTTGACCTTCTAACAGTTAGCATATTATGCCTAATAGTGCGCAACCCAATATACACCAATGTATACCTACAACACCAACAGCAAAAATTCTGTTTTTTTAAATTTTAAATATAAATCTACTGAAATAATTTTTAAAATATATATTTTTATTTTGTTATTTTTGCCAATATATCATGAATATCACCTCCATAAATTCGACTGCAATAACTACAATCACTTTCATCGTTCCTATTTCGAAAACACGCGCATTGATCTTGTTTCAGGCACTATAATTTATATTTTATAAACACACACCGTCGCGCAATAAACGAAACAATGGCTTTTAAATTTTTCCACTTTAAACTGGTTCATAAATCATCATCATCCGCAATACATTTATATATTATACAAAGATTTATTCTCACATTGTTTGGATATAAATAAAAATACGCGCATAAACGTCGAATGAAAATATATACCAACGTTCATTTTACTCTACATTCTCATCACGTATAAATATATTTTTTCAAAAGGTAATTTTAGCGACACAGTCAGATTTTAATTAGTTGTTTTCGGTTTCTAGCGCCTGAGATGTGAACCGAAATCAACGCCACGCACTCACTAATTAATTGATGAATAACCTGTAATTACTTACTTAATAATCCATGAGAAAATTGAAAATTAACATGCAATATGCATACATAACCTCAAAAGTGTAAGCTATTCAAAAATTTGTGTTTTTTTGTTTTTTCAAGCAAAAAGTGGATATTGTGAGAATTAGTAAAAATATCAGTATTAAAATGAAATTAAAACTAAATATTTCCCACGCGTATGTCTGCTGTTGTTGTTTGTGCGTCGTTATTTGCTGATGTTGATGTGTTTTGCTTCACTTTAGTTTAGATACGCCTCACTACCGGTAATTTACACTCACGGTGTTCGCGCACTTACAAATTCATTAGGAAGTAGAGGAAGTCAGTATTCGGTTACTTCTACGAAAGGTAATTATGAACCAACTTGTAGTTTGATTGCTCGCATGAATATGGCTCTCAAAACGTCTCTCAATGCGTCGATTTATTATAAATTACGCTTGAATTCACGTCCGAAATGTGTTAATTTACAAAGTTAGGCATTCAACTCTTAAATTTGTATTTTATTATTTATGTTGATGAAAGTTGATGGAATATGCCTGATAATGAAGATATTAAACAATATTACACTCATTTTTTTATGGCGTCGTTAATAAAAAGTTTAAAGTTTTATGTTTTGGATGAAAATCATGCTGTAAATTACTTTTTGACTTACATTTTCCATTAAATTTAACGAATATTTATTGCTTAGATGTAAAAATTTAATTTTATTACTAATTTTGCTTTGAACTTTGAACATTTGTTTTTAGGCAACCAGTTAACAGCGTGTTTTACATCCTACACGTCAATAAACGAGCATAATACATTTATTGAACGTTAAATTTCTAAACGGGCACTTAAAATCATAATTATATTCATTGTTTTATACGTGTTTCATAAATAGACTTCGATTTGTGCCAAAGTATTTAAGAAGTTGGTGCGTAGTCAAATGCGTCGTAAATTTTGAATTGCAATAGAAATAAATTGGCAGGCGTTGAATGAGTTTGAATTTTCAATAAGAAACTTTCTTTAACAACGACATTTGCACGTTTGGGATCATTAAGTGTTAAATTTCTCATCGACAACACTTAGAAATAATTGTTTTATAAATCTTTTGTTTAAACATATATTAAAATTAGTAAAGAGATAAGTATTTGACTTGCGGACATCCTGGTAATGACAAACTATTTTAAAGCATGTATATTTGGTTGCCTACTAATATTTTAATTTAAGGTAAGATAAACACTTAATAATGATTTGTTTCTAATTGAACCTTTTTAATATTTTTTCTAATAACCCAACTATACTAAGGTAATATATAAAAATAATTATTACTATATTTGTTCATGTTCTATTGAACACCGAAGATCGATTCGTCGCGAGTCATAAACGTCCGACGCGCCGCAGCTCGCAAAGAAATGCAGAAAAAAGAAACGAAACTTCACCCGTTGGTGAAAGTTATAACATAAAATTTAAAACATTGATGCGCTCCCAAACCGACGATAAAACCGGCGTCGGCAGCGCGCAGCAATAAACACACGCGACTTATCCGTTTTCGCGGAGAAGATCTGCACCGACTTCTTCGACGGATTTCTCCAAAGCGTCCAAAGTCAAGTATAAGCCACGCCGCGCCGAGATGAAAACGATCAAAGTGCGCATTGTATGCGTAAAACACCTACCTGTGTGAACAAACACACAAAACAAAAATGTTTAATCAAGAAATAAAAACATAAAATCAAAAATCAGTTCATGTATATAGGCAACTTTCAATACATCTATAGGTTATAGGTATACTCGTACACTAATAAAACTCTCAGAAACAGAAAAAATTCAGCTCCAGGCGAGTCTATTTGTTGAATACATAACAAACTAATACAATCTACGTGAGTATAGTTCAAAATCATAAAAGTTCAGCCTCTGGAGAGCATGTTATTAATTTTCTTACATTACAGTTCGCTGGATGTGTGATACAATCTGAAATTACTTAAATGAGTTGTTAGATGATATCATTCATCATTCATCAGCAGATCAAAGAATACACTGTGTATATTATGCGTTCGTGGGCATACATAAAACTATAATAATAAGGCGGATATCAGCAGGATAATTAAAACTAGTTTAAATTGTTACATGCGCGTGTAAAACGTGATCGCCCGAAAACATCATCACAAAAATTGTAACCATGTAATCCTATATAAGGTATGCAACACAAAAATAGAGTTATATTAGTGTGAAATCAAATTTAATTAATCTTATTTTCACTTTTTGGCTGGATCAACACTCAAGTTTTGAGTGCGTAGTTAAATGCACAGAATTAAGCAAATTAATTACAGTTTCTTCCGCCGTGGGCGCTGTCTTCGTCACGATATTATCTCGTGAATCTTCGCGAATCGTAAGTCTCCAACTACTTCACCTCGAGTATGCGAGTATAAAATACGTGATGCTTCCACTAAGATTATGATACTTATGGTTTTCATGTCATGGCATTCCAACAGCGATAATTTCTCTTATTCTTGCGTTAAATGTTATATTTCGCGTGTATTCGAATATACCGAGTTCAGGAGGCGTGACGTGGCTGCAAATTGTATTTTATACTCAACCCACAACCAACAATAACTAACAGATCACTAACGAAGAAATTATGCACCTGGTGAGTGAGAAATTTCTTCGATATCTGTTCCGCAACGCATTTAATTTTAATAAGTATATAAACGTGCAAATTCCACGCAGAGATCATGTTACCACTTGGTAACTCAAGTCAGAAAACATAAAACTTAACCTCAAATATGTTATAGTTTAATATCGTTATTTTAGAGTTATTTGTTTTGCCTAGATATAAAAATGATAAGGAATGTGGTTAGGAATATGCATGCGTGCAAATGTCAGATAATAGTTTCCTGATTTCTCCTAATTTTAACGCAAACCATCACAGGAGGTTTAATAAAAACAATTTCTCGTGTTTGGTTTTACATTACATAAGGTCTACTTAGGAAAACACGTAAATTTGCTGTAAATTATATTAGATATAAATATTTACGGTGTTACTTAACATAATATATCATTTACGCCATCTAGGAGTCATAAACTAAACTAAACGCAATATAACCTCAAACTTTTTTTGTTAGTTTAGCAATTTTGTATGTTTTTTCTTGAAAACAGTAAATTTTTTACTTTAAAAGTACATAACAAGTTGATTTAAACAATTTAAACGTTTTATATTGATATAAAACGAAAGAATAATTTTATGGTTATAAATTAACGAAATCAGAACTAAAATAACTTTATTCGTTTATGAGATATAACAAATTTAAGTTTTAATGTTTTAAAAAAATGATTTCTGCGTCGATGTAAATGCGTAAATTAATAAATTCCCTAATGATGATTATTAGTGAAGTTGAAGATGAGAAGCCTAATTACGTCGCGTTAATACACCGCATTAAAACATCCATCAATCAATTGTAATTCACGCGTGGTTAATTTTGAAATTACCGCTCAACTTGTACGTTGTACGTCATATAATGCAGATGCACATCAGACAGCTAATTAATAACCAAAAAATAATTAAATTCATTTTTCTGGTTATGTGAGGTTAGATTATACTTTTCTACAATTCAACTGAATATGATGAGAAATGAGAAATTCATGACTAAGAAAATAAAACAATAAAACCTTCGCTTTTTTCTGGTTTAAGCGACATTCAACAGCAATACTTAAAGATTCATTAAGGTGACATAAGTACAAGAACTACACAGGTAGCATCATACAATTCCCAAGGTAGTATGAGTTTTATACTTTGTAATTGATGCGTTTTCGTGAATCTTCTCGGTGCCAGACAAGAAATTAATGTCGAGGTGTCACCAATGTCACTTAAATCCTTTTGACTTATTTTTATGTTACTTAGCATGAGAATACAACACTATAAACTTTCTAATAGAATAGTTTTAATTGAATTAATTTAGTTTTGTGTAACGCTTGAATTTATTTTTTCAATATTAAGCAATCACACAACAATAATTAAATTTGCGTGGGTGTATTATTTGATTTTCTTGCTTTCCATAGTTACTTAAGTTAGTTACGGTTAAAGTTCATGGTATTCGTTGAATAAACACAAAACGCACATCGGAAACTTTCTTTCTTTTTTAAACTCGTTGCGCTGTACTTGTATCTATATTTCTACCGCTGCTAGTTAAGCAGATGTAAAATGTGAGATCGGTAATTAATTCGATCGTGATTAGCTCATTGACTCATCGCGGCTTCTTCACCACAGTATCCACATTATAAATTTTTACGAGTCGCACGAGCGAATGCTACTTGACGCGAGAATCCGAGAATTGAATAAATTTAATGACGTTAATTATATATTCATAGCATAAATTTTAGGTGTGCGCTGTTTATCTTTCGACGCATCTACGCATCTCATATTCACGTTTTGAAGGTGTTGAAATCTGATAATAAGCGTGAAAATCACGCAGTCATCAATTTTACAAATTTATGAGAAAATATTTTTGACATTTTTAATGATTTTTTGATTGTTTTGTTAGGTTTGATCAACTTTCGCGAATAAAGTATCAACAATCGTGACATTGTGACCTTTGTGCACTTGCAGTTTCTTGCTAGCTTTCTGATATGTTTGTATCCGGCTGAAATCTGTTACAAAGTCATTAATTTTGTTGATTTTGCATTAAAAATGTCATTTTATGCACGAATAGTTCACAATGTCACCGCCAGTAGCGCTAGTTGCCCCCAAAAAGGTTAAAACTTCTAAAAAAAGCAAATTAATGATGAATTGTTTGATTTTGATCGATTAACTAAACAACAGTTCAATTGTTTAATAATTGAGGTTAAAAATAAAACAATCTATAATTAAATTTCAATTTTGTCGATTTTGCTTAAAAGAATTACATATTATGCACGAATAGTTCACAATGTCACCGCCATTAGCGCTAGTTGCCCCCAAAAAGGTTAAAACTTCTAAAAACCAAATTAATGATGAATTGTTTTGATTTTCATCGATAAACTAAACAACAGTTCAATTGTTTATTAATTGAGGTTAGAAAACAAAACAATCTCTAATCAAATCTCAAATTCAAACATTTTTAATCTGTGATGCAAATATCTTTGCAATTTTACGCATGACTTACCCTAATTAATCTTAAATTGAGCTCATTTTCTGTTTCTGTTTGCTTGCTTTAAAACAATCATCAACCTACTCGTACAATCCAGTAATCTTTCCAAAACGCGTTGTGTTGAGTAATCCTCACTTGTAGTTGTCAGTCCTAACCTTATTACCTTGTTACAAAACGGACAACAATCGTTTAGTTTTTTTGTTCGTTTTAATGAATTCTCTTGTCTGCAGGCGGGAAAACTTGTTAAGACTCTCGTAACTTACAACAGCCGCACTCTTAAATGCACCAAAAGAACAATACACCTCTAATGGTGCCAAACAATTATTTATAACCTCAAAAACCTAAGAAAAACATTCGAACAAGTGAGTGTATCTATTGTTTTGGCTTAAATATGCAATATTTGTTCATTATTCGTTAAAAAGTGTTTTTAATTAATTTCTTGTATATTTTATCATTTTGTGGAATATTCAAGTTAAAAACAATGAATTAACCTATTTTAACTACTATTTAATGCTTTTATTGTGTGTAACAGTTTAATTTTCATCAAAATAACGCAAAACTCTAAAAATTTGCATAATTTGTGCTTAAAATGTAAGATTTGCATCATTTTACATTAACTAAACTTGAGATATACTTAATTAATAATTATGTAATACATAAGTAATGCAGCAGCCATTCCAATTTCATCGCAATTGAAATTTAAATTTAACTTAAACTTTTACCAATGAAAAGTAGAAGCAGAAATAAATTGAAATTCAGATAAGCACTCCTCGCTTAGTGCTATGTAACTCACACTCATCGAATTAGCATCATTAGTGCCAGTCTGAGCGCAATCTGCAATTGATTGAAAAATGGCGGAGCATGCAGTTGCGCATTAGTAACACTAATAAATGTAAGTGTTAAGTGTTTAGGTGATAGAAGTTGTAATTCGATTAAATAACACTCGTGAAATTGCAATTTACGTTAACAATATTTTCTGATTGCGAACGAGAGTGACAATATGAAGTTCTAGAAAATGGAAAATGTTTTCGCTCTTCGCTGTGTCAATGACGCGCACAGTGCACTCAACTCGTCAATCTTCATTCAGTCGTAAACGTACTTAAGTCCGTATGAGCTGTGACTATCTAGAAATCGAAATCTAAGTCACGTGGCGCGCAATTTCTCATATTTTTTTTTTGCCAATTTGTCAAATTTGCACAACTTCTATATAATATAAAATTTAACGACCGATAAAATTCATTTTGTTGTTAACCCAAATTTAACTTTTTGAATAATAGGCCTATTATGGACTTTTCTTGTAATTTTCTCTTATTCCTATTCGTGTAGGTTAGGTTTTCGTGCATTTTCGTGTTAAACACAGTGATTGCTTGCGCTTGTTCTCACTTTTCAGGTTAAGTATAGAAAAGTGCTTATTTGTATTTTGTAAAGTATATGGTCGTGTTCGTGTTAGCATATATTTGTATTGTGCTAACTGCGTTGAAGACGTTTGAAGCCGTTGACATTCGCGCAATTTCTAATCCGACGTGCGACGTGATGTTCGACATTGAACGGCAATGCGCGCCGGATGAGTGAAATTTTTGTTGATTTTACTGCGTATATTTAATGCAACAATGGCTCAATGGGAAAATCATACGCGCGTGAACTTTAAGATGCTAAGTCATGGTTGGCTGCGTTATAACATTATAAAACATTGTGATAGCTTTGCATAAAGGACATCAAATTAGTAAATGATATTGTATTGTGCAAAAAGTTTTGTGAGTCAATATTGAAAGTTCAACGTATTTTTTAAATTATTTTGTTAAATGTGAGAGCAATTGTATTAAATCTTTTAATAACTCATTAAAAATTAGATTCTCTATTTATACATGTAAAGATATTGTTGATAGCATTATTTTAACAAAAGTTATTAGCAATTAAAGTTGGTTTTAGTAAAAATTTATAAATTTGGGATAAATTAGTCTATAATTTATGATTTAAACTTTTTCTAAATAATATTTTTGCTTATTTACATGAAGAATTAAATATTTTAAAGATTTATGAAAAATTTGTTTAAATATCTCATTTGGGTGCTTAATAAATCAAATTTTTGCATTATTATTTTTGTAGCTGAAACAACTCTAGCACAATAATATTAAATTTATAGTTATTGCTTAATTACCGGAAAATTAACAAAGAAATTTATTGTTTTCATTCATAAGTAAAAACAAAATTAAGTTCTATAAATCAAATAAAAAACTTTTTGTTGTTAGCATAATTTTACAAGAAGTTATAAACAATTAAACAAAAAAACATGAAAATCGCAACACCATGTTTTATAGCTATTAATTTAAAAATTATAAACCAATAAAAAGACAATATTAATATTGCTGCTTGTAAAATTTACTTCGGAACAAATTTATAAGAAATTAATTAATTTAAATTGATTAGTTTTGAAATTAATAATAAATAACTATTACTAGTTCCAGTGTAATACAAAATATAATGAAAATTGATTGAAAATCTAATTATTGAGCGTGAAAGTAAATTATAAGAACTATAATTACACACGTAAAATTCCACAATTGCAAGGAAATCACCAACCAGATTGATAATTAACTAATTTCAACAATTTCAACTTACCACGTTCATGTTTCGCTCCATAGTTATAAACTATTCATTAACTTTCTTTAATTTTGATGTCTTTTCTTCTTCTTAAATTGTCAAATTCAAAGTTTCAATATTTAAATCTTCACTAACACGTTTAATATTTAATTGTTTATATTCACTACATAAACGTTCACATAAGAAGTGTGAAAATATTTCTTTGCGCACATCCAGTAAACGCAACTTTTTTTATTTTTAAATTTAAACAAAAGTTGTTGCAGCACGCGTTACGCGTTTACTTCGCACCGCTTCAGACCCAGATCAGCTCTCGATGAAGGCGCGCGAAGAAGTGAAGAAGGCAGTCGGTCGGCGCGGGAGTCATTGAGTCCTTTGGCGTGGCAAGCAGACGACAAGCCAGCTCAAGAAGAAGACACACACATACATGCACTCCAGTGACGCAGAAATTGCTTTTCGATTTCGTTTACGTTTACATTTTCAGTTCTCGATTTCGATGGCCCACTCTCTACACACAGACGAAAATTTAAATATTTTTTACTTTAGGAAGGGTTAACAATCAAGTTGTAGTGTGATGTGATCACTTTTTATCTCAGGTGTCTCTTGGCGTCTTCCTCATTGACAATTAACATGAGGCGATAATGATAAATTTCAACAAACATTGGACTTGACTGGACTTGACTTGAATGCTTGAGGCGCTTCTCTTAATTCGTAAAATTACTGTGAGTAAGCAGGCAGGCGGCGAAACTTGACGCTTTGACACCGATATATGCGATATGCAATATAAGATATGCGATGCGAAACAAAGAGAAAATAAAATTGGTATGCGTCGGAATTGAATAAAAGTGAAAACGTGCGTTGAGGCACACCCGAAATAAAGGATGCGCGCCGTCAGCTTCGAGTAGAAAACATGGCTAATGCTAAAACTCTACGTGTCAGTATGAAAATAGTGTGATTTATCATTATCACCTGTAACACATCGCAATTAACATTAACATACAATTTTTACGGATTTATTTGATCAGAGAACATTGAGGAACATTAATAAAACAACAAATCGTGTTATATTATAATTTTTTAATGATAATAATATTTTGATTCATCAATTATTGTCATAATTAACCCCAGACAATTAAATTTTATTCAATTAGAGTTTCAATCAACAAGTTCACAAGGATCAAATCCCAGATTGAACAAACTGCAAATTGAACAAACGTGTCATTAATTTTTCGATGTTTTTAAGAAAGTTTACTAATATTCCTAATAATAATAATAGAAACGTTTGAATAAATTGATACACCGCAGGAACACTCCTTCAATGAGTCAAACAGACGTCCATTAAAATTAATTTGAGTTTTTTTGTTATTTAAATTCATTAGCGACTTTTTCTTTTATTGTTTTAAGCAATTAGGAAACAAAATGATAAACACAACAAACACAAATCAAAATTAATCAATTTTTAGTGAAATTTATGTTTTTGAGGTTATTTTTGTTATTTGAGATGGAAATGTAGTATTTTTGAAGGAAAAAGTGGTTTATTGGGGCAAATATATATTGAATTTGTAACATTTAAAACTTTTGTGTTGAGTGGTAAGATTTGCTACGAGTGTTGAGTACTTGTATGTACCTTTCAATCGTGTACCAGAAGCAGAGTCACGTTTTAAACGTTTTCGTGTTCGTTGCGATTCCGTTTCAACGCAATAAATTCCAATTAGATAGTGTTGGCATTCCAAGAAATTCACGAATTTGTTTTTATTGCCTATTTTATCAGTGAGTATTGATTTGATAAAAATATTTTGAAATCTATGTCAAAATACACCAAAAATACAAATAAAAATCAAAGAAAGTCATAAAAATAATTACAAAATACTATTTATATTGTTGCATTTAATTTAATTACCTACTTAATACAGTATTTATTGAGTAATTATATGCGTGCAATATGTTAAATGTCAATTTCCTTAAATAAATCGCGCGTGGATGAGTTATGATGAAATTTGGCGGTTTAAGGACACAATGCCAGACTGGTTTTTTGGGAAACACCTGATCTTTACGCTTCTTTCTTCATTACAATTTCATGCGGATCGCTGATTTCTCATTTCACTTTCTAATTAGAAGTCTGGATATAAACCATTTCTGCAACTGCATGCACACACACATAGCTTAAAAGGACACAATTGAATCTTGATAATACCAAATCGGTAACAAAAGTTACTTAAATTACTTTAGTCAGGCTTCTGCAAGCAGATCGATAAATTAAGATAGCTGTAATTGTGTAATATTAATGCATAAGTTTAGTAAACAATGAAGGTTATGATATACAAATTTATTATTTAAATGTATTTATTATAAAGTTGAATTTTGACATTTTTTGAGTTTTAAGTTCAATTTATTCAAAATTTTAAGAATTGGATTGAAATTAATTGCTTTAAACTTGTTCCTGTCTTGTAACATAAATTATTTCAACTTATCTTGTGTTTTTGTTTGTATTCGAGCATTGCAACATGGCCGCCAAACAGCGCACCAATTCCTAACTTCAAAATGCTTCATGAATGTATTAACTCCTATACTATTTAAAAAAGATAGGTATGTAATGACAAAAGGTCACCCAAAAGTAAAATTTCGCCAACGCCTTAAATTTACAACCAGCATGCTTTCTTTTCGCATGTGAAACATTAACCACTTTTTCTGCTTTGCGCGATTCGATGCGCGATTAGCATTTTAAGAATATATTTTATTTATATGCCGGTTTCACTTTGGACTTTGCATTGCATTCCGCTGAGTTGTTCTCTGAACGCATGCAAATTCCATTGTGAGCGGTGCGTTGTAAACTGTAAGCCCACTGAATAGAAAAATCCATCAATATCGAAATTCACGCGCGCCAAAAACTCGCGAATTGCAAAACAAACACGAAATAAATTTTGAATAAGCAAGAAGAAAGCAATTGGAGTTGTTTTATACTATCATGCCTACACTTAAGTGGGTAATAAACTAAATGTAAATGCTATATATCACATTTTAAAACATTTAAACATTTAAAACAGTTTTATTGTTGTTTTTTGATTGATGATCAAATATTCTGAAATGAATTTAAACATTTAAACATAAACATCGAGTGCAAATTGAAATTTATTGCATAACAAAAATAAAAGTAAGACATCTTAATAGTTTAATGATTTATTGATTATTTATCCATGTAATTTTGATGGTTATGAGTTACAACAACTTATATAAATACTTTTAAGTCAAATTTCTAGTTAAACTTACTTTAACTTTAACATATGTGCAAATATTTGTTTCACAGGTTAATATTTGCTTTGTTTTAATTGTTTAAGTACTTCTAGACTTTTACTTTTTAAAAATAAACAGTTGGTGATATATTTTAGTATTTACTACTTTCGTATTACAACTTGTATTACGGTGCAATATAAATTGCATACATTATATTCTTATATGTACGTTGGGTTGCATATACAATACAAATATTCAATTTCGATGTCAATATCAAGTGATTTCTCTTATACAGATAAATTTAACGTTAAAAGACAAAACAGTTGTTAAAAACCAACTTTGGTAATCAAAATGACATGTACCTGCCTTGAGAAAGGAAGTAACACAAGAATTAACGAACCAAACCCATTTTAGAAATTTGAAATCTTCAAATAAACTTCAAGTATCCACTTGAAATGCGTCCACTACTTAAAGCCATGTAAACGTGAGCTTTGTGTGCTTTAAAGAGTTATTTACATTTTTTTATTGCACCTTCACAATATACAAAACACTAAAAAAAGTAAGAGTAAAGGTGAAGTCGTTAACTCGTGAACTTTGTCGATTTCAATTTCATTTCAAGTTTACTAATAATAATAATAACTAACTATAATGATTCACATTACCAACTATGTATCAATACTTTAGATACACATAATTCCGAAACGGTTTAAATGTGAAATGTGATTGTGAGTTAGTTTTAATGCTGATGTCGACAAAAACGAAGATTGAATGTTAACTACATTGTAATGAAATTAAATCGATGTTTAATGCGATGTAGTGCCATAAAAAGAGACTAAATCGTATCAAATTGATTAAGTAGTAAAAGTTAATCATACGTGTAATTAATCAATTGCATGATCTTTTTATAATTATATTAATAAAGTTGAATAACAAAATTATAGGGTTAAATGTTCTGTCATAAATTATAGGCAACTTTAATTACATCTACATCTACATCTACACATAACCAAAAATTGTTTTTTTTTAGTTTTTTTTGTTACTTTAAGCTACAGCAACTGGTAATCGTCCACCGTACAATAATTTATCAATTGCTCCTTTTTTCAAGGCAGATCTTGGAGCTCCATGGCCAGGACGTCCCCAAAAATTATCCAATGTGTTGAAATGTTTCCTGGTGCTCTCTAATTCTTTCATTCGAAGTTCCTAAATAAATAAAAAACACATAAAAATAAGGTTTTGCCAGTGACTTCGTCCCGGTAGTGTTTAATAAAAATGTAATACGTTTTTTTCTCTTGTTGTTCTTCTTGTTCTATCAATAAGATTCGCAATTTTATTTTAAAGAAATTAATTATATCAAGAATTGCTAATAATGCACTTCAGCGCGCCATCTCGGATTCAACTATTTAACTATAACTATGATTGAATCTCAATGCAAACTTTTATCCTATAGAAAAGAGCTGTCTTTAGAGTTTTCCCGGTAATTATTCATTTTTTTCTCGCCGTAAAAACCATCCTTGAACTTCAACAAACATTTTACAAAAAGAATTGGCCAAATTGGTCTAGGCATTGTTGAGTTATGCGCTTACTAACAGATTTTGCGATTCATTTTTATATTATAGACACTGTTTAATCAATATATCCAATTTTATGCAATTAATTTGAGTAGTTTTAAATGGCATTCCATGTTATATTATAATATATTCTATATTTATAGCTGCAATAGATTATATTTTCTTTCTCTTCGTAAATTTATTCCTTTATTCTTCCGAAATGCCACATTTCACAATAATTTATGAGTCAACCTGTTTTATGTCCCCCCAATTTCTAAAACATCAGCGTAATAAAACTCAGTAGATTATTCGCCGCAGCACAAGTGTAAAACATCGCTAATGAATTAATTGATGGAATGCTGATATTTATTTATGTTGATGTGTGACTTTCTCCGGTCGGACGCGTCTTCGGTGGTTTATGATTCGTTACAAAACAGTGTAAACGAAACCAAAAACGCAAATCGAAAAACGAAAACGAAAACAGAGGACAGCGTGATTTATGAAGATTGTAGAAACTTTTTTTAAGATATCATCTTTATAATTATTAATAATAAGTAAAGATTGTTTTTCTGTGTGTTTTTAAAGGTTTTGTTATCGGATTATGTATATTTGTCGTGTTTATCATGAAATATTAATGTGGTTGAGAGCAAAGGCGACAGGAACGAAAGAAAGTTGAACTTTTGAATAAACATTTATCGCGTGCAACAGATTTTCTGATGTGACACTCTAGTGACATGCCATTTATGCTCTTTTATGCAAAACTTTTAATGCAAAGACTTATAAGTGCATCTTGATGCTAAAATGTGAATTCGATTTGAAATGAACTTCCCGAACCTACCGCAGTGAAATGTCTTAATTAGCATTTGCATTAGTTTCGCATAATTTATTAGATTTATGACAAATGTTAATTTTAAACATAAAATACCACAAATACCAAAAAGGTGAATGTAATAAAACTTTAATTATTACTAAACTTACCTTTAATTCATTAAGTTTGGAATTCATTTGTTTCGAGAGTTCACGGAGATAAATTTGCCCGTCGACCACCCACTTGGGCGCACCACTGCTGGGAAATAAAATAGAAAATGAAATCTGACGGATTTTCACAATAAACGCTGATAATGGTGCGCTGGTGATTCTAATGAGATGTGATGGAAACAACTTAAATGCTATAAATGTTGGTATTAATGAGGATTCAACGATACGATTAATGTAAGATGGAAACTATAGGTGCGGCGTGTTTTCGTTGTTGTTGGTTTTGCAACTTGGCAATTTGCAATTATTTGTCGAGATTCGTTGTTGGCGACGTCGTCACGTTAAGGTTTTAAAATTTTAATCGAAAGAGAAATTGACTGTCACATACTCGTGCTATCAAAGGAAAACGTCAAAATTTAATAAGAAATTTTGTATTAATTTTAAATTGTATTAAAACAATGAGTGTTTTGGTATTTATTTAACAATAACATGAATTTTATTATTTTCAAGACTTTTTTTAGAGTATTTAATGTAAAATAAGTTGCCTATTGTTAAAATTTTACATTTTAAAAGGTTAAATTCTCCTGAAATTTATTTTTTTTTAATTTTTAATTTTTTAAACAAAATCGAAGACCAGATGTGCTGTTACGTCGCACTTTTGTAGTAGCAATACCCGAACGTGATTCGTGATTTCGTTTTCGATGCGTAATGCATGCGTGCGAATAAAGCAAAAAGTAAAAAAGAAAGCGAAACCGATCTTGGCTCTTTAAGAACACAACTAAAGGGCAAACGGCTATAAGCGATCGGAATGTATTAATGTATCAATGTATCACTATAAAGCCTAAAATACAAAGTAAAGAAATATATTAATCAAAACTTACACGTATTTGTTTTTAGTCACATCGGTAGTACCCAAAGCGTGATTATTTGATTGCATACGTCGTTTCTCTATCATTAGCGGCACCAACTCGATCCCAGTTTCCTTACTCTCATCGCGTAAAGGGGTGAGTCGGTCCAAATTGTTTCTGGTTGTTGTAATCGTAGTTGTAAAAGGATTTACAACGTTTACATTCTTTGCATTTGCATTTGCTGTTGTTGATGTCGCGTTATTTTGACAATGATGTAGATTTTTCATGTTTTCACTTGTTCCATGCACTGATTTATAATTTCGTGGAACAGGTTTTAAATTCGGCAGAGTTTTTAAGTCGTTGTAACGTATACGTTTGGTATGTGCTTTTGTATCTTTCTCAATACGTTCAAAAACACCGTGACTTTTGGTTTTTCCGTTTGTGTAACCCTAAAATTAAAATTTAAAATTTAAATTTTTGGTTTTTTATTGTTTTGAGAGTCATTTTGGCGGGTGTAAAGTTTTATCGGCATGAAATTGTAATTATACATAAAATAATAAAGTTTTTCGTTGTTTTGTGTCAATTGCTACTCGAAATTTTGAAATTTCTAGTAGCTTACCAAAGAATGAAAGAAATTCTTGCCGATGGCATTTGGGTGTCTCCATTGCAAACCGCCAGGACCACATTTGCCCCATGGCGAAGAAATTAACAACTTTTAAACATAATTTAAATAATTTAAAGCTTAAACTATCAACTTACAAGTGCATTATCCTTTGCCAATTCATCAATACGTTCCTTTTCTTTTTGCTTAAATTTTTCCGCAACCAATTTATCTGAAACAAACAAAATATTACCGACAAATATTAGGAAAGTTAATATGGAAATTTAAAATATTCATCTTTGTGACAGGTGAGAGAAAATAATAAAACTAAATTTAAATAAATTTCAAATCAAATTTTTTCACTCAATTCACTTTCTGTTTTATGTTTTCTTTGCGTCTTCGGATGCTTTGTTAGGCAACTTAAAAATGCATATATTTACCATTCGGTAAATGCTAATTAACACATGTGTTTGCTTTTGTGTCATATAAGCAGGTAGAAAACAATTTCGCTTCCACATTTCGCAAGCAGCCAAGAAAAAGAAGATGACTTTCAAGGTGTCTTTGACATTGACGCTGGACGCTTTCACTCACTCAACACACACTCAATATGTGCATAACTTTATTAGTAATATATTAAATTACCTAATTCTCGTTTGTATTGCGCTTGTTCTTCTTTATTCATACGATATCTTAGAGTGTTATCCACACATTTGCGAAGATCTTTACCCCATTGAAATCGCAGTAGAGGATCTTCTTTGGTTTTGTAGATTCTGCCGCCATGTTCGTTTACATTTGGAGCACCTCCACCGGGACGTCCCATTCGTAAAACAGTTCGTTTTGCCTTTAAATTATAAATTAAAAAAAATAATTTAGTTACTAGCTTTTGCCCGCGACTTCGTCCCGGTAGTGTTTAATAAAAATGTAATTCGTTTTTACTCTCTTGTTCTAGACATAGTATGTGTCAATTCTATCAATAAGATTCGCAATTTTATTTTAAAGAAATTAATTATATAAAGAATAGCTAATAATGCACTTCAGCGCGCCATCTCGGATTCAACTATTTAACTATAACTATGATTGAATCTCAATGCCAACTTTTATCCTATAGAAAAAGGCTGTCTTTAGGGTTTTCCCGGCAATTATTCGAATTTTTCTCGCCGTAAAAACCATCCTTGGACTTCAACAAACATTTAAAAAAGAATTGGCTAAACTGGACTAGGCGTTGTTGAGTTATGCGCTTACCAATACATTTTGCGTTTCATTTTTATATTATCGATAAAAATATTTTTATTTTATTGTATTTTTACTTTTTCAAAGTCTTGATGTGGAAATAGTCCCTCCAGACGTAAATTGCGCAATCCTCTTGGTTTGTTTTCATGCTGCGCGCCCCAGGGCCAGTGCCTTTCGAGCAACTCGCGCGTCTGTAATTAAAACCAGCAATTAGTTAACTCTTCACCGTAGCCTGTTATTTTTTACTACCAAAAACGATGTAATTAAATCATTTGTGTAATTTTTATACATCTAACATGCATTTTTATTACTACCTGGAGTAGAAAAAGAGAAATTTGATTAATCAAAAATATTAATCAACATTTAACATTTAACACATAAATCTAAATGTTATAATTTTATTTTTTGTATAAATTTATAATATACCTGATTTTGTTCTTGGATTTTCTTTAATCTTGCAGCTTCACGTTCCTTTTGCCATACTAAACTGTCATTTATGCGAGGATCATAATTAATTGTTTTAAATAAATCGTTCTGATTTTGTGCACTTAGAAACATTTTATTAATTTGTGAATAAATTATTTTTTTAGTTTTATGGTTGTGTTAACTTCAAATGGCTTTGGAAGACTGACAAAATATGTACTAGGACGAGAAGGACTCCGTTTCTAAACTACTGTCGTGTCTTTTGTGCTTCGTGCATTTTGCTACCAATCAGAATTAAATCGCTATAAATCCGTTTGCTAGATCAAACAAAAAGAAGTAGAAACACGTCATAAGGAAATATACGAGCTCGCAATTTTCTCCGATGATATTATTAGATGAATTATTATGCAAAAGTAGATCGTTTGTGGGTTATAGCTATAATCTATAATTGCGATTTGTCGTTGTTGTCGTTTCTGGATTTTTTATTGTGTCGGTTGTGTCATTCGGTAACCGGTACAAAGATTCACGATTTTCTGGCGTTTTTAGGTGGTTGCCACGGATTTCCACGTGGTTAATGAGAGTAAAATGAGGCTAACAAATATTTAACTCAGGGATGGCTTCAAATAATTTTAGGGATTGTTAAGAAATATATATTTAGAAGTGTTTGAATTATTCATCATAATTAAATATATTAAATTAATTAATTAATTAATTTTTGAAGTTTAGCTTTTAGTTCAGCTCTGTAGTCCCAAGCACGGACGTGCTGTAGTTGCAGTTTATTCTGCAATTCGTTGGCTGTTTTCCATGGATACAATGACATAACAACTCCAACCATTACAAAACATGCAGGGTAAGATGTATCAAAGGCGCTTTTCGCCATGATACTAGCGCCATCCAAAAAAGTAAAATATTATACAATTTGTTTATTGTCAATTTGCTTAATTTTTTTTAAATACCATTTTGCATGGGGAATTCCACTAAACAAGTTTTCTAGTCTCATTTTTTTTAAGTTGGCCATCCTGCATGCAACCTTGTTTGCTGCAAATATTACGCGTTTTAGTGCGCCGTGCGAGCAGGATTTTCGCGCGTGCTGTGCGCCGTAGCTAATTGCACTGCGTGGTGTTCTCAGCACAGTCTTGTGCCGGTCGTTCGGTCAGGCGTCATTTTATTTTGAGTTTGCAATTCGGTAAATCGCGTTCATTTCGATCATCCATCGACTGCATTTAGCTATTAGTGAGGTGTTTGTGTATTACTACGAACTCGTTAATATTCTTTGCGTCCGTTGTGCGTATTGTATGATCGTCGCGTGCTATCAACTTGTTTACACTGCATGTTCGCGAGATAAAGGTAGCAAGCAACTTCGTGCAATGTTTGTGGTGATATTATTTGGACAATAGATTGGAACATGGACAGTGTTCATCGTGGAAGCCGAAAGAGAATGGTACAGTGCAGACTTTTTTAAATTTTCATTTACCTATTTATGTATACATTGTTCTACTAGTTTTATTACATTATTTAATTTTGTATTATAATACATTTGCGTGTATTTAGTACTGTTAAATGTGATCATCTAGTTTCTTTATGTTCATTTCAATTATTCTCTTGTTTTATCATACAAAGAATTTTTTGAAGTTTTAGAATCTTAAGTCCGTTGGCCGCTATTGCTTTTAGTTTAAAATTTCCAATGTAACTAGTTTATCTTATAGGAATTTTTCTTAGATTCGCAGGTATCGTGCCTATTGCAATTCGCGCACAAGGTCGCGTACCGTCTACGCGCTGAGTTTGCGCATCTATTGCTTTTATCTACGGGGTTAATGCAGCAGGCACAGAGTCTTATTGTGAATTGTCACATCGTAAATTCTATTCAGAGATGGCACTAGCATGAGCTAAAAATCATAAAATAGAATTGTATTTGTTTTTAATCATATCAGCGTTTGTGTATAAACCACTTTCTTATCGCATTCGCCGTGCGAGGTGCTACGTGTAAGATTCTCGTCTCGATTCTGTCGCATGCAGCACATTTTAGTTTAGTTCTTATCACAGGTACCGTGACGATTGCAATTCGTGCACAAGGTTGGGTGCCATCGGCGCGCCGCCGGCTTTGCGCATCTATTGCAATTCGCGCACAAGGTCGCGTGATATCGACGCACTGGCTTTGCGCACCTCTTGCTTTCTTATCATAAACTGACGCGTCGTTGCTTGCACGGCTGCGGAATGCGCTATCGATGGTTCGCAGTCCGTTTCGGGTCGGTTTCCGATTGATCCAGACGTATTTTGATCGACATGTATTATTTGTTCGGATTTCTGCTTTCTAAATTTGTATTATATTTGATCACCCATCGATTATATAATTGTAAATACTATCGTAATGTTATTTACTATTTGCGCGTTTAATGTACATTATTGTACAAAAGTGGTGATATTTGATCGCGTTTCGTGTGCATCCTTATGCAAGTTACATGGTTCAGTTTCGGTTGCTAAATGAATCGGATATCGGTTTGTCTCCCATGTAGATTTATTCATCATTATCTTTGTGTAAGTAACTTTTAACTTAGCAATACATATTGTATTTTTTCTTCTATGTATGCATATATTATAATTAAATCTTATGAAATGTTTCAACTTCTTTTCTTTTAATTACAGCACATGCTGTGCCTTGGTGACTGAAGAGCACAACGATTGGTAAGTGTATTCAATTGTATTTTTATTCCAATTTACGCAACAAACATTTATTGCGCCACAATTTTACAAAATTTACGGTAGAAAACTTGCGAACCCTTCGCGATATTTTTATTTTATTGGCGGATTCTGTTACCGCAAGAGTTCTTCTTGAAGATGCAATTCAGACTCGTCGCAAAATCAGGCTCAAATTGTATCAAAATGGCCGCTAAAGTTTGTTTTCTTTTGAATTTTCCACACTGGCCGCCATAAACTGCCCTTTTTTTAACATTTTCCAAAACATGCGGTGGAAAACGGGTCATATCTCGCGAACCCTTTGCGATGTTTTTATATCTTCATCGAATTCTGATAGATTAAGAGTCCTTTCTTAAAATGCGCCCTTAAACTCCCGCGAAATTCGGTCGCAACTGCCTCAAAATGGCCGCCAAAACTTGCCCTTTTTAGCATTTTCCAAAACATGCGGTGGAAAACGGATTATATCTCGCGAACCCTTCGCGATATTTTTATTTTTCTTTGGATTCTGTTAGATTAAGAGTTCTTTTTTAAAATGCATCCCTAAACTCCCGCGAAATTCGGTCGCAACTGCCTCAAAATGGCCGCCAAAGTTTGCCCTTTTTTTAGATTTTCCAAAACTTGCGGTGGAAAACGGGTCATATCTCGCGAACCCTTCGCGATATTTTTATTGTTTCTTTGAATTCTGTTAGATTAAGAGTTCTTTTTAAAATGCACTCTTAAATTCCCGCGAAATTCGGTCGTAACTGCTTCAAAATGGCCGCCAAAGTTTGCCCTTTTTTAGCATTTTCCAAAACATGCGGTGGAAAACGGGTCATATCTCGCGAACCCTTCGCGATATTTTTATTTTTTCTTTGAATTCTGTTAGATTAAGAGTTCTTTTTTAAAATGCATCCCTAAACTCCCGCGAAATTCGGTTGTAACTGCTTCAAAATGGCCGCCAAAGTTTGCCCTTTTTTAGCATTTTCCAAAACATGCGGTGGAAAACGGGTCATATCTCGCGAACCCTTCGCGATATTTTTATTGTTTCTTTGAATTCTGTTCAATTAAGAGTTCTTTTTTAAAATGCACCCCTAAACTCCCGCGAAATTCGGTCGCAACTGCCTCAAAATGGCCGCCAAAGTTTGCCCTTTTTACATTTTCCAAAACATGCGGTGGAAAACGGGTCATATCTCGCGAACCCTTCGCGATATTTTTATTTTTCTTTGGATTCTGTTAGATTAAGAGTTCTTTTTTAAAATGCACTCTTAAACTCCCGCGAAATTCGGTCGTAACTGCTTCAAAATGGCCGCCAAAGTTTGCCCTTTTTTACATTTTCCAAAACATGCGGTGGAAAACGGGTCATATCTCGCGAACCCTTTGCGATATTTTTATTTTTTCTTTGAATTCTGTTAGATTAAGAGTTCTTTTTAAAATGCACCCTAAACTCCCACGAAATTCGGTCGTAACTGCTTCAAAATGGCCGCCAAAGTTTGCCCTTTTTACATTTTCCAAAACATGCGGTGGAAAACGGGTCATATCTCGCGAACCCTTCGCGATATTTTTATTTTTTCTTTGAATTCTGTTAGATTAAGAGTTCTTTTTTAAAATGCACTCTTAAACTCCCGCGAAATTCGGTCGTAACTGCTTCAAAATGGCCGCCAAAGTTTGCCCTTTTTACATTTTCCAAAACATGCGGTGGAAAACGAGTCATATCTCGCGAACCCTTCGCGATATTTTTATTTTTTCTTTGAATTCTGTTAGATTGAGAGTTCTTTTTTAAAATGCATCCCTAAACTCCCGCGAAATTCGGTCGTAACTGCTTCAAAATGGCCGCCAAAGTTTGCCCTTTTTTTACATTTTCCAAAACATGCGGTGGAAAACGGGTCATATCTCGCGAAACCTTCGCGATATTTTTATTTTTTCTTTGAATTCTGTTAGGATATGAGTTCTTTTTAAAAATGCATCCCTAAACTCTCGCGAAATTCGGCCGCAACCGCCTCAAAATAGCCGCCAAAGTTTGCCCTTTTTTTACATTTTCCAAAACATGCGGTGGAAATCGGGTCATATCTCGCGAACCCTTCGCGATATTTTTATT